CTTCAATGATGGTACTACACGAAGAACTCGCAGGCATGGGAGCACCTGTTGACAACCGAGACTTCACTGCAATGATCATTAATTCCCTTCCCGAATCCTTCTGAAATGTTATGCGATCCACGACAGTTGCCATTCGTGCTACTAGCCAGTCAGTCACCTCTGACAAGATCATTGCTGTTGCTTTTGAAGAAGTCGACCATCATAATCTCAAAAAGTCGTCAGACAACGATGACTCAGCACTTAATGTTTCGTCGAACAAGGGCCGTCGACGTGGGAAGAAGCCAAACGGAAGGTCGGACAAGAAGTGCTATAACTGCGGACAAATTGGCCATATGTCAGCTGACTGCTGGCAAAAAGGTGGTAGCAAGGAAGGTCAAGGTCCTAACCAGAAAAAGTCGGAATCAGCAAATGTGGCTGCATCATCAGACACAGATTATGCATTGTTACAAGAACATCTTGATGCTTGTGCCCCTACTATTTTTCTCCTCATCCTCCTCATATCAGCCCTTGCATCATACCCTTACCCCGACCTTACTCTCGTCATACTAGTCATTGTTACAAGAACATCTAGACGCTTGGGCCCCTACCATTTTTCTCCTAATCCTCCTCGTATCAGCCCTTGCATCATACCCCCACCCCAACCTTACCCTGGTCATCCTTGTCATCCTCGCATTCCCCTTTGCTCTCTATCTGTCGCTTCAGCAGAGCCAGTACATCTGGCCGGACCCTTTCGCTGACGAAGCATACCCATGCTCCGTTCCACCACCTGACTGATCCTGTGGACAGTCCCCTTGCCCTTACTGTCTGGACGGTAACCTATGATATGATGCACGAGGCATCCCCTTTGCCCTTTTCCCTTTCTTGATCTTTGACTTGATGCGCAGTCGCACATGCAACTTATACTTAGCTCCACAGCTGCACGATCGTGCCCCTGCGTGTTTCACTTCTTATTCTGATCTTTGACTCACTTTCTTATCTGCACATTCAGGACTCACCCGTGTCTCGCCTCGAACGTGTCTTCCTTTTATGGTCATACCCTTTACCGTTTACTTCTCTTGGTAGTATGAGTTATCATCCACTAATACGCTTCCTATCCTCTATATAAACTCGCTACCATGTAACATGTTCCCTAACTTGAATCTACTTGGTTCTTGACCTCCTACTCTCACCAGAGTGATCCTTTCTGCCTAGCCAGCAGTCTATATTCTATCTTCTTATCTGCTCTTCGCGGATAAGCCTATAGTCTCGATCTTTACTCATCGACTTCGTCAACGAGCAAAGCCCCTGTTAACTAGTCGGACTTCGTCCTTCTAATTAACGACAATCTTACGATTAACCTTCGGGTGTCGTAAGCCTTGGCTGATATAGCTTATCGTCTCGCACCCGCTTGACATAAGCTACCCGATTTGGACATAGGCGTCAAATCTTACTTGCCGAAGCCTCGCCAAGTAAGACCCCTAACCTTGGGCTAGCCCAAGGACGTCCTCGACCGTTGACAACACACGCTCTGTTTGAGCGTCGCCAACAGATACCATCCAAGTCATAACACTAATGAGACTTGGTTATCCATAATAATGACACTATAGCCTGCTGATCGCTGATGTGAGCAACAATGCTGCCACAATCCTAGCTCCTGCCCCCGTCCCTCAACCTCCTGCCATTGACCCAGGACCAGACATCGAGGAAATAATTGCCGGTGCAGAGCAACTCAACCTTGAAAGGATCTCGTGGATGCCAGACATCACTTCCAAGGATGTGTTTGGTAGATCCATCCTTATTGGTATCCTCCTTACCAACGTGCTCATTTTGTTCACTCTCCTAGTGGCTCTCGCATCCATAGGCTCTCCTTGCACGTAGGACAGAGCTCGAATCACCTAAAACAAGCTCATTGAGGCCCCCCTTCAGTTGGCCTGGAGGGCATATGTGACGCTCGCTAAAAGCCATCATCGACTATTTGATGATGGCAACCAATTTACTCGTCATCAGTCATTTACTCTTAGTTACCTTCATTCTTTTAGATTCTTTCATATTCTATGCCCTACAGTATTTAAGCTCATGATTTACGTAGTTGTAGGGCAGTTGATCTTATCCCCCGAATATCACTTTGGTTCGTACAGTTACCCTGTGTGAATCTCTAGCCTATTCAAACCTCAACTATCTCGTGTACACGATTCATTAATCGTTACACTAAACTTAGCGAGGTTTGCGCGGGAGGTTTTCCCTGATGAAGCTTCACTGAACGCATCGCTGGCTCCTAGTAATACTTGGGAGTCACAGCTCACTTTACTACCCAGTTTGGGTGCATGTTTTGGGCCGAAAAACCCTCGAGGTTTTTTCCCCGAAAACTTTCGCTAACCTTCGGCTGCACTGGTCACGAGTGCGCGCCGCCTTCTTCTCGTGACACTTAGCGCCAACACGCATACACACCATACGTGAAACTAGATTCAAAATTGAAAAAATGTTGGGGTGCATGGCACATGTAAATATACCTTAAATCTAACATGGTCCGCATCGACCCTCCACAGATTTTAAAAAATAGTCACTCGTTCTCTCAGAATAATCTGCGCTGTTATTTTAAGTTGAACTGCGGGTGCACATTGCGTCGATCAACTCTAAAAATCACTAGTAACTCGCGCGTCAGTGTCAACGGCCATACTCCACCAATGTGAAAGCAAAAACGTGACTCACTACGCATCTGGGCCCTGGATACTCCTGTCATCCAGGTGAGCCATGTTATCAGGTGCAGGAAGATGCTGATACTCACGCATCGTTTCTGAGCGCATGGTCTAACATAGCAGTCTATCGTCTGTCTGCAAGTTGCGGGGCGTTGGTCAAGGCTGGCCGCATCACTCACACTGGGCACGGCAAAGCTTGATGATACTAAAGCAGCAATGACGGCGAAAACAATTGCAGAGGAGAAATGCATTGTTTGCGACTCGTGTGTGTGGGATCAGGTAGTTCTGAAGGAGATAGTAGGAAGACGACTAACTTTTATATCGTTCTCTGGAATTACTGTTGCGTGGATGTGCCTTCAAATGGATACACATCTACGATTGATGTCAGCAAAGTTGCCATATTGCCAGTATTGTGGGCAGAACCTTTCCGGCACAATGTGGCAGAACTCCCGCACATCTCAGGTTCTGCCAGTTCTGCCAGTATAGAAAAGCCGCAGCACGAACCCTTGGCAGCAAAGCCACCATTACTGAACCTTACATTTACTTCACCATTTATATGACATTTCGAAATTCTTTGGAAGAGAGAGATGCAGCGGAACCACAGAGATAAAGTTGTAGGCGGGCTGTAAGTAGACCCGGGTGTGTTTTTCACGTCCCCGCTGGCATAACCTATAATGAACTTAACCCTAGATCTTCCATGAGCCTGGCTTTCATGGCGATTGTGTGCCTGTCTGTTGCAGTCGTCGGACGGTGGGGTCAATTAATCAAAGAATGGACAGCATTGTTCAATGGAAGTTGAACATTCAACTTCGACGAGTTCCACTCTGTCATTTTCGGACTCTTTACTACCATATAAGGAAACGAGGAAACTTCGCTGACTTCATCATGCTTTCGAGTTGCTTTCGAGTTCAACAAATTGAATCTTTCGTGCATCCTTGAGAGAAGATAATAGTCTCATAGTCGTGCAATAATTAGTACATCATGGTTGTGAATGGTTTCTGGAACACTACGGGTCACACGTGGTTTGAACCGTCTTCGAGATGTTTGACATTCACATCAGATACATAGTTTGGCCGCTATCAAGTTCTAGCCAATTCAATACCAACAGTATCAACCGAGCATCAATACATCACCTTAGTAAATCAATAATACTCATCATAATACTAAGTTAGATAGAGTGATGGACTTTGGAGACCCCATCCCGGCCTTCTCCTTCAAGTTGCGCATCACCTGGCGGCTTGGCAACAACACCTGCATCTCCATCTCTAGAACTCTCCGTGACCTGTCCGGCTGACCCCTTCCCATTACCAACGCCTCCGCCAAAATTCGCCCCGCGCGCCTTAGGATGTACATTTTACTTTTTATTGCCTGTCTTTCAAATGCTTGCTACCTGTACTGTCTTATGTACTGCTCTTCCCTTTCTCTCAAGCACCTCCTCTCGATCCGGGCTATCCGAGTCCGCATCTTGGGCATGGTCCCCAGCGCCCGAAGTCTCAATGTTCCCTTTGGTACCCTCACCGGAGTCTTGGTTTTCAATCCTCAGCCCATCCAGAGCGGATACAACAGAGACTGCTTCCATTTTATCAGTGCCATTCAGCTGCTCAGCTTTAATCACGCTGAGTGCCTTCAAGATCAATATCTCACAGGCTCCCACCATCCCACCATTCGGCATTTAGCGTCTGGTGCTGGACAGCGGCTTGTCCACATGTTACATGTATGATACAACAAGTGTAATCCAACATCACCATTACTCTCGTTGAGAGAATAGCAAGAACAACAAGGAGGGGGGGGTATCCTCGTCGGGGGTATCGCATCTTGTACAGTCTCCATTACACTGTTATCACAATCCAATACTGCCCAGTCTCAGAACGAATCGAAAATTTGTTCCTGCATCGTCAGCGTCAGCATCACAAGAACAGTTATACATGCGAGGTGTTTGTATTGAAGCCAAATAAACTCACTCCACAATAAACTCCTTCAATAACTTTTCCACAGCTTTGTGCTTATTCTTCGTGTTAGACACTGTAACTTGGATCGGTCCAACGTCCTGCCGCTCAAGAAGCAGATCGATGATTGTATTCGTCAGAGCAATGTTGAGATCCTGAGGACTTTTTCCGACAGAGGAGATTTCGGAAGTGGGTGGTGACTGTTCGGGTGGGTCTTTGTTCGTTGTCAACACGAGTAAGACAGTGTCAGATCTATGCAACATGAACGTACCAGCAAAAATAATCCTCGACATTCTTCCTTTCACAGCACTAAGACGGGTCTGAATCTCGGAAGGGCACTGTTCATCAGAAGAGTCCAGTACCTCCCTTTTGCGTAATTCCTCAAGTCGGGCTACTTCTTTAAGTAGGAAGGCATTGCGATGGGTTTCAGCCTCTTCTTGGGCGGGAGTGAGACGCGTGGGTTCTGGTTTGAGGTCAGGGCCTGGAGGTGAAGCTTTGGCTTGGTTCAAATGAACTTAGTGAACATGCATACCTGTATCTTGGGTACCACCGCTTGCAAGGTTGGCATCTTCGCACGCGGCTTGGCTTTTATCGACAGCTCCCTGATTACCATCTCCGTCTTGTTTACTTTTTTCTTGCTCTTGACTATCCTTCCCTTTGTCTCGAGCACTCTCCTCTTGGTCCGGGCTATCCGCATCTCGGGCATGGTCCTCAGCGCCTGAAGTCTCGATGTTCCTTTGGGTGACCTCACCGGAGTCTTGTCCACCTACGCCATCCACTTCCCCTTTGGAGACCCCATCCTGCCCTTCTCCTTGCGCATCACCCTCGGCAGCTGGCGGCGCAGGCAACAGTACCTGCATCTCTAGAACTCTCCGTGACCTGTCCACCTGATCCCTTCCCATTACCAACGCCTCCACCAAAATTCGTCCCGCGTGGATGCACAGGCGACTCGAATTCTTTGAATGGCGGTGGCGGATCGTCATCAATATCAACACCGGTGTCCAAGAGATTGAACTCCCCGGTGGCAGATTCATGACGCGCTCCTGCACCTGGGAAAATTGGGTCTGGTTCGGTAGATGGAGATTTGAGGCCTGGCATGGGACGAATTGGGTTCGCAGGGTCGTAATCAGTAAAATTGCGGACGGAAGTGGATGTAAGACCTGGGCTTGTACACCTCGATTTGGATGTGGGCATCGGTGTATGGGTCCTGGAGAGAGGTGCAGGTGTGGGGGTCTTAGATGGAAGCGCAGGTGCAGGTGTGGTTGAACGGGGCTCTTCATTGATAGATTTTGAGTTCGGCTGCAAAGTTGTGTTCGTCTGTTTCAAGTTGGTCGAGGGCGCTGGTGTTGGCGGTTTTGTCAGAGGCGCTGGTGTTGGCGGTTTCGTTAAGGGTGCTGGTGTTGGCGGTTTGATCAGGGGCGCTGGTGTTGGCGGTTTTGTCAGGGGCGCTGGTGTTGGCGGTTTGATCAGGGGTGCTGGTGTTGGCGGTTTAGTCTGGGGTGCCGAAGCGGACGCTAGTTTTGGAATATTAGTGGGGGTCTTGGAAGGGGAGAGGGGCGTACTTAACCCAAGCACTGAGCTTGTGCGCACACCGTCACTACCGGAATGTGTTTGAGGCGTACCAGAGTGCTGAGGCATCTGCCCGTCTGCCCGCATGGCAAACCCGCCGATTCCAGCAGCACCATCCGACATGATAACCTGTTCAGGGTGACGAAGCCTCGAATTTTCCCATTTACTGCTGGCCTGGTGTCCTGTCGAATTTGGCTGGTTACCGAAGGTAGGCTGATTTGGTAGCTGTCCCAACAGCCCGGCTGAGCTCGCCCGTTGATGGAGTGGTGCACGTGCATTCCCAAGATCAGGGCATCGGTCTGTACCACCTTCCCCGACGCCCGTGCGGGCGTTCTGGCTCCATATGCCCGCGCCAGAGGTGGATGATAGGTTCCTTACACGAGAAGCAGGACGTGATTCTGGTGGTGGAACCGGCGGCGCATGGACAGAGAGATCAATCTCAGAATCTGGGATGGGAGGGAGAACTCCGATGTACGAACGGGGAGTGGGGGAGATGATTTCGGATGTGATCGTTATTCCAAATGCAGCTACAGGTGGTGTGAAGTCGAGCACGCTGAGGTCTGGATCCTGTTCTTGCTCTTGTTCTTGTATGAGGGGTGGCATGGCAGCATGTACCCGGTCGTCATCTGGAATCGATACAGCCTGATCGTGCCTTGAAGAATCAGAGCCAGAAGTGTTAGAGAGAAGGGACGGGCCGCCAGAGGACGGGTCTGGGTTGGAAGGAGGAAAGTCAGGGGCAACATCAATATGAATGAGAGCCGGGGAAGGTCCTAGAAGAACTTCACGCGTAAGAGTATTCGCCACCGAAGAGGTTACTTGGCTGGAGGGCGAGTCTGATGTTGAGCGTCTCTGCACGGTTGGGGCTGGGGAAGCTGGCGGGGCAGCACGCGTACTCGACACAATGGTAGATGCTGAAGTGCGAGACGAAAGATCGGGTACACGATTTAAAATGGATATGTTTGGGACCTGTATATCATTTTCGATCCTCCAACGTGGCATGGACCTCCTCATAGCCCTGGCATCTTTCCTTAGCGCCCTGTATACATGCCTCAGCCCTGTCTCTCGCAACAAGCTGGGCATGATGTCAGCGAGAAGGAGCCCAACAATTGTCCATGCGCCCGTGAGGGCAAGACGAATTAGCGAGTTGGTGAGGAAAAAGTCGATAGCGAACCGAGTAGCAAGGGCAAGATAAGCATCATTGGGATTTCGCGGATTTTTATGGAGGAAATGCGAAAGTACAAAACCTTCCCAGAGCCCAATGAGTGTACCTTGAACAATAATGATTAGATGAATCATGTTGACTTGTAACAAGACGCACCAGTAAGCCTGTAATCACTGTCAGTCAGGATGTCGATGACGGTGCGTAGGGCGAGCCCAACACCGATGGCGATAACATTGTCCATACGCCGTGGATGACGAGCCCGATTTCCTTAGTGGACTTTGCAACCCTTTAATTTGTGATCGAGATCGCGACTCGAGGCTTCAATATCAATTATTGCACGGACCCATGTGGCCAAACAAGGACAAATCTAATTCTATCTTGTCACCGTGCCCTAGCAAATCCTCCCATCGACAGACTTTCTGGTACAGGTCCACCACAATCATACGTTTTGTCCTCTGTGACAACTATTTCAATCTCCCCACCCACTTTAAATGTATCATAGAAATCAATGTAACATCTACTTTTCGCAGGTCTTCCATTGATCGTTACGTTTTTCACGTACGCAGGCACACCATTGGGTATCGGGTACGCCACAGACGCAGGAGAGTAGTTGGTAACAGTTACCGTAGTGCTAGTGTTGAGGTAGCTGTTGTGGATGGTATATTTTGGCGTAAAGGGAGAGACAATAAGGTAGTGCGTCGTTGAAGGAACTGTACCCGAGTTAATTGGATGGGTGGGTGAACAGATGAGGAGCTTACCTGGGTACAATCCTAAGAGATGGAAGCTGAGGAGTGTTGCCATTGCAGCCTGATCGTCGTTTCCAGGAAGACCCTCGGTTTCTGGATCTAATTCAGCATCATTCCACACCAACTAGCTTCTCGAACTTTACCAATGTTAAAGTTATTTATGACAACATCACGGACACGATCAACAGAGCGCCAAGGTTGGTTTACATAATGGTATCCGATGGGTGTCTGCTCCACAGGTCAGCACCGTTTCAACCTTGTATACATAAGAGACTAACCTGGAAAGAAGGCTCGTTGCCTGCCTGGTAATATCCTTCCTGGACGCCAACGAGGTAAATGTTAGTTAGAACGACCCGTAAAATGAACCTACCTCAAAGAAATGATCGAGTCGATTCGTGAACGTTGTATTTCCTCCCATAAGCTCAACCAAGTACCCCGTATCATGCGGTGCATACCTGTTATTATCCCTCATAAGGCATCCAACACGTCTCTGCGAACAGACGCTCACCAGCTATACTCCCACGACGATGATTCGTAGAACCCGCTCTGATTATCCTCCTGAAGCGAGCACTCTGGATTGCTCCTGGTGTCCTTCGGCGAGCAGTTGGCAGGGTCGGTGTAATAGAAGGTTCCATTGGGTAATCTCTTCTGCATGAACCCTGCGATGATAATGTTAGGATTGACATCGCTATCACTACATCGACTCAAATTACCTTGGTACCCATCACTCTTTACAGTTGCATCCCAGACATTGCGGTACCACTGTAAAGTTTATGATCAGCGACTTTGGACGCCGCCACTATTCGCTCACATATGATCGGTTAGTGTAGTATGCAACGTCGTCCGTTTTGCCAAGCACTTGTGCTACCTGGCGAATACCGAAGTCCTCAAATGCATACTGGAATGGATACAGCCATGTCTTGAGATCGAAACACAAGCATTGATAACGGAGGTCTCACCTCGACAGTTCTACTTCCCTCTCTGGTCTGTCTACCAGTGCTCCCAGTGTCTAGAACAGCAAAAGGTACGTAAGAAAATTGCCTGCATATCAAATTCAGCGCTTATATCTGATGCGCCACCAACGAAGTCACGTACTTGTAAACATTCACCTGCCTGCCCAATGTATTCCATTCGGGCGGATTCACCTGCCCATCCGTGACGAGCGCGGCATAAAGCTCGTTGAGGTCAATTCCCAGCGCTCGCGCCTCATTGTGGTAGTTCACCGCAAACTGTGCAACGATGTTGTCGCCGCTTGACCCGCCTTGTGTCCACCCAGGAAGGTTATTCGCGCGGCATTCCGGCATCCAGCCGAGTTTACGCCAGCCATCGATGTAGTTGTCCACAATTTGTGCGAATTCAACCGGGGAGTGAAGAGTCATGAAGGGGTAAAATGTTCGGAACTGCGCATGTGGGTGAGTAAAATTCCGACATCACATCATTGCTGCCCACCGTATCCCAGCTACAGTAAAGAGAGTCAAAGTAGAATGATGTCGTGTTCGCAAACGCGCCCTGAGTTTCTAGAGTAGCATTATTCTGCAGAAACGTGGTTAGCTCAACTTCGTCACGATGTTTGCACCTACAGGAGTTAATGACGCTCGGTACAGCGAAGAATACAGCATCTCCGTCACATTATGGGGCGTGTGTACAACATCAATCTCGATCTTGCTGAGCTTCTCCTGCCAAAGAGCTTTGGACGCCTTCAGGGTTTCATTGAAGGAACTTTTGCCAATTTCCTCCTCGGCATTGGCACAGGCCTGGTTTGCCGAAACGAATGAAATACCAACACGAAGGATCACTTCCTCTGGGTTACCCTCATATGAGAAGAGTGCACCTGATTGGTAGGGTGTACCGCCTATCAAGTTCTGAGAGAGATTGAGGTGGGTCTGACCGAGTCCCTTTGCGTCGAGGCCGTACCTGATGAGCATATCGTTGGTTCAAATATAACAGTAGTACTCGATGCTCACTTATCACCCGTCCAGATGCCATATTCGCTCAGCTTTTGAGTTCCGCCGTTCAAGAGATCATAACAAGCAAATACTTGGTAGTGGTACGAGCCGGGACCGAAGCTGACACACAATCAAACTGATTTACCACATCGCCGATCAAAAAAGTTCAATGCCTACCTGGAGCCATATTGGCCGCCGAGTGTGATACGACCCTGTACTGGATCGATATCGAGGGACCCGCCCGCAAATGATGCCGGCAAGTCATTGGCTAGGTCGAGGACAAAGTACGGTTTTGAGCCCTTTGGGAATGTAAAACGTTCTAAACCAGCACGACGCGTCGACGTAGCTTCTATCTTGATATCATTATCTAAAGTCAGCGAAAAGTAGCCCGGGGACGCGTCTGATGCGCTCATTTCAGCTCCTAGGACTTCCATATAACATAGTAAGACACTATACCATCACTATCGTTCTTCCTGTACCTCTCACGCGCCTCCAGCGTGGTCGTGCACGTATGGAATCCTGAAGGACAAAGGAGGGGCATGACCTCGAAGTTACCATACGTTCCGAGGGATGACCCCGTGCCACTGTCATGCAGGGGACTTATTCCGCGAGCTTTCTGCGACGGATCCGAGTTGTATCCTATGGGTGATTCATCACGCATTGTAACGGAAGCGCATATGGCCGCAGTGCAGATCAACTTACCCGCTGGCGCGTAACCTGTGAAGTCGGTAGTGAATTTGACCTAGAGGTAAGCATGCGCGTTGTTGTCACGGTGATGTTCAAATTGAGACGTACCATTCCGAAGGGCACCGACGCGCCCGGACTACGTAACGGGCATCGTTCAACAGCTTAAGACGCGTCACAGAGGAAACCTACCAAACATCTCCATAATAGGTGTGATCTGGGAAATAGTTGTCAGAACACGCGAAGCTGCCGAAAAATCACCCGATCTACCAGTTCCGATGAAAGGATTCACGAAAGCAGTGTAGTCGATATTGGTGGAGTTGGATGCCTGGGCAGCTGCTATAGCAGCACTGATACGTGCTTGAACTTTTGGCGATGGCTGAGCGTATGTCGTGCTAATGCACACCGCAGCAGCGGATGCTAGTAGCCAACCAACCATGATGACCTGTAGTTCGGTTCGTGTTGTGGGGAATAGCCAACGTGAGCTAACGCTATATAATAGCGCTTATGTAGATCTTCCAAAAATTTTAAATGCATTCATTTAATGACCCGAACACTGTCGGACAACGGCATCAGCACATGGAGATACCTTACGTGCATCTGGAAGAATGTATCGCGCGCAGGCTTACTTAAGTATATCCGTGACGTAGCTCCGAATTTATAGGATTCATCGCTATGGCCACGCCACGCAAAATACGGGATGTACATTTGGAGATGAGAAGTACAAGCTCATCAGTATGCTACGGGGCGCGTTGAAGTCGGGACTTTGTCAGCGTTGAACGGAAATAAATACAAGATGAAGCCCGTCACCGCGATTTGCCACGCGTCGTGGCGAAACCCCATGCTTTCCCGAGGTCTAAGGCCAAAATTTATTAGCATATTAGCAAAGTGCTGAAATATAAACCCACAGAGGTCACGGTAAGCCTCGGCTCTCAAGCTGTTTGCCAGCAATGTGTTCGAGTTCCTTACAAATAAGGTCGAGACCTATGCCATCGCCATTCCAGTATAATTCCTCTTCCTCCGGAAGCTTCGCTAGAACATATTCCGCTACATCACCAGGACCCCTACCAATGCCAATACGAAATCGATGAAAATTAGTTTCGCCTCCGAGTGCCGATATGATGCTACGGACACCATTGTGCCCATTGGCAGAACCGCCTATTTTTGGAGACAAAGCCTTCGGTTTATGCGATAGCGAATCGTGGATAATGACCATTGCATCTGAGGCTTTGACAGACTTGCGGAGAGCTCCTGCCACTGATGGACCAGTGATATTCATGAGGGGCTCTGACAGAGTGTTCAAAGTCATCGAGAAATCAAAAACAGTTATATCACTAACTTGGTTTCAGGAGCGTTAGAGATACAACAGTTTCACCTAACGTGACCTTTGAACGTCCAGTCACGCCACCCATCGTCCTGTCATTGGACATATGTATATGGAATCTTGCGGCTAAGGCGTCGATTATGAGATGCCCAATGCTGCGGTTTCAGTCAGTTTTTCGCTTCAGATGTCGATTGCATGGAATGGGAACCCACCTATGGCGGGTCTGGGGAAATGGAAGGTTACCAAGACCTACAAGAAGCAGTTGGGGAAGTCCTGAAGCAACGGTCATCCTGCAAAATTTGTTGAGGGTTGGTTTGGTTACTTATAGCGAAGGTCGATAAGAGGAATCGAGTTTTAGTAAGCCCTCGAGAGTTCCTCGAGTCATAGCTGGCAGCAGCCTGTGCACACAAGTCGAACTGAGCGTGACCGTCTGTCAAGTGTGACTCAAGGTCTAGGAGGGCACTGTGACACAAGCCAGAAAGGAGGTCATGCCGAAGAGATACCATAATTAGAAGTGCCTCGGAGGATGAATATTAATCCCGACGGTCCTCACTTCAGTCGTGACATCCCACAGATAGGCTCTTGTTTGTCCTTCCGTCTTCCGTCTTTGTCTTCCATCTTTCACCTTGTTTTTATACGATGTCCTCGACTGCGACGGAGGCCAATAGTGAACTCCGTCCTCGTCACAGACGCCGCTTTTCAACGAATGATGCACAGCGCAACCTCCGTCTGGCTATCTGCCAGCGCTTGCCTCATTCACTCGAGGCACTCGACCTCTCATCTAACTCGGCCAAAGAGACTTTTTCTGCACTCAGGTACCTTGTCCTATCGTATTTAGAAGATATTGAGATGAGATTGGCTAAACTGGAATCTCCAATCACTCCAATTACTGACCTTCACCTCACTGAGGCTTTGAAGAGTAAGGGTGGTCACTCCGTCGAAGAAGCCAGACAGTGGGCTAAAGATGCCCTCGAGATGCTCCGTAGTATTCGAACGGATGTATGCTCTCACTTCCCGGACCTCCATCTTCCAGACATGTCCCCAGTAAAGTCCCATCTCCCCGAACTCCCCGATGTTCCTTCCCTGAGCGACGTGCGCTCGCGTCTACCTGATATTCCGAGCGTACGTCCACATATGGCAGCCCTGGCTCCAAGCGATATCACATCGCTGTTAGAACATGCCTGCTCCCGCTTTTCCGACTTTGATTTTTCTGGTTTTCTGCCAACTCTTTCCGCTCGCTTCCAGTCCTTCCATGAGCACCTACGTTCGTTTGATCCTCGCTCTAGTGAGCTTTCATCTCCCCCGGGAAATTCCCGTATATCCGGCCTCATTGATTCCATCATGTCTTCCGAACTCATCACTGAACTATCTGATGATGTCACTGAAGCAGAGGCTATGATAGAAGTGGCAGCAAAGGACATTGCTCGTGCAGTAAAACAATCATTACAAGGATCACGGTTAATTAAGTATGTCGATCTTCCGCCAAAATGGCGGAATAATCCATTTGTCCTCGGAGGCTATCGGTATGTGACAAGTCCCTACCGTCTTTGCAACACGTTTATTAGTGCATCAGGTTCATCCCCCTAGAAAAATGGCCACTTATTATCATGTCGCTATTCGCCGTACACAATGAAACCCGTATGTTGTTTTTCTTATGAATATGGTTACACGCTGACTATCCCAAAGTTAACATACATACACATCTCATTCCATTCGTTCTTTGGCTCATCAATTTGATATCCATATTCAATGCATCAAATATTGTGGACGCCCCGGAGGTGGCATTTATTTCGTTTGCTCTTCTGTGCCTTTTCAGCAGTGTGCTCTGGCACACCATGGCCGGCTGTGCACATCCTCAGGGCATGGAGCTTTGCGCACGGATAGACTATGTAGGTATTGGATGGTGAGTACAATTGGGTGCTCCTTGAATTTGCTGAATCATTTACATCCTTCAGGCTTATCAGTGCCTCAGTTGGCACCGTCGTATATTATGGCTTCCAGAATTGTCATCCGGAAGTGGGAAACGCATTTCTTGTCTGTTGCTTGATGACTGGGATTGCAGGGAACGCATTCCCATTCTTCAAGTGGTTCGATCAAGCCGAGTATAAAGTAATGTTATTTTTCGTTATTAGAATTTCTTACTGACTTAATCCCTTCAGCACTGTCGCATTGCTTTCTTTCTGTCCCTTGCATTTACTGCGGCCGCCCCGATGACAGCCCTCGCATACCTGCAATCACCTAGGCAGATGCTCGCTTTCATTAGTGAGTCCTTTTCTCTGCCATACTTTATGACTTCCCTCTTGTTGATAAATTTTTCTAGACCCCATTTGGCCCTCCATCACATCATACCTCATTGGCCTTGTCTTCTACGCGACACACATCCCGGAACGCTTCCTTTCTGAGCGCTACTCTCACTGGCTAGACTGGTGTGGTGGCGGTTCTCACGCAATCTGGCACATTTTTATTGTGATTGCTATCGGACAACACCATGCTGCGATCGCAGAGCTCCGACGCGGCATTGAGTGTCATGCTGTATCGTAATGCTGATTTTTTAATCGGGCTGAATGCATCTAGAGGAGCACAGCTGATCTGTTAGACCGTTTGCTGTCATCTAAGCATAAATAGGATCAACCGCTCCGTTCTTATATATGTTAGACATATACAAGGACACCCCTTCGGTCACCTCCCCGACGATATAAATATTATATTTACAATAGTAACTCAGGAAACACGACACTAGCATCGTCGCTGCAGATATATAGATAATATCTCTTCACGTTCTCACTCTCTTAAACGCTGTGTACACTTAAACGTGAGCGTCGAAGAGATCAGTCCAAAGGGTTCACGCTGTGGTCAAGCCTTTACATCCATGATTGCCATATTCGATTTACTCTCCTGGCTCCAGCGCGATTCACGAAAGCCATAAATTAAGGTTCAGCGCTCAGCGCTCAGGCCTTTAGGTTCGTGAATGCCCTGGTATGAGGCCACCAGTTGGCCCCCGCCTGCTGTATGCAATCCAGTCAAGGTGAGGTGACTGTACTACTACAGCTGCTTTCATATCGATAGACCGGATTTATTTTACTTATAGAGTTCGACGAACAAAAGCCTCCAATCTCGCAGCACCCGCTTATCGATTGACGATATTGTGATACTATGTGTACCAGTTACAATATCTCGAGCATCCTGATGTCCATCATGTCGTCAACAGATGCCATGTCCCTGACTTGTGCGATAATATTGTGATCCGAAGCGATCCTCCTATACTCCCCACCCCACTGCCGCGCTAGCAAAAGTGCGCCAAAAGGCTGTCCGAGGCGAACAATCAACCTCAACTCTCGCATGGTCGGCTCGTTATATATAGAAGACCCAGGCTCGGACCAATCTTCTACGCTCTGCATCTCGTCCGCAAAGTCAATCAGCCCGAGATCATGCCGTTTCCACGGACGGACAAGCAGGAATGTCTGCCGGCTACGCCTCGTAGGCGAGAATTGTGGAAGCCTGTCTTCCGTTGTGATTAGCAGGTCTTGTAGCCCGTCTGCCTTGACTTCATATGTAAAAAATTTGTCCCCGTCTCTACCACTACTCCGCCTGACTTCTGTCAGAGGAAATGCGATGCAAGGCAATTGCAGTCTAGCGTTGGCAAAACGAGGAACGCTGAGATTTTCAAGGAGGGTATACAGTTTCAAAGCTGACTCCACAGGCACAATATTGTTTCGCAGTGCGGAAATTGATATCTGCATATCGTGTTCAGATAGAGATGGAAATATGCATGGCAGAGCCTTGTACGAGGAAATCTCGGCTGGGAGACAACTGTTGAAGTTGGATGATTGTCCCACCCAGTCTAGGGCCGAGATATCGCCCGAATGGGCTATGATCTCCTGCAAGAGTCGTCCGAGTGCCTTTTGTCTTTTCTCTCCATAGATAACAGGAAGGTTGACATCAAAGATGCCAAACAAAGAGTAGGCAATGTCTTCCTCCCGAGTAGTGTCACGGTTTGACGCCCATCGGAGTTTCTCTCGGGCATCTGTTGTCCCCGGACGGAAGTCGACGAGCGCCCGCGCATTTATGCCTGTTGCATCTTCCAACTCCTGCATGATACTGACAGATTTTTTGTGGTTGCGTGAACGGTTGTTGAGATACAGAGTCCAATCTGCTTGGTAGAAGAGAACGATTTTAGGAGCGAGGAACTCCTGGACGGTCCATCCTCGGGTGTTCCAAATGCTGCTTGCGAGCGCGCCAGACTCTGACGAAGGAGGAACATCAAATAGGTAGACAATGGTGAGCGCTGAATAGTGATACCAAACGAACATGGAGTTGACTGATTGCTGGAGCTCGACATTGTTGTTCTGGTCGATGCAGCATGTGTCACTCCACGCCCATCGATGGCCTGCATTGCGAGCAACTTTGCAGAATTTCTGCAGCTTCAACACAGTTCCAACCGGATCCAAGTCGTATATGTTCCTGCCTTGAATGTGGTGCAGTAGTAGCTCCTTGGTTTCCCACCTATGAGATAACATGACCCAGCTGAAGTATTTGATGACCGCTTCTTTGATAAGCTTCGTTTGGAGGGGCGCACGCATCACAAATGAATGCAACAACTCCTTGTATTTTGTACTTTCCATGAATACATTGATCTGCGCATCTCGATTGCACAAACGTCCAGTAGAGGTGTCGATTAGACGAAGTGGAGCGTTTTCCAGCTGGGCGTGAATGGCTCGTCGAATAGCACCTTCTACTTCAGATGGACTGACATATTGCTGGCGTAGCTCTGCAAAAATGTAAGTCATCTTCAAGACGGCGCTCGAGTTGTTTTGGGCTTACGTCGTATCTGTTGGTCGGGTGCATCATCCAACTTGGAGAGCATGATTGTGAAAGCCTCGAATGCATCATCATAGCGTTGTGCCTTACGAAGCGCTGCATGCTTCAATTCGTATCCAAGATGAGACGAAGGGTTGAGCTCAATAACCTGCTAATATCATCACATTCGTCAAATTAATGAAGGATATTTTCCGCACCTTTTCCGCGTCCAAAAGGGCTTCTGCATAGAGATTTTGGCCCAATTTCAATTTACTGCGATGCGCAAAATAGAAATCGTACAAGGGATCTAGCCCGAATGTTGCGGAAAGTGTGTCCTCGATGAACCAAAGCTGGGGATTCCCAGAAAAGTCGCCACTCGCGAGTAGTTCTCCACCGGGAGAAATTGCAACGCAGAAAGCCGGTGCGGTGTGTTCGAGTGCCTGTCCTATCTGCTTGTGTGATGTTGTGCTCCACAGGCGCACAGTCTTATCGTGCGAGGCAGTGGAAATGAAGGAGCTATCAGAAGAGATAGCCAGGGAGTAGATTTTGTGGGTATGACCAGTGCAAGGCTGACCGATCTGGAGTCCATTTGAGCAGTTCCAAAACTTGATTATTTTGTCATCTGATGCGGAGACAAGTTGCTGGCCGTCAGGCGACCACACAACACTTCGAACGACATCTTGATGAGCGTGAATCTTGAGAAGAAGCTTGGCGCCGTCAATGCTCCAAATCCAAATATTGTGCCATGTTCCGTGTGCTAACTTTAGCCCATCTGGGCTGAAGGCGACAGAATACACCCAATCCTGAGGATCATTAGCGAATTTTATGAGGACAACACCAGTCTCTGCATCCCATATGATGACTGTAGCGTCCCATGATCCGCTTGCAATTCTCTTTCCATCGGGGGAGAAGCACACTGAGGACACCCAGCTTGTATGCTTCACCAGCGGACCGAGTACTTTCTGCTTGCTATCGACATCCCAGATGGTGATGGCTCCATCTGCCCCACCACTCGCAATTCGCCTGTCGTCTGGCGATACAGTGACTGAATTCACATAGCCACTGTGTCCCTCGAATGGCTCTCCCACCACTACGCTTTTCTCCACGTCCCATATTTGCAGGGTTTCATCCATTGAAGCAGTGACAATCCGTTGACCGTCTTTGAAGAATGCAACAGCCAACACTGCTGTCGTGTCTGTTGGCGCCGGCTGTGTTGTCTGCACTGGGGCCCCGCGCCTTGTCGGCGCCCTTCTCACAGTATGAAGATACGCTTTTCTTGCTACATTGAGCAAGTCCTTCATATCGCTAAACAGGGAGATAAATGGTCAGTACTTCAGTAGTGTTTGACGTTGATGAGGACTCAAGAGCGTACTCTGGTAAAGTTGTTGCTTACTAATGTGTTGTGAGAGGCCCTAGTCTGATCACAACTAACTTTTATTATATATTATACTTTCATTGATCGCTCCCAGGCCATACCAGTGACAGCGTGGATATCATTTCACTCCTTTGAGATGCTCATTTTGTTCACACCGAATCCCTTATGATTTACTTACTCAGAGGGCTAGCACTCTGCCTGAGTCCGCTCCAACTCCGCTGCGAAGGTCGTTGACCAATTCGGCAACTTCAGCTATCGTGCGGAACAGGGAGAGAACGGTGCGAAGTGGAGGACGGGGACAGATGGAGGCGAGAAGAAGTCAATGTATGTACAAAATGTGGACATTAGGGTAGTGAAAAACGCTAAGAAAAATGAGGATGAGACAAGTGTCAATAGCATGAATTGGAATGAAGGTTTTAAAAAAAATACTATGAGGTGGCCCAGTGCTCCTGGAGATACTCGATGCGAAGGTGCTTGACACCATTGTGCACAGTGAGCAGTGCATCCAGTGTCGTTCCATCAATCTCGAGCTCCTCATACAACTTAAACAACACAGTCCCTGATTCGAGTGTCGTCGATCGGTCCAGCAGCATGGTCACAAATGCCTCCTGTTCGAGGGCAGGGCTTTCACTGGAAGGCCGTAGGAACACTTGCTCATAGATTTGCTTGACAGTTTCGAGGAAGGCGTGTGGATGGAAGTGCTTGCCTTCAGAGAATATGCCTGGTGGCTGTGGCCAGGGTGGAGGCGGCTTGTTTTTGGACACCTGCTTGGTGCCATCAGCACAAAAGCCCATCAATGGTTGTACCCCAAGTTCTCGGGACCAGGGTACATGATGGTCTTGCAGTGGGAGCATGTGTGTGCCTTGCAAATCTGGGAAGCAAGGGTAGATACTAGAGAGTGAGCAAACACAAATTTTTTCAAGAAAGCAATGTGCACCTTCTTCCCAGGCTCAGCCTTGATGAGCTCAATAGCTTGGCAGTGCCTTCTCCAGAAGGTTTCCAAACCAGAACGTGCTGTATTGTACAAGTAGTTAGCACATAAAAAAATGCCCACTGTGTGAAGCAGTTGGAATCACATTTGAAGTCACTCTTTGCCACACAGTTCATCATGGCCACCTTGATCTCACCAAGCTTTCAGAGAAGGGCCTGAGGGTTCTTCTTTACTGTTTCGAGCCCATTAGCATGATTCTTCTCCTCGAGACGGTTATTGTAGGTCTCAGTAGCTACAGCCTGTTACGACTTGGATGGTATCTGTTGGCGACGCTCAAACAGAGCGTGTGTTGTCAACGGTCGAGGACGTCCTTGGGCTAGCCCAAGGTTAGGGGTCTTACTTGGCGAGGCTTTGGCAAGTAAGATTTGACGCCTATGTCCAAATCGGGTAGCTTATGTCAAGCGGATGCGAGACGATAAGCTATATCGGCCAAAGCTTACAACACCCGAAGGTCAATCGTAAGATCATCGTTAATTAGAAGGACAGAAGTCCGACTAGTTAACAGGGGCTTTGCTCGTCGACGGAGTTGATGAGTAAAGATCGAGACTATAGGCTTATCCGCGAAGAGCAGATAAGAAGATAGAATATAGACTGCTGGTGAGGCAGAAAGGATCACTCTGGTGAGAGTAGGAGGTCAAGAACCAAGTAGATTCAAGTTAGGGAATATAGTACATGGTAGCGAGTTTATATAGAGGACAGGAAGCGTATTAGTGGGTGATAACTCGTACTACCAAGAGAGGTAACTGGTAAAGGGGATAACCATAAAAGGAAGGCACGTTCGAGGTGAGACACGAGTGAATCCTGAACGTGCAGATAAGAAGGTAAGTCAAACATCAGAATAAGAAGTGAAATGTGCAGGGGCACGATCATGCAGCTGCGGAGCTAAGTATAAGTCGCATGTGCGACTGCGCACCTGAGTCAGAGATTAAGAAAGGGAAAAGGGCAAAGGGGATGTGTCGTGCATCATATCATAGGTTACTGTCTGGACGGTAAGGGCAAAGGGACTGTCCATAGGATCAGTCGGGTGGTGGAACGGAGCATGGGTATGCTTCGTCAGCGAAAGGATCTGGCCAGATGTACTGGCTCTGCTGAAGCGACAGATAGAGAGTGAAAGGGAATGCAAGGATGACAAGGATGACAAGGATGACCAGGGTGAGGTCGGGGTAAGGGTATGATGCAAGGGCTGATACGAGGAGGATTAGGAGAAAAATGGTAGGGGCCCAAGCATCTAGATGTTCTTGTAACACAGCCCACTGTTTGGGCGTCATCTTGAAGGAGATCCACAGCAAACTCAGCTCGCATGTCCATGAACAAGTGGAACTTGGTATTGCCAGAGATTTGCATGGCACAGGCGTCAATTCTTGTTGCAATGGTGAAGAAGTGTTGAGAAAGGGTCATCCCTGGGGGCCTCAGAATGGGTGCGAGAGCGGTAGTACCAGCAGGACTGATCGCTGCAACTGGGTTTGGGGGAGTGGAGCTGGGTATGACTGCAGGAAGTTGACACTGAGTGCTGGCGCTGGCATCTGACTGGTCGTTGTGAGAGAACTTTGCAGTATGGCAGCCAGCTTCTTGGTTTGAGGTAGTGGTCCAGTGTGACTGGAGAAATCCCCTGCAATGCGGATCAGAGGTAGGTATAATGGAAGGGAGAATGGGAGTAAAATGAAGTTTTTCATATGAAGCCGTGTATTTTTCGTAAGATGAGTCAGTTGGTAGAAGAGGAAGAGGTAGGCAAAAGCACGGGTATGGGTAACCCACACGGGTAATGGGTAAGGGTACTGGCAGGTACAGGTGCGGGTTAGGATTACCTGACCCGCACTCTAAGCTGGACCCGTGCCATACCCGTGCCTTCATTGATAGCCTAGTGCAAATGAAGTTCGGAGGTATTGTATATGTCAAACTCTAATGTACAATCGGGAAAAGTCAACATAAGTCAGGAGCACAATTGCAAAACTTGAATTCACCAAACTCTCGCTGTCACCATGCACAAGTCTAACACCGCTAAACGAGTACCCAAAATCTCTGCCAGAGCCAAAGCTGCACTGGAAGCCACAACATCCAAGAAACGAAAAGCTACTTCAAATGGACTCGGAGATAGCACAAAGACACAACCGAAGAAGGTAAAAACCAACCCACCTGCTGGAAGCACTCTCACCAGCAAGGAGATGGCACACAAGAAGCTCGCAACACCTTCTAAAGATAGCTCCACATCAAGGTTCTCATCACATCGTGCTTCTGTCATGAGTGAAGAAGAAAATGCCTTACATACTGGGAGCACAGTTGTCCATATTGGTCTTGATGGCAGCGAAACTGAGAGCCAAGCTGGCGGTGAGGAAGACGACACCAACAATGCAAGTGCTGAAGAAGATCCAGAAGACCCAGAAGCTGAACTCAGTATGATCCTGTAAAAAGCAACCATAGTCAAAATCTGATGTGATGAAATCTAGCGAGACTCGCCAAAGATTGGACTGCTCCCATTTATTCCTTCTTCAACCCCATTCCTGTGATTGGCCACGTCAACGGATGAAGATTCCATGTGTTCAGTTGCTGCGCGAGAGGGTGCAACCAATTGATTCGTTGTTTCCTTGATAAAGCAGACGCGAAGTCCACAAGCAATATGCGGAAACACGCTAAAAAATGCTGGGGAATGGAGACAGTTGAGATTGTCGATAAAGCAAAGAATGCAACAGTGGCACAAGAATCAATTATCAAACCTCTCTGTACAACGGGTTCAATTACAACAGCTTTTGAAAGGAAGGGGAAGGGGAAGGTAACATACTCACACAGACAGCATACCAAAACTGAGAGCCAAGCTGAAATAGTGTGATGGGTATCCAAGAGTGTGTGGCCATTTAAAATCGTTGAAGACCATGGCTTCCAGTCATTGATGAAAACAGGGCAGCCTGAGTGTTATATCCCGTCAGCATCAACAGTATCACACGACGTTAAGCTTGTTTTTGCACGAACACGTAAACAAATAGCTAGGATGCTTCAGGTATGTCAGTAACAATGTGCACCACACAAACAACTCACTCCTGATAGAACTACGAGGGCAATCTTAACTTTGCTACCGACGCCTGGATGTCTCCAAATCACAAAGCATTTGTTGCTGTGTCCGTCCACTTCGAGCAAGACGGACAACCTTTCAGCTTGATACTGGATGTCGTTGAAGTGGCAAAGTCCCATAGCAGAATCAACCTTGTGGAGGCGTTTGCGAATATACTGCAAGATTTCGGCATATCAGACAAGGCATGTGTGATACAATCAATGTGTTGAATTAAAATTGACACTCACAAAGGTTCTGAGCATTACATGTGATAACACATCCGATAATGACACAATGGTCAATGAGTTGAGTGATCTACTGGAGGACTTCCCAGGAGAAACAAATAGGACACGATGTTTCCTTCATATCATCAATCTCGTTGCCAAAACATTGATCCGACAGTTTGACGTACCTAGAGCGAAAGCAAACACCATGATGGACGAAGCAGAACAGCAACTTCAAGATCTCGCAAAGGATATTGATATTGATGAATTGGGACCGAACGAGAGAGATGACGAGGAGAACAACAATATTGAGGGATGGGTTGATGAGATGGCGCAACTGTCAGCATGCAAACGCCAGGCTGTGTGAAATAGTGTTGGACCTATACGATTTGTCCTTGTAAAGGTTGAAGTAATTTCCCACTCGTAACAAAACAAAATACTCACTTTTGTTGTAGCTACGTAAACTAGCCTTCAAGATCATCCACTCTACAACCAAACTTCTTCCAGCGTGGTATGATGTTCTCAGGAAGTGCAAACTCAGTCAGCGCATCATGCCACGTGACGTTGCGACCCGATGGAACTCAACTTTTGATATGCTCACCTTTGCCCTTAAGTATCACGAAGCTATTGATATGATTTGTGCCGACAAGAACATGGATCTTCAGGACCACAAGCTGAGTGAGAAGGAATGGGAGCTTGCACAACAATTGTGCGATGTTCTAAAGGTAAGTTCTCCATTCTCACATTGAAGTTCAGTGCTAACAGAACATAATACTAGATACTCAAGGATGCAACACTCTTTTTCTTGATCGACAGAAAACTCACAACAGATTCTATCACGCGCGCTTATGAGCCGGCTATTCGAGCGTCACTCAGACTGGCGAAGAACACACTGAACCGCTACTACAGTATGACCGACTGGTCAGAAGTTTATTGGATTTCGATGGGTAAGTTTTCTGTCATACTTTACCAGTGTACTTTACTGACACTGACACCGCTTCCAGTACTGCACCCTTAACACAAACTATCATATTTCAAGGAGGCCAGATGGGGAGCTGAATGGATTCAAGCCGCGGAGAGTATCGTTCGCGACAAGTTCGAGTGCTCTTACACAACCACTACTAACAACACCGACTCATATGATGCTGTGGATGAGGACGAAGTCCAGGAAACATCAGCAGTATGTATTGTCTTGTCTAACTTTACTGTTTTCTCACCATTGTTTTAACCAGTGAAAATCTCATAACATCTTTGACGAACTTCCAGCGTTAGCAGCACCCAAGCAGTCAGAGCTCTGTGATGAGCTTGATTCATACCTCAGCACAGATCCGGAATATGTTGCTGATGTCTTAGCTTGGTGGACCGAACAGAAGGCAATGTATCCTTGACTCTCCCGAATGGCCTTAGATTATCTGTCAATTCCTGGTGAGTTTTTTTATCAGCCTCGCGTCCATTGGCAACTCATCTCGCTCGTTATATGTAGTGATGTCAGTTGATGTAGAGCGAATTTTTAGCCACGGCCGCCTCTTGTTATCTCATGTCTGCAGTTGCCTATCTGCCCAGTCTGTCTGTGCATTGCTTTGCTTAGGTTCCTGGAGTCTTTTAGGGTTGGTCAAAGACCAAGATGTTATGGCTGTTGCTGTGATGCCCGAGGTAGTTGGTGAAGAGAACGAGCTTGACGACAGATGGGATTCGATTTGATTGTAGTTCTTATTATGAGCCGTTTACATGTATATACTTAGTACCCATAGTACACCTGAATACCCATGGACCCATACCCAAACCCATACCCAACAACACAGGTCTAGTTCCACACAGGTATGGGTGCGGGTACAGCACGGAATACCCATGGGTTACCCATGCTATTGCCTAGGAAGAGGGTATCAATAGGAGGGAGAATGGGAGTAAAATGAAGTTTTTCATATGAAGCCGTATATTTTTTGTAAGATGAGTCATTGGTAGAAGGAGGATCATCAAAGAGGAAGAGTGGGCTTACCTGAGTTGACAGTGATGTAGTGACTTCTGGAGTATCACCCCCAGTAGTGGTAATCATATGCTGCATGATTTTGTGGGGCAGCAGCTCATCAGCTTCACTGTCGGAGATGACAATGGTGTCATCATCTGCTTTGCGCTTCCTCATAGCTTGCGGCTGAGCGTCTGTTCCAATGCTGGAAACTGAGGTGGCATGAGGGTGCACCAGCAATGGCTCAGCCTGTGCCTCGGGCATAGAGAGGAGCCGTGGGTCGATGTCGAATTCTTCAAGGATTTCAGCCCTTGTTGACTGCAGGACAAGGTCCACTGCATCACCATCATCACTGAGCACCTTGAGCAGCTTGTTTTCGGACATGTTGAGATTGATCGGTGAGTCTTCAGCCTTGACATCCAGTAGCCCGCCAAATGTGGATGCAAAGCTCGATTTGATGAGCCCAAAGTGCTCATTTGACGGCACATCTTGGAGCTCTGGTAGGCAGCATGCACTAATGGTCTTCTCCTTGAGTTGGAGATAGTTGAAGAGCTTTGCGATTCTGTCCATGAGGTGTACATGGTGCGAGCTGTGGGTGGATGAAAGGAAGCCTGACTTTGTTGCCCTTGAGAAGGTGACGCAAATGTTTCAGCAAAGGACGAAGTCATGGCAAAGCCCTGTGAAGGTTACAATCCCACTGGTGTGCACTCACTGAAGTGAGTTCCAACCTTTGTGGGAACCCTTCACACGACTTCCGTCCATCCGGATGTCTTGTTGTGGACGCTCGAGGCACCCTTTATGCACGTGCTTAAGCTGCTCTTCGTGAACCTATTAATTTGGTCAGTGTTTTGAAATGGGCTTTATATTTTGCAAGGACTTACCTTGCATGCCCCCGCTGACCATAGCATACCTTTGTGTGACCATTTCTCAAATATGGAGGTGAGTCTTGTCTCTTGCTCATGTCAGTCCCAATACTCTGCTGGGCTCCCTCCTTCAGCATGCTTCTTCAGTATGCATGCAGAGACCTCCGTAATGACTTCCTTCTGGTGAGGGTTCTTTGAAGGATTGAGAATTACAGTCGCATATCTTGTTGTGAGGATTAGATTAGCTCAGAGAATAATGTACTAGTAGCACTCACCTCATAATAAAATGCCACACGTCCAGTTTCATGGTAGCGCTAGGGAAAATGACAGCAACTGCACTGTGCACATGGCAACAATTGTTGGCAAAGATTTCTGGTGGAGGGATATCGAGTGCACCACAGCGCGCCTTGAGGCCTTGAAGGAGTTCACTTATCTCAGTGTTTGACTGGCCATGACAGAATCGCTAGTAATATTAAGTCAGATGCTGTCATATCCTGTATCCCAGACCTACATCCGATAATATTCCCACGCCTCATCCGGACCTCTGGATGTCCTATCCATGTCTCCAGTCCTCTACCCATCCAGATCCCTGCACCTCTGCACATCCACATCTGCACGTCCACGTCCAGATCCCTTTTCCTTTGCAGCTAGCCTGCATCATTCATCCTTGTCCCATCGCCCTAATGCCACATCCTATATATCCACGCATCTCGTCCGGACCATATCCGATCCAATATACAATAAGCTTCTTAATCCATTTCCTGTGCATATAACGTTAACACAGCCTATCCGGTATTCCTTGTTCCCGGTACCTTGGTTATACTTACTACCAGTATGCTTACTGATCCATTAACCTATGCTTCATTTCCGACTCGCGTTTGTTAACTTTGCTTATGCTTCATACATAGCCTCAGACCTTTGCTTATTGATCTTTCCGATAGTCACTTAGTATATAAACTCTTGTATATGTCTTGTAGTCCCTCAGTCTGAATATCATATTATTCCTTGCACTAGTCTTCACACTAAGTCCTTATACTAGTTCCTTCCTTGTGAAATCTTCCTTAGGCCTAAGGAGGAATTCCCTAGGCCGGAGCTCTGCTCCTCCAACCCTCTGATCCTATATTTCTCCAAGTTTCCAGAAGTTCATCCGGATCTTTCCCGCGGTCCTCCGGACCTATTCTGCTTTGGACATTGTCCTTGCAGCCTTACCTCTGTTTGCCTCACTCAGGACTTGTCCTGAGTAGCCATTACACCTATCCATATCAGGACAAAACCTCATTGTAATTTCCGGAAGTTCCTCCAGAACTTTCCTGCACTCATCCGGAAGTTACTTGCACTTGTCCGGAAAGCCCTTCTGAAGTTTCCCGCGCCTTCAGATATCCTTCGGACTTCCTAGGATCTTCTCCGGACATCAATCTGAAATTAAGGGCACATACTCGGGTAAGGGGCGCAGCGCACGAGCTGAAGCCAAGCCCCTCAGAATCAGTCCTACCCTTTGTGCATGGTCTTAACAGATGCACATGCTCAGAGTCTCAGACGCACTCGAATTAACTTACCCAGGCAACAATCTCACTGTTCTCATTCATCAGACTGATTATCCCACCCTTCAAAACCCTCAACTTCTTCTTCTCTCAGCTCATTACAGTTGCTTTTGTCGCAGCACAGAAGGTGTTGTCAAATGAGACGCTCACACCCGCACATAGATTGTAAAGGTCAGTTTTTAAACCGATGAGTGTAGTAGAATGTTCTCACCTGAGAGTGTGCGAAGGTACTCTTCTGATTCACTTTCCCACGTTGCTGAGACAAAGTCCTGGAAAACCTCACTGACCATGTTGTTTGAGATAGGTCTGTCATTGTAGTTGTTTACATCATATGGATCTGAGAATAGTTGAAGCGGGTTGGGACTGAAAAAGTCCATTCCATGTCGCACTGTTCGACGGCTTTTCCAAGCTTGAAGATAACTGAGCTTGCGCTTGTGGTACTCAAGAAGATGCAGTTCTGTAAGGTGCATCAGATCACTAGCATTTGAGAGACAGACTAGTGCTAGTACTTACATCAGACATTTTCAGCAAGAGATCCTGCTGTGGATGATGGGCACATTTCAACTAATAGATTGAACAAGTCCTGAGTAACCACGCATCTGTGGAAGAATACCGGTATGTCACCTGCCCCAGCCTGGCATAAGAACTCGGCAATCAGACTGAACACTAAGGAGCCCACCAGGAATGGACCAGTGGGGCCAGCTGCCCCAAAAGTCAGGGTTCGTTGTCGCAAAGCAATATCCTTTGAGGTTAGTCTTGACATTGCATCCATTGTCTGAGTCGCTATGCTCATGCTCATGTTCCTTTCTTGTTGCATCATTTTTGCAATTCTCACAACAAAGCTGCGTACCTATCGCAGCCTTGTCAACCATCAAACCATGGACATCACGAGGACCTGTGCTGGTCCATCCATCCCACTGAATGTTGTCAGTACTGTTGCATCGCGGACACTTCGCAAGTTTGGGATAGTAGAATGGATGGATGGTACAAAGTGCTTTCAGGTATAGTGTCTCGGGGTTGATGGCTGGCTCAGACTGATTTCGCTTCCATGCATGTAGGTACGATGGCGGCAGAAAACGAGGGCCAAGGATAGGAACCTTGCTGTCCAGGCATCAATGTGCAAGTCCCTTTGTTGACCAGCTGCGTGTCTTGTCTGAAATATAGTTGATATACTCGACTATTTCTGCCTCCCATTCATACTGGCGCCGTGGTCATGGATTTGCCATGCATGCAGTCGCATGTCCAGTCCATGACTCGACACATTTTTGACCTGTTTTGATGGTCAGGTCAGTTCCTCTTTGTTTTCACATAGTACTAGCATCCTTCTGCCTGCTTACTGTGCTGTTCCAACTTGCTTCAAATTTTTTCTGCAAGTTCTTCGGCTCCAGCACTGACAGAAGCCTGCACACAACATCTGGTTCATACACTGACATACTTGTCATGTTTCTCTTGTCTAGGAGGGCAATGAGATTGTATACTAGTGTGTATTGACTATGTACAGGGTTTTGTGGCAATTAGGGGCCGAGTCTCTTTCTCGTTCCACCACACTAGTGTCTAGCAATTAACTCTACCCGACTATTTACAAAGTCACCATCCCAAATAAATTTTTCTCGCTTCCAGTGATTGGTGGGGTGAAACAAAATGAATTGATTAGCTCAAGACTACTAAACAGTTCTACTAGTAGTTCAACAATGGCCCCGCACTCGCACCACGTCCCTTCCTCCACGTCTACTCAGGCTCAGGCTGGGGGGAAAACTACTGCTATGATCAAGGATGAAGAGAAAGAGAAAAGTGTGGAGGTATTCAGTGGCAGTGGTGCAGACACTGACGCCAGTCAGAGTCCGACTGGACCCTCAGATCCACCCTGTGGATATCACACAGTTTGGCTTTGACAAACAGGTCAAACAACTGGCAAACCACTTGGGCTTTCAGCCAGTCATGATCCGCAATGTGTACAAGCACGTCAGCAACTTCAAATGTACCAAAAAAATAGTAAAGTCCATGCACACTGCTGCCATGGAATGTGCCAAAGCAGAGATTGAAGGGCAAGAAGTAGAGGAGTTGTATGCCAGTGACAAGTCTGAGAATGACAGCGCCGGAATCATGAGTACTGTAGAGATACGCACTTAGCTTCATCACAGCGTCACACGTCCGACGAATCAAAGCTATTTCGTGTGACCATCACACAAAATTGAAGTCATCGAAGGTAAATTGTGACACATGGTAAAACATGAAAAAAATGCAAAAATATTCCCAAAAATTCTTGTACTGAGTATTTGCCATGCATCTCACTTTACATGACCAAAATTCTCTTCATCACCATCAACTGTGAGCTCTTGCTGACAGCAGCTGGTAGTGGTGCTGATTCGAAGCTATTGCTGACATGTCACAGGTCACACCCGTCTTTGAATCTTCGAAGCTAAGGTTCAGTTGGTCACACCCAGATAATGTCGAAGCTAAGTGCGTATCTCTACAGTACTAAGAGTTAAATTGATGGGAACATGTACATGACTCTCTGTGAGACAGTAGTATCCGTAATGACTGTGCAACAATGAACGGCAGGTAACCAATCACATAATGACAGAGTCGGCATCAGAGAGGCACAGGAAGCGGGGTCTGCCGTCAATAAACTCATGTATAATTCAAACAGAGAAGTACATACATTAAATTTGACCATCTTGAAAGCCTGAGACTCTCCAATGAATGCTTTTACTTCATGACCAGAGGTTGTGGTGCGAGAGATGGAGAACAAACCTAGATAGTATGTCAGTCATAGTGCACTGCGCTAGAGTACCTACCTACCGATAGGGATTAGCATGGGTATACCCCGGGGTATATGCATTGACACCCACACCCACACCCACCAAGATACCCACACCCACCAATATACCCACACCCATACCCGTACCCATGGAGGGTATACACGGGGGTGTCATTGAATTAGTACTATGAAAACAGCAATTGTAGCTACCCTAACTGTATTTGGTCCCATCCTTCCTCAAGTTCTAGCTCCTCGTCACCTACAACATCCGCGAGGTTGCTAACAGCTAAAATGTCTTCGTTCTTTACCAGACCCAGCCGGCTCCAGTAACTCAAGCACAAGAGGGCGCGAGTGGACTGCACATTTAAGCAAGAACGGACATGCAACAGGATGAGGCAGCCACGGCTGAAGAGCCGTTCAACATCCACTGAAGTAGCTGTGATCAATGTTAGGAAATCATTCGAAACGAGTAGGTTGCTTTTACCTTCTTTGGCCGTGTGCTGTCCACACTGGCACTGTCATCATTCTTTCTCTTTTTTGATTTGGCCTCGAGCTTCTTGTCAAGTGCAGCCTTGGCTTTCCCAGTTAGTTTGGTAATCCGTTTAGCGGCAGAATAGAAGGGGTTTGGCTGCATGACAGTAGGATGTGTTCATGATTTAGAGTTTAGAGTTAGAGTTTGCAATACTATTTGTATGTCTTTGGAGCTTTGGAGTTGGTAAAATATATATCTGCTTACTAAACCCACACCCACAACCCATGTGGGTTTCATATACCCATGCTAATCCCTACCTACCGATGATGTTCAGAGCATGGCCAGGTCCAATGGGGCGGGGATGAGGCAGAAGCACTACAGCTAGCTGTGGTGGACTGGTTGGGTAGTGAGATTCAGTATGACGTGAATCAGGAGAATGCAAGGGCTGGGTGCAGAAGGGCATAGGCGATGGTCGCGACGAAGGTATGGGAGTGTGTTGTGAACCTGATGGAGATGACATGCTATGCTTGCTACCATCCACCCAAGATCGCTTCGTGTCCATCTCATCTGGGACCGGGCTCAGAGGATGCTTGAGGGAGCCTGACCCTTCGGGGGGTGAAGGACAGCTGCATGAAGAAGAGACAGAGCCACAATCTGTGGATGAAGATTGCTCGGGTAGATATTGCAAGAGGTTGAGAAGCGAGCTGTCGAAATATATAATCTACTGCACAAAGAGCCAATGTGTATAAGTTACACGCCAGGATGATAAGATAGGGAGGCAGAGTACATACCTTCAGGCCATTGACTCTCGAATTACCCCTTCACACCCCTTCACGAGATCTCCGGAATCCGACAGGGCAACCCCTTCGTATGACCATATTTTCGACCAATTCATATACGCGTGAAGTCACGTGATCTCAATCAGGCGTCCAATAATCCAGTGCGGGGCAGGACAACTACGGAAGATTCTTAGGACTGTCGGAGTATGTAGAGGGGTCGAAGATATGGCTTTGTTGAGCTGCTGAAGCTTTTTGAGCGGTGCTAGGGTGTTGTAGAGAGCTCAGACGACGTCACCACCCATGTGCGTTGCACCTCGGAACAAAGTAGAGATCGGCGTGGGATTGAATCGTGCCGTTCTCCGCGAGATTTTTGATGCCGGCCTCCGGCTTCTCGGTGTGCCTTGAAATTTGACAGATTATCTCAACTCCGCTTGACTAACGTGCTTGCCTCATGACCACAACTGACACTTCTACCCCGTAGCAGATACTCGACAAATATTTCGTCACCTCTTTCTTTGGATCGCAAATATCGGACTGTGACCCTAAGTTAGCATGGGAGGAACATACTGAAATTTGTACTCTCCCCAGAAAAAGACGTTATCTGTGGAGAGTCAAATTTGGGGATGTTCGTGCGATCGATGGGCTTGGAATCCCTGTATGACCTTCTGCGAAGCTTAGTACACTCACTTATTATCCTTGCTTATGATTGTCTGACGGTTTACGATCGTTGCTTTGATTGCTTTATCGCGCGCACTTGAGCGATCGAGGTACTTAGTTACCTGAGCTTGTATGAGCTTAGATGGTCAAATATGTCAAACCCAGATTTATCAGTCCGTCTAACGACGACTTGCCTCATAGACGGGCTGACCCTATGTCGGGCATAGTACAAGGCTTAAGCACACCGGCTCACTAAAGTTTCTATGATCTACATAAATACCGTCCGCGATACTAGAATACAAGCTGTTGCCTTTTCGCGTAACGGTTATGCTAACGACACAAAGTTACACATAGTCCTATTCGACTGTGGAGGTATTCCTAGCTTTCAAACATCAATACAACGTTACTTATACGCGTGCGCCCCTTGGCTCTTTCCTACATGATCTGATAGATATATGAAGACCAGAATTCCTCGTCAAGTCGTTTACTCACATGATCATGAATGTCCTCCGGGAAGGCTGACACCGACCACTGTGGCATCACATCCTTTAATATGGCCTCGGGCGAGTCACGAGTGTCGATCATGATGTCGTCATCATCCATATCGACGTCCAGCATGAGTTGTTCATTCAGCAGATATTGCGAACTGTCTTCGTGCGATTGAAGGCTCCCGTGATCTGAGAGGCAGGGACTCATAGGGTGTTTTTGTGGATAGATGGGTTCCGGTAAATCATGATAACCACGAGCCGTGTTTACGATGAAAGGTGAATTGGCTTGATATGCGCAGCGTGATGTCACAGAAGATGGGGACGTGCGTATGGGGACTGGAGACCGGAAGTAGTATATAGCGGAGAAGATAACAACTGGGCGTCGACGGCCTATGCACCTTGGCAAATAAGGTGCTGGGTCTTCAGGACGGTACACGTCATGAAGGATGGTGTATACGGTGGGGTCTTTGGGGAATAATCATACGTCTGTTGTGTATCGAGGTCATAAAGTACGGACCTGGGGATTTGCACAGGAATTCCCAATACCTGGGAACTAAAGCTGTGCTGTAGAGCAGTAGACCATCATCCGATGGGTTCGCAGAATCGGTGAGATATGGTCCAATACATTCGAGCTTCGTGTCCTCGCTGTGTATGGGTGCGCCATCCAATAATACAATATAGGATGACTTGGCAATGACGACAGAGGTCGAAATGAAAGTTACAGTAGGATCAATATCCCTGATGCGACGCGGTGTGTTCGAGGAGGGGTGGAGCGCAATTCCGCTTCGATGGGACTTGTAAAGAGAAGATAGGTTACGTGAATATGACGAGGATGAGCTCCAGCGTGAATTAGACTCTGGTAAAATGTCAATGTATACAGGAGTACGTGTGTCAGGAACCTGATTATGTTTGGATGATGGCATGGTAGGGCTGTCACGATATCGCGGGGAGGATATAGTAGAGGAGGTGGGTAGGTGAGTTATCAGCGATTAGGGAGCCGAAAAATGTATGTTTATATCCGCGCTCGAGATGAGGAGAAAACCTCCGCTTCACTCCGCATAAGATGGTAAATGCCTGAAGGACTGGACAACTTCTATGTCTGAACCAAAAATAGAACGACGCCTCAATGAACGCTCAGATTGACAGATAGATGAATCCACATTCCCGTCCACATCGGGTGTTCCCATGCCTACTCGTTTTGACGATCTGTGGTTGCCCGTCTGGCAGAACATATACCTGAATATGAAGCAAACATCAATGGCGAAGGAATCGAACTAAAATTCGCGTTTCGCACTGACCGGAGGGGCTTGAATCGTTGAGGGCCTGGACTCGCAAAGGGGTTGGACGTGAGAGGCCTGCCAAGGCTGTAATCTGCAAGAGGTGATGTACCTTTCATCATCACGGCCTCGAGATAAGGCGGCTATGCAGGCTCAATTATTATAACTCTTCAGACTCAGAACGTTCTTGTCTGATCTTGGCTAAAAAAAAAATTTGTACCTTGCTTGGCGATATTCAAGTTAGCCGCGGAGGATTCTGTCGTACTGGATGGAGGTGAGCAGCATTCAAGCTCCAGAACACGCCACTTACACGAGTACGACGTCGCGCGACTCGGCGCGAGCAATGGCTCGCTAACGCAGGTGGGGAGTCGCCTTACACAGAGCGGCAGTGACTAGGAGATGTGCTGGGTAATACAGTGTAAGGCACTTTCCTCAAACAGCCCTCGAGAACTGTGGCAGCCGCCCAAAGTCGCCATGTGAATGGTTTACGGCCAAGACTTTCTTCAGTGCGGTGTAGTACGAGATCGCCCAGGTTAACTTCTCCACAGTCAAACGAAGTTTTGAGAGAACTGGCATCATTGTGCAAGGAGATTTTTGCTTAATCCCCTCACTGTGTCTCGCTACATATCAGAATGTAGTATTTCGCTGATATTAATCACGGAATATGTACTTTTGTTCGTTTGATACTCGGCGACTCAGACCGAGTCGCCATCTTACCAATACAACGGTTACCTAATTTGGCTGTGTTCGGAGTTTGAACACCCTGTCTGAGCTCACACAATGACAAGGCGGCTGGTGACGAGACTAGACATTCGACTAGGGGACCTGGAACATGCAGTAGGGATGAAGTGGTGAGTAAATAAGTAAATGAAGATGTGGTAGAAAGATAGCTAATGCTTAGAGCCTATCATGTTAAGTTGACTTCCTTGGCAATGTTGGCATCAAGGTTAAGAAAATAAATATCAACAAGAGAAAATGGATGAGTACTATATTGTACAGGTGGAAGTAGAAACGGAAGTGAACATATCTTCGGTGGATGGATCCAAAGAAATGCCATGCTAGATGAAGATATACGGCGCGATAAAGTCACGGATGGGCAAGTTATACGATGATATTAATGCTCGATCACAATATAATTTACTGATGGTTATACCAGGAAACTGCCGGAATACGCCGAGGAACGATGATACGAAGGATCTGCCCGTCAAATTCGGCGCGCACTTGCGCCAGATCAGCGTCATATCCGAATAATACGCGACGTTCAAAGTGCCCTGCATTAGGAAATAAGCACGTCATAAATTGAATACAAAGATCTACAGCTTACCGCCTTCAGGCTCCCATGAATCAGCAACGACGTGAAGTATGCGGCTCCTGCGGGTAGCGATCGTACTGAAAAGTAATCAACACACTTCCCGGGAAGTACAAACCATCAACAACTCACATGGCATCCCTTCTGAAGCCAGGGAGTCGCACGACCAGCCGATACTCCGACGACGAAGTCTCTACGACTATCCAAGTATCTGGGGGAGGGCCATGACAAAGAAACGAGTCGTACGGAGCACGTTTAGTGGCATCTTCCCCGCAGCGTTCAGCTTGTGTCGGCGGTGTCAAAATCACTGGTGCCTCGGGAGCAGGATACAAGCCTTCATTAGAAGATGATGCAGGCGGTTGCATTTGGTCCTCAGGCGGAGAAGGCGACAATGGGATAGGTGCACATGGCCAACCTGCCTGCGAGAAACGGGGTACATTGGACAGAGGAAGGCGTTGAATTTGCAGATCATTGGGAACTGCATTGGTTTGCGGACGCAAGGGCAGCGTTTGCTCGGATACCTCTGACGGTGACTGGCTGTCACCGGGGGAGGGCGAAGCGACAGCTACCGGACCATCCATTCGGGGCAGAAGATTGTAAGGCGTTTGTGGCAACCCCATTGTGGAACTAACATCGTGACAATTGGTAGGTTGCATAGACAAATGACCGTCAGGTGACGAGTATGGTCGTGAGAATGGGAAGATAGGCGCCGCTGTAGATTGAGATTCCATACCATGTGGCGAGAACTGGTGGTGATTAGTTGCTGAGGAAGGATGAGGAGTATCGGGTTGCTTGCTGCCCGGAGAATCTGAGGTCTTCATGTCCAGCGATGAGTCAGGGCTCGAGATTCTGGGTGGCGTATATGGGATAGATGGCAACGGTCTTGATGCTGACAAATGAAGCGACCCGGTAGAACTATGATCCAATCCTGTGAAGTCGTCACTGACGGCATATCGTAAGACTCTGGTAAAGGATTGAGAAACATCAAGATATACCCTTTCGAGCTAAGTGAATGTGATATTGTGTTGGAAGCCGTATTGGGGAATGGATAGCTGGCTAGCTGAGAAGAGCACGTCAACGGGGAGGATGGTAGGGGAATCTCTCGAGGCGAATGGAAAGACGTGCGTCGCTTCGAAAAGGACAACCTACGAGATGGAGGTGGTGGTGAACGGGGGAGGTGCAGATATTCTAGGAAAATCAACATGACAACAGTTCAGCGAAATTTATTATTTGAGTTGAAAGTTACGACAATTTGAGAAAGAAGCAGACAACATTATGTCTTTAACCGTGTCGTATGACGGTAGCATGGATATCTCCGGTTCCTGGGGAGATCCGGAAACAAGCCCCATGGGAACGAACAAATGGCAGGGGATTAAAGTGCCACAAACAAATAAGAGACTAAGTAATAAGCGTGTTGACGATACACCTCAGTAGCACTGAAAAATCAAGAAAGCGGGTTCGAGCTGAAACCAAAGAGAATCGCTCGACGCTGACATGGCTGACTAGAATAGTCAAGACCAGTGGCAGGAGAAGTCGTTTGAGTGAGAAACGGCATCGAGGACCACCACGATTGTAATATACAAAGAGAACGAAATGAAAATCATGGTCGATGAGCAGATCCCAAGGAAGCAAAAGCAATATAAAAAAGCCAATTGAAAGTGAGTCGTGACTAGTTCTTACCTGATATACCACGTTTATGATTCTGGGAGACTGTAGATTTCTCTGAATTAGGGGGAGCACCAGACGATATGTCACCATTGTCGCGCATGGTCAGAAGTAGGACGTCGGAGGTATGTCGACAGAGTGTCTATTGAACAAACGATGGGCGTAGTCTGAAGATCGATGCTGGATGATTTATGCGTTCAGCAGGCCGTCAGAACGAGTCGAGATCGGTAAAAAGAAGCAAAGCGGGAGGAAATGATATTATTGTGCGGCTTTGTCACATTCAATCGCCAAGTAGGTGGTAGTTCATGTATATGCGGCAAAGGTGGCAGCATTTGTATAGCGGGGGTGGAGTAGATGATAGGTGGCGTGAGACGACGTCACACCTTAGTCATGATGGCACTGCATTTAGGCAGAGAGCTTGACTTTAATGTGGGCTACCGAAGCCGGTATTTGCCGATTTAAATGAGCAAGACACGCCCGGAAGATCTGATAGTTGTAGGTTCAAGGTTATATGGGATCAATATCCAGTGACTAGTATTTGATTTTGCTGGCAAGGTGAATTCTTTAAGCTCCTAGGCTGATACTTTTTCATGACTGCTACTCCATTTATTCCAAAGGGAAGCATGAGAACATTAACTCCATCATGATGTAGGTTCCTAGAACATGTTCGCTCCTTTTCCAAATTTAGGTTTACAGTTGTGTGCGTACTTGCTATGAATCTCGTGCCAATATTCAACTTCTCTGCGGACTTAGGAACCTACCCCGGTTCGCATATTACAGATTGTCTACTGCTCGTCCTTTTACACTGCAGACAATCAGAAATTAAAATTTGTGTATCATCTACGCGCACATCCGTCAACGGTGTAGCTCGTGGGTTTTCGACAGGCAAGTCGTATCACGAGTGCATGATATAGCTTCACAAGTCAAGCACGAGTTTCGTTAAATGGAGACCGCGGCGCTCCTTGGATGTTTGATCTGGGAAGACACCGATATCAAATAGATGCCTCGGAGGAGGATGTCGACATATGTATGGAATACTGAAGGTCCTTCTTGGATACGCAGGTTTCGCCCGCTGAGTGATTGAGCACTTTATGTGACATGTATTACCTTGGCGCCAAGCTCAGGGTTTGTGGCTGGCTGGTCGTGGTAACTACGTTGAATTATCAGCTAAATGGAGACACTCGACAAGGAGTGTAACAGACAGTACCGGGAGGCGGAAATAGGGAAGCACTCAATGTTGATGCAGCATGAGTTCAAGATGGGTCGCCACTTCGAAATCAGCGTGGAAGTCATATTTCTGTGTTCCGACACACTGTTATGCATCTCTTCGATTCCACCTGATTCCCCGCGTTTTCCGCCCCAATGAAAACATTGTTTTCAATAATCATGCCACTGGGTAGCGTTTTGTCTCCGCGTGTTAGATCAAAAACGAGCACACCGTAGTGTCATATTTAGCTTCTTGCCATAATAGCAGGTTTCAGCTATAGGAGCTTGTCTATGTACGCAGCTGGTACATGGCATTTAGCTACTGAAGCCGACAGAACGGCGAGGTGATTGATTACGTACCGATCATGACTTCAGTTGTGGAACGGCAAGAGGCTCCCGACAGAACGGCGCGGAACCATATTTTGATCGGAAGTTCCAGGTAGATCGCCTGTGATTCCGGGAGGAGCCGACAGGACATTGTGGGGATACCCTTGGAAAGGTCTTCTCTCTCATTACCGGAATTTCCCTGCCTGTTCAATGAATGAATGATGCCAGCATGCCCATCCTTGAAGGGAATTTTGCTATGAGATCCGTGCATCAACTGGGTTTTGTTACCAGAGCCTTGGACCGGCGTTCTCCCTTCAGGTTCCTGTGAAACGCGCCAATGTCTTCTATTACTCGTGACCTTGAGGAATTACAATGCGGAGGGATCAGATCGGAATGCATCTGGTGATACTCAAGTTTCAACGCATCTGGAAGGGCCACTTAGCTCCATCGTGCGCGGCCTCCAAAGTGGTCCAGTTTTATGCATTAATCGCTTTTCTGCGATACTGACAAGAAGGGCAGTGAGAAAACCGAATGTGGAGGACGTTTACGTGTAGTACTGAGTAAGTATTATATGTGAATTTTGAATCATTCTATCAACGAAGATTACCACCCCCAGTAAAATCTCTTTTGAAAGGTATTCTAGAGTGCTCTGAAATGCTCTAGCTAGGTCCAGATCTGCTTTTGATTGAAATCTTGCATCAGGTAAAATGCAATGTATCCTTAAATCGTTGCCCCTTCGAACGGAAACCATATGGATCGTGTCCTGCTGGAGGCCATGGGCTAGTAGGAAACGACTAGAGGACTACAAAAAATATGAACGATATGCACATTCCTGCCTCCATTTCGGTATTGATTCAACTTGTCAAGTTGGCGGGCATTCACGTACTAGTACTACTTTACAGGTCTACCGCCGCTATTTCAAAGCTCTTAGCAACAAAAGGTGTTGTCTTGCAGACGAAAGCACAAGCGCCTGCAATTGTAATTCCGAGACGGCAAAACGTCGGCTGGTCGGTGCTAGTGACTGGTGATCGACAATGCCTGGAATACTGTTCAAAACTTAAAGTCTTATATATGTCGTATTGGTACAATGTCTAGGTCAGCTGTCTTTTTTCTCCGCCCCGCCCATCTCACGATGCTTCTGCTTACTTCTCTGAAGCAGACAGTATCTAAACTCGCGTTATGCCTTCTTTGCGCTGCCGGATATATCCTTGCGGCGAGAAACGCACCTGGTCAACCCAAACAGGCTATGAAGGTCAACGCGTTTGAGCTCGTTGGCAATAGTATCGGCAGTGGCCAACAGGTACGTCAGCTCGCCAGTCGCTGCTTCACTTCACTTGACTAACATTCGACCTTAGGCGTTCTTGGGAACTGAAGACAAGGTCTATATCGTCGACAAAACAGAAAACAACCCAACGCAAATCAATGGACACCCTGCGTGGGCTGCAGGTTTCTTTTATTCCGCGACTTTTAGTTCTACTATGCTGACGGTCTCTAGAGTGGTCCGCTAGCTCGAAACAAACGCGTCCCATGAATATTGTCACAAACACTTTCTGCGCGGTAAGCTTATTCTTTTTTCTTCCTTCATCCGCATAAAAATTTATGACAATCTGTTAGGGAGGAAGCGTTTTGGGTAACGGGACGTGGCTCAATGTTGGCGGGAATCAGGCGGTAACTTATGGCGGTGATCCTGCCGCGAGCCAACTCGGCGGAGGTCCCTACTACGATCCGGATGGTGGGCAATCGTATGCAGTCGTTTTTTTCCTTAATATATCAGACTAATCATCATGCCACGCTGCAATTCAGTATTCGGTACGAACTTTCTGTCTGACATGGCAAATCATTCTGAGCCATTTTAGGATGCTCAACCCGTGCGATAGCGGTGACTGCGATTGGTTCTTGGTTGCACCCATGACGACAAGGCGTTGGTATCCTAGCCTGTGAGTGTCTTTGCCGACGTGTCATCCACACTAATATCGCAATGCAGTGAAACGCTCCAGGACGGAAGTATCATCATTGTACGTTTTTTTCACACTTCGGTGTATTTTTTATCCGTCAACCTCCATAGGCTGGAGGATGCACATGGGGAGGCTATGTTAGCGATGCAGGACAAACCAATCCCACGTACGAGTTCTTTCCTAGTCGTGGTCAGCCAATTCTTTCGCCCATCCTTCAGAACACACTCCCTACAAACTTGTACCCTCTTATATGGCTCCTTCCATCTGGGAAACTGTTCGTCCAGTCCGGCTGGAAAACGGTCTTGCTTGATATGGACCAAAACAAGGAGACTCCATTGCAGGACATGCCAGATGCTGTCCGTGTATATCCTGCTAGTGCCGGAAGCACGATGTTACCGTTGACTCCAGACAACAACTACACGGCGTCGATCATGTTCTGTGGTGGTAGTAACATTCGTACTGAGCAGTGAGTCCAGATTCTAGGCCGTATGTCCTCAGTTCAATTATTGATATACGAATGCAGATGGTCCCAAACCTGGGACATCGCTCACTGGCCGGCTTCTTCTTCGTGTGTACGGATCACCCCCGACCAGTCACCGAATTACGTTGAGTTAGATGCCCTGCCGGAAGGTCGAACGATGGGAAACTTGATTTTACTTCCTGATGGAAGAATCTTGTGTTTGAACGGCGCGAAGACAGGTTAGTGCCAGAAAGTTTCCAATATTCATCTTGTGATGTGCTTTTCCTTGACTTTCAGGTACTGCTGGCTACGGAAACTCGAGTTTTAATATTGGCCAGTCATACGCTGACCAGCCACACTTGACGCCGCTCATATATGATCCAAAGGCACCAGCTACCAAACGCTGGTCTCTTTATGGAATTTCTTCGAGTACCATTCCACGCATGTATCACTCCACGGCTACCTTACTTCCAGATGGTAGTGTTAATATAGTAGTCACACCTGAGCTTCGCTAATTCTTTTTCTAGGCTCCGTCTTCGTGGCAGGTTCGAATCCCAACAGTGACGTGAATATCACCGCCCCCTATCCTACCGAATATCGAATTGAGCGCTTCTATCCTTCATATTATAACCAACGTCGGCCAGAACCTCAAGGACTTCCGAATCAGCTATCTTACGGCGGCTCCTATTTCAATGTTTCGTTGACGCTAGCAGACCTTTTTGGTAACGCGGACAGCGTCCAAACAGCGAAAGTTGTTGTTATGAGGACTGGGTTCTCTACGCATACAATGGTGCGACAGACTCAGTTACTCATTTCATAATTGATTAATCATCCGCTACAGAACATGGGCATGCGCTCGGTACAATTGCAGAGCTCCTTTACAGGAAACAGAGATGGAAGCGCAATTCTTCATGTAAATCAGTTGCCTCCCAACGCAGCCATCATGCCTCCCGGCCCCGCATGTGCGTCTTTGAATCTTCTCCCATGATTTTTGGATGACTAAGTTTCCGGTAGTGCTATTCGTTGTTGTTGATGATGTCCCTTCCGTCGGTATTCAGGTTATGTGCGGCTCTGGCAATATTGAGAAACAGTCGATGATGCCTGTGCAAAACCTTCCAAACTCGACCATTACTCCACAGCAGTCGGCACAAAAGCAGGTTTCTGGTACAAGCTTTTTGATTCATTCTGCCAGAAGTTGGTTGGTCTCTATGATAAAATACGTTGGAGTGGTCTCCGCTATCTTGCTTTTTTGAACTAGCGAAGCTGGTACGCCTCGTTTTTGCTGCGCTGTTGCATGATACTTTGCATTTTTTCGATGCCTTTACGATCTTTTCGATACTTTTGCATGACTTTTTAGATACGCATCGTATACCCAGTCGTGTACATGGACTTGACGTGGACCATACTCAGCTTCCTTTTTCATTGGACCTTTTACGTGATCTACATTATATGTTTCTTGTTCTCGTTTGTTTGTACCTCCATTCTCGAGGTACGTATCACGCACGCCAGCTTCTCTCTCCTACATTATTTCTCTACTAGACTGTTGTGATCACTTCCACAGAACACCTGTGTATTTATTCGTAATATGCCTCGATGATTCGAGGGCTGCCGGCATTCGGATCGTGCCAAGATACTAGTAGGTTTGAGATTATGAGTTCAAGACACTTGAGCCAACTTTTCCGAGTCCTCGTGCAAGCAGTGACTAGTGAAGGTGCCAGTGCTTTGCATAGTCTAGAACACGCCTTGAATGTAAATAAAGATTGCGGAGAAAGTCAAAGCTTTATATAACGTTAACGTTATTAGTGCGGCGAAAAGATAGTACCGAAATAAGGCAATTTGATTATCTTAACTCGTCTGCCAAGTACCACTGGTATAAATACTCAATTCACGTTCGTGCCAGCATGCAACGTTTACAGCAGCCATTATCACGGGCTCCTACAACTATACTTGAAGCATATCCATCCCCTGCTCCACGTCTGCCACAGTCATCTCTAATGCAATCCGCCAAAATGCATGTCAAGAGGGTGACGCTGACATCAAAGAAGAACTGGTGGATGGGTAAGTCGCTACGGTTTGCATATGTCATTGATATTTGACTTCTCTGTCGCAATTGTAGTCGAGCTAGATCAGGAAGACGAGAAGCCAGTGCATCCGTCTACCAAGTCGTTCTCGTCATCAGAAGAGACTGCAGTAGTACCAGACGATGGCCTTTTCAATCGAGAAGTCGAGGAAGAAAAAACAAAAGAAATGCCATCTCCCAACCCCTCGATACCTGTCTACAATCCACCACGGCACCCAAATTCGATATTCTCCTTCCCTACGCCAACAGCTTACTCTGCTCCACCAAACCCTACAGCGAACCTTGCTCCTGTGGCACAAGGTTCTGCCTCTGAGCTGTTCAAGTGCATCGTCAAGAAACCTGACATCGTACAGCTCGAGATTAATGGAGAGATGCAGTCAAATGCATCAGATGTGACAACACAATTCCTCGCCGAGCTGCGCGTATATACCACGGTGTCTCGACACCGGAATATCGCTACGTTTCTAGGATGTTTGGAGAACGTTGGTATGGTGTTGGAGTACATCGACGGACGAACACTATATGAGGTCATTCGCTTAAGACCAGCTTTAACCCGACGAAAGAAAATCGACTTTCACAACCAGCTCCTCGACGGCCTCACACACCTACATTCGTTTAGACTGAGTCACGGAGACCTCTCACTGCTGAATATTCAAGTGACGCATTCCTCCGATACCATAAAGCTTTTTGACTTTGGACGTTCTGTGTCTCTAGACTCGGTATTCATCCCGCCATCAGACGAGCCTATAGATCCTTTCCAGTACATTGCACGGACAGGGTCTACCGCAGCCGCAGCACCACAAAAGAAGGTGGAGCAAATACACCCAGGTACAAGGCCATTCGCGGCTCCAGAGGTCCTCCGCGGGGAGTGTCAGGATCCGATATTGGCTGATGCCTACAGTTTCGGGATGATACTCATTGCGATTGACCGCGTCGAGGTGGTTGACCTCAAGCCTTGGGAGCAACGAAAGGATGTGGTACCTGAGAGCCTATTTGAGGGGTGCGAGGTATTCGAGGAGTCCGCACGTCAATATCTAAGGCGGTGTGACTCCAGGAAAAGGCTTTCAAAGCATGACATGATGATGTTGGTGGACGAATGAGTTTTTCATTCACTTTGCACCTCCCATTTCAACCTCTCACTCCGATATGGACGCCATCGAGCTTCACAAGCCGATACCCCAACACAACACCGCAGTTCGATTGCATCTTCGGTGTATCTGCGTATTTTCCATTCTCGATGGTCAATATCCTTCTCAAATTTACATCCTGTACGACTATTGCTAATCTCCGGACACCACTCAATCCACACACACCCATCACTGTATACTTCATATTGGTTAGCTACGTTCTGATACCGAGTAATGGATTTTTTCTACTTTACATGCACTTTCCCTGTGTCGTAGCTTTGTACATTAAATCAGGAGTATTCAAGACCTGATTAGCTTTATTCCCACGTTTTGTCTCTACAGCCCAACCTTGACCATCCTTTACCTGTGTCACTAAACATGGCGACGGTACATCCCTCACGCATGGGTTTAGTCCCACAAGACCCAAAGGATAATTATCGCAGACGTGCACGCTCCCCTTCACCACGAACACGTAGCCCACCACGACACAGTGAGCGAGAAAGAGACAGTGGCAGGAACCGAGCGCGGGACCGCAGCAGAGAACGCGAAAGAGACAAGAGGAGGGACGATAGTAGGCTTAAGGACAGGGATGACGGCGACGTCAGAAAAAGAGATGACGATAGACGGCAGCGCGACAAGAGCGCTGACCGAGGACGAGATCGCGAGAGGGACCGAAGCGGAGAGCGGCGTCGAAGAAGCCCTGAATATACTGACTACAAGCGTCCTACGACGCCTCCACCTACTGAGGCTCCGTGGCGGAATCAGGAGAATCTGTACCCTAACCGGCAAGGGAGGGATAGACCACCGCATGTTGGTGGGTCGTATGGTGGGGGGACCGAGTATTTGGAGAGGTGCGCTTCTAGTCATTGAAATCAGCAAATGATGTATTGACTATAACACAGTCGTCGAGCTCAAAGAGAAGCTTCAACACTAAGCATTTGGCCTCCTTCTCCCAAGGCTCCAACAAGAACACTGTATGTTTTCATTTTGCTGCTCAATATTAAATTGGTATACTCAGATTACATCTAGTTCACCTTCCCGCGATGCAAAATCACGCAAATCTAAACGTGACCGGTCACCAACCCCTACTGACTCATCTGACAGCGAGAATGAGCGCAGGCGGAAGGAACGCAAAGACCGAAAACGTGCGCGGAAAGAGAAGGACAGGGCTGAACGACGGGAGAGGAAGGAGAAGAAGAGTCGGGCACATAGCAAACACCGGAGCTACGACAGTGCGGAAGAAGACCGAGAGAGAAGCAGGCGAAGCAAGAGCTACCACCCTCGCAGCCCAAGTCCTAGTCGTACCCCATCGCCCCCTCGTGCATCCGAGGACGAATGGGTAGAGAAACCTGCAGCTGCACCATTTGCCTCTTCGTCCTCGGTCGATCAGAAGCTTGGCTCTATGCCACCACCATCCACCATCCCATCCCACTCTGAAGAGGCGATGGACGAGGACTCTGATGAGGATGTCGGACCCCAACCGCTATACAAGGTTACCATGAAGAAGTTCGATGAACGCGCTTATGGCAGTGCTCTACTTCGCGGTGAAGGTAGCGCCATGGCCGCCTTTTTGCAAGATGACACGGACACGCGTATTCCACGTCGTGGTGAAATTGGTCTTACCTCGGACGAGATTGCTCAATTTGAGTCAGTTGGCTATGTGATGAGTGGAAGCCGGCACAAGCGTATGAACGCAGTGCGTATGAGGAAGGAGAACCAAGTCATTAGCGCAGAGGAGAAGAGGGGCATATTGAAGTTGCAGAAAGATGAGAGGCAGAGACGGGAGGCTATACTAAGGGAGGAATTTAGTGAGCTCGTGACAGAGAAACTCAAGGGGCCCCAGGTGCAGCAGAAGTGAAAGCTGTTATTTAGGTCATCCAAAACTTTCGCGTACATGTACTTGATCCGCTGGCAAGGCTAATATCAGTCAGTGCATGACTATTGACTATAAGCTGTCTATAATTCTGAACGAGAAGCTTTCTGCAAGCTAACAAGCTCGACATCGAAGACTAAGGCGGAATGTGGAGGAATAACACTACCAAACCCACGCGAACCTAACGAAGCATGGTTGAGTATATACCTCATAGATTACCGGAATAAACCAACCGTAAGCCATGTCTGAAGGAATCGTCAAGGTACGCTTTTCGTTGAGGCACATGCCTTGGAGACCTTCGTCCCATCCTTTAATAACCTGACCCACACCGACTGGATAAATAACGATCAGAAATGCACCCTGCATGCGAATTGAACTGCCCACGTTTAATAGGTAATGGTTGGCCTCGGTCGACACTACATGAAGATCATTATAATTGAACTTCCTCAACCCACAAAGACATTACTGACCTTGAATCAAACTTGCTCCCGTCGGAGAACAACGTCCCAGTCTGTATTCCATGCCTCATTGTGAAGTCACGCCCCGTAGACAAGTTGGGAACCAAAACTCACGTAGTGGACCTTAATGGCATCACCAGTCTTGGCAGTTGCGGGGCAGTCATCAGGCAAGTAGGTGACTGCAATTTGCAATTCCTTCGGCGGCTCGGCGGCCAGCGCGCACACCGCCAAAGCCAACATGGAGAGCCAAAATTTAAGGAACTGCATAGTAACACTAAAGGTGGTGTGGGTGCGTATGTATGATTGATGTATGAGGTGTCCAGTTCGGATACTGGAAGCGTGGGACAAGGACGGCTAATGCCGTGCACATAGCTGAGTCAGCAACTGTACAGTGAGTTCACGTCGATAACCTTATTTTTCATCACATCTCATCACAGCGAGGAACGACCCCGACATCGACAAAAATGGTGGGTTTTGACATTAATCACTGCACTATGTACTGACAGGTGGATTCGCTTTAAGCCTTCCCAAAAGTCCTTCAGAACGAAGCGTATCCTTGCCAAGGCTGGCCGTCAGAACAGGTGAGTGGGGTGTATCGATGCCTTTACAACCTAGTTATCAACCAATTTCAGGCCTATCCCTCAGTGGTTCCGTCTAAAGACGGACTCTAAAATCCAAGTATGTGCCGGTGTTCTTGGGGGGCGAGAGTGTTGCTGATAATTTACAGTACAACGCTAAACGCCGTCACTGGAGGCGCACAAAGCTCAACATCTGAGCAGCCTTCCCTTACTTTCATTCTCGATGTTTTGGCGCTGTGAAGTTGAGGCAGAGACAACACGGAGAGACGCACCACACCAATGCAACGCAGCATGTATCACCCCTTATTGGCATATTATGGCTATACAATCACCTCCGCATGCAAATATCACCTTTCTTTCTTCCTTGAGTCATGTTTTTTTTTCCTTGAGACTCATCGCCTATAGTGCAACTGTTATGCTCGATTCACAGTTGACAGAACGCAAACGATATCTTGACGTTCTCTTCTGATGTGATTGTTCCGAGCGCTGATACAGGTGTTGCATCATTTTGTACAACTGAGTTAATGTCCGTCAAGACAGTAATTGTCATTGAGTAGCGAGATCAGAGCCTTAGACTGCCATGTTGCGGCAATCCGCCAATTAGCGAACATGATGATCCGGGGCGAATGCCGCGAGCGCCGTATTGCGTGCACCAACGTGTTCGGCTGTATGCAGTGTTGACGGTTCCTTTCGAAACTTGCTGCTTCAAGGCTCAATATTCAATTCAATTCAAGTATTACCTGTACTTACACCACACGTCCTCTCTTCGAATTCCTTGCCATCAACTACGACGCCCGTATTTGTATCTACCATGTCGCTCATCTTCACAATTTTCGCGCTCGTCTTTCTGACCGAGCTCATCTCATGGATTGGCCAAACTGCTCTCCTTGAATTCGTTGGTGTTCTTCTTAATGCTTCATATCCATGAGTTTACAGTTTCTTTCTTTCTAGGCATGGGATCTCTACAGTAGACTCTTCGTGAATGCCTCATACACCCGACAGCGCCAGCTGAAAGCCGAGCTCCTCACGGCGAAGAAAGAACTGATACAAACGAGCGCGCAGGACCAATTTGCGAAATGGGCAAAGCTGAAGAGAGGTGTCGACAAAGGGCTAGCAGAGCTTGAGAAGTTCAGTACGTGGGCTCCACGACAAGTTCACGTATGCCAATGAACTGACGTGTTTCATAGATGGAGAGATTGCGTCCAGCAAGACTGCATTCTCACTCAAGTTCAATATGCTGATGTGGGTCCTTACGACAGGGCTATCATTCTTCGTTGGCTGGTGGTACAGAAAGGCTGCAGTATTCTACCTGCCTCCTGGTTGGCTTGGCCCACTTGGCTGGTGGATGGCCTTCCCTTTCGCACCTAAAGGTCAGCATTCCCACAGTTATTAGCACGATCAGTCCTTAATGACTGACCCACGCCAAGGTTCTGTGAGCGTCGGGGTGTGGCAAATGGCCTGCCGCAGAGTCATTAAAGTTGCAGAGCGCACGGTGAAAAATATCCTCGGTAAATTCAGTCTACTTATATCCATCATTGTCGAATACTTATCACAAATTTCCCTCGTCGGGTAGCACCTTCGGAACCCGTCGCCATCCCGGTTGAAAAGGAGACCAATTTCAAGAGCTCGTGATAAGGAGTAGTAGCGGATCCCCGTAGAAGATTCAGCGTTGATGTTCTTATGGTGACCTGTATGCTTTATGTCTCGCGGATCCGACCGTCTGTACTCCGTGTTCAATTTCAGTTTCACGTAATTTCGTGGTTGTTGCAGAAATAAACACATGCCCAGAAAGAAGAATGTCGGACAAGCGGTATGTCGGAGTCCCGAGACTAGTACATAACACACAATCTAATCTCGTTCCAACAACCCACTCACCTTCATCTTTCTCAAACATGGTCGCAGGCGTTCAGATCCACACAAAGGTCGACATTCCCAACCCTCAGTCTGACATCCTCACCGATGGTGCACTTGTCTTCCTCGCTGCACTCCATAGGACGTTCGAGTCTACCAGACATAGCCTCCTAGTTGCGCGTGATGTTGCGCAGGGCAAGTTTGACTCAGGAGTGCCTCTTGACTTCCCTCCTGAAACAGCGCACATCCGTGCTGAACCCTCATGGCACTGCGCACCCCCTGCACCCGGTCTTGAAGACAGACGCGTTGAGATTACCGGTCCTACTGACCGTAAGATGGTAATAAACGCTCTGAACTGTGGTGCGAAGACCTTTATGGCAGATTTCGAAGGTTCGCATGTCATCCACGATGTGCGGAATTACGCTAATATAGCACTTCCAGACTCCAGCGCCCCTACGTTCGCAAACATGATCAACGGTCAAGTCAACTTGCGCGACGCCATAAGGCGTCAGATCGACTTTGAATCCTGGTGGCAAGCAATACAAGCTGTCTGAGAAACCCGCAGTGCTTATCGTTCGGTAGGTTACACATTTTTCTAGCTCCCAATCCGATTGTTCATATTTCAATCTAGGCCTAGGGGCTGGCACTTGGACGAGACGCGTATTACCATCGACAATACCCCTCTCTCAGCTTCTCTCTTTGATTTTGGACTCTACTTCTACCACAATGCCAAGGAACTCATCAAGCGCGGCTCAGGCCCCTACTTTTATCTTCCAAAGATGGAGCACTATCTTGAAGCCCGTCTATGGAACGACGTCTTCCTCTTCTCTCAGTCTTACGTTGGAATACCTCACAACACAATCAGGGCGACTGTCCTCATCGAGACACTTCCAGCGGCGTTCCAAATGGAAGAAATTCTCTTCGAGCTCAGAAACCACTCTGCTGGATTGAATTGCGGAAGGTCAGGAGCCCATACATGGTTGTCCACTATGCCAGTCGCTCATTTCCGCGTGTATTTTTAGATGGGACTATATTTTTAGCGCCATCAAGAAGCGAAGGGCGGACAAAAGCGCCGTGTTACCAGATAGGAAAGATGTTACTATGGCAGTACCATTTATGGATTCGTATGTACGCCTTTTAATCCAAACTTGCCACAGGTAACATTTGCCACGTTCGCCCACGGTGATAGATACTTATTATGTTTTTAGGAGGAAGGTTGCTGCTATGGGGGGCATGTCTGCTCAAATCCCTATCAAGGATAACCTTCAAGCCAACGAGTTGGCGATGGAGAAGGTTCGAGCAGACAAGATTCGTGAGGTCACTGCTGGCCATGATGGTACTTGGATTGCGCATCCCTTTATGACCCAGATTGCTCTCAAAGCGTTTGACGAAAATATGCTCGGTCCTAACCAGGTTCGCACGGCGGTAGTGTTTTACCTGTTCCTATTGCTCACGCACCGGTTGTAGTACCACGTCAGACGTGAGGACGTGAAAGTGGCTGCAGCGGACTTGTTGAATGCCAAAGTTCCCGGAAAGGTCACGGAGGACGGCATCCGTTCAAATGTCTCTGTGGCTCTGGCATACTGCGGGGCCTGGATCGGCGGCAACGGCTGCATCCCTGTCAACTACTTGATGGAGGACGCGGCTACGGCTGAGATTGCGCGTGTACAGCTTTGGCAGTGGGTGAAATACAGCACACGTATCGACACTGGCGAACAGATTACCGCGCAGTATGTTGACCGTATAATCGCGGAGCAGGCGCCCGGTATCAAGAAGATCGCCCCGGGCGTCAAGGAAGGCCACTTGAAAATTGCCAAGAAGTATCTCACGGAGCAAATCAGGCAACAATGGCCAAGTGAATTTTTGACGAGTGACTTGATGCCATACTTGACGATGGCTGATGGCGTCGAGGACAAGTGGTATAGGAGCTCTTTGTAACAGTATAGCGGACGCGTACCTCTCGCACATATTTTTACTCAATGTACTTGTAGTATCATGCCGACTGATTAATGATTGAGCCGCCAAGGTGTTATGGCTAGCATGCACTATATCTCAGCATACAGTAACGTTCTCAAGGATCAGAATACGTGCGAACAAGTCACGGGAAAACTATGGAAACAGTTCCTCAGGCTAGAGCCTGAAAGTGTACCTATGCCTTAGAAACATTCACAACTGCGCCATGCATAAGTGCACGACTGTAGGGACAAGCCTGGGAGGAGTTCCACGATCAGCGGATCATACTCCCAACACACATGAGTAGGGGAAATGTACCTCATGGCCAGCCTTGATCAGTTCCTCGTCTTCCACGCCCTCGACCTTTATATCCACAGCCAACCCGAAACCCCCAAGCCCTTCCGCCTCTCCGAGATGCACGGTCGTGTGGATCACGGCGTTTCTTGCGGCATCCTTCTTTCCCGTCTTACCTGCCATCATCTGCAGGGCTCCGAGGAAACACGCTACGTCCATGGCGCATATATTCAGTACAGATCACGCGATTTTAATATATTAACGGATACGCACATGCGTACCCCATGGCAAAAAGTTGTTCAGGGTTCGTTCCTTCGCCCTTTCCGCCCATTGCCTTGGGCATTGCTAGGTGCAGAGAGAAAGGGGTGTCGCCGTCCAATGACTTCACCTCACCCTTGCGACCCTGCCCAGCAGCGGTAGCATGGACAGTATACTGCACACGAGCATTTAAGTTGAAAGACACGTTATTGTCAGAGAGGACGACCATTCAGTCAGTCAGCAGCACCTTGTGGTTCTTGAGGGTTACGGGTGCGGCCCCCTTGGTCGCGTACGACCGCGTTGCTTGGATTGTCCGCATACGAGATGTGTTTACGATACGTGCACCAATGTTCAACATGCTGGCTCTGCTTTGGCTTTCGAAAAGATTCTGGGTGACTGAAGGAAAGATACGGGTGGGAGTTAGATTGCGTGGAGTCTCCCCGCAATCGCTTACAATGCCATTCTACTCATCGAATTACATAAACCACAAGAAATAAAAAATAGTTCAATTTGAATATAATACAATGATCAGTCTACAATTAATAGCACCTAGAAACCACTAGCAGTCACACGCAACTGCTCCAGCTTTTTGAGCACCTCGCCCACTGTGCGGTCAAGTTCTCCAGCAATCGCACTCTGCTTCGACCCTGGTAGCCGAGCATATGTCTCACACAAATCACCATCAACAACTGCCTTCACTGGTACATAGTAGCCTCTCCAGCTCAAGTGATCTCGGCCCACTAGACTGCCCTGCTCAGTACGCATGTGTTGCTCTAGCGTTGAGATGAAATCGACGTCCTCCTTGGACACGAAAGGCACGAGAATTCCAATAGTGCCATGGATGCCAGTGTAGAGCAGGACCTCGCGACCACCAGCAACAAGTGACACTTTGTGTATGGAGGTAACAAGATCGCCAACGTGGAAGTGACACAGCATGTTGGTTTTATGCGGGGCACCCATTAATATACCCTTCTCATGGAGAATACCAGCGCCCGTGGGGTCGTCATCCACTTGGTCAGAGACCTTCGAGTCCAGGCGGTTGACAAATACGTTGCCGAAGCGATCACCAGCTGCGACGGTGTTATAATCTATCATTGTCGCCGCAGTAATCCATCTGGGTTGGGTGTCATCTGCGAAGATGAGTAGTCGATTCTCTGGTGCCTTGTATACTGCGAAATGGATCGACTCCTGCATGTCGCCCACAAGTATACGGGAACCCTGGGTGTTGAGGCTAACGATGGCAGTAGAAAATGACTGAAATATGAATGTGAGTAAAGTGGACTGACAATGTTGATGTATGCTTACTTTGTTCTCTGCTTTCCGTAAAAGCTTCTTCTTACCCATCTCATATATCCGAAGAGCCTTTCCAACGCCAGCAACCAGGCGTCCTTGGAATCCCATGACAGCAAGGGGAACATCGTCCGTCTCTGTCTAAAAGAACGCGTCAGCGAAATGAAGTATTAGTCAATACATTACTTCACCTTGTGAAGGAGCTCCAATCCCACTCCATCCTCAGTGAAACGATAAGTTCGCAAGAAACCACTGGTACATGAACGTGGAGACAATAAGGTATCCTGCGCGGTGCCTACGACGAGATGTAACTCATTGTTTCGTGCAGAAAATGGTACGAAAGCAAGGCTGAAAGCAGCTTCGTTGTTGTCTAGTGTGACAGTCGAAACGGTTCTGCCCTACAAAACGTGAATGTAAGCTCAGGTATCACTCAGTCATGATACGGGCCTTACCTCAACAGGATCGATGATACGGATTGCGGAAGCCCAGTTCCCTGCTGCCGCTTTTGGCCTTCCAAAGATCTCAGGAGGTAGGTCAAGCATTTCTTGATCAACATGCTGTCCCGTTTGTGTCTGAGACAACGATAAATTCGTGCTAGTCGCAACGTAAAGAACTAATCTCACCATGGCCTGTAATCGTTTATTGGCAGCCTCATCGCTCAAAACACGGTGGTCGCCTTCAATGAGATAAAAGTGGCGATTTTTGGGGTGAGATATAAACCTCCTTGGGGTCAAGGATAGCGGAATTGAATCTTGCTTCAATTTCATGCCCAGTTTTGGTATCTGGAAAATCCTAAGGAAGCAGTAGTCAATGTGAATTCGAAAAAAAAACGGAACAAGGAAGTCTCAGTAGGAACAATTGGTATTCAAAAATATTCGGCATGTCCTCCTTAGAGGTTCATCCGGTATCTCTATTCTCATCTTGAAGAGGGCATGATGGACAGGATCACTTACCGAAGAACACTGCCAGCTATGCCAATGAGGCCCTCAGGACTGAGCTCAGCAGAGAAACTCCATGCATAGTCCAAGTTATCAAAAATCAAGGGAGTGAAATGCATGAGATTTTGATGTGTGTAATTCAGCCAGGATCTGGACGAAAGCGCTAGGATGGCTGGATTTCCTTGGATTTGAACACGAACCAATCTGACTGGTCGGTTCCCAAGGAACCTGATTGTAAGGAATTAGCCATGATTCTCCTATGAGTGAAACAACCCACCGAGTCCGAGTGTCAGTTAATTGCCCATTGATAGGATCCAGTACTGTTCGTAGGAGAACGCCATTTTGGAGACCAATGTTAACAAACATAGTAGGCTGGGTCTTGTTGATACTCGCATCCAACATGTCAGCAATGCAAATAGTTGATGGCGGTGCTGTCAACGCTTGTAAACTAATCGTTTCCAGTGTGCTCTCTGGATCAAGTGACACTATTCGAACGGTCTGGTCCTCGCATCCGACAGCCTAGCAATGTGAGCACAGGATAGAACTTCAAGAAATATAGCTTACCAGATAGGGTGTTCTTTGGCGCCCCTCAGGTACCTCAGCTATGCTTAGAGCTGTTATAGTCGAACCCATAGCCTTCCTATCTTGATATTCATTCAACTGCCCATCAAGATCGAGTTCAAAGTAAACCAGTTCAGCAGAGCTCAGAGCAACCACCACTTGACGTTTGTTCGTCGTAGCAGTAACAATAGTCTTTCCTTGAGGAGCCGACCACTGATTGACGCGGTGGTCCGCAAGTATATGACGAATGCCATGTGGGTGCACCTGTAGGAGGGCGTCAGCACCAATTTGCTGGACAGCAAGAGTGGGCGCTGATGACAGGATACCGGTGTCCTGGACTTCTTCAATTGTTTCTCCAATGGAAAGGACAAGAGTTCCATTGACGAACGAGAGAATAATGTAAGTATCAAACTCGTCTACAAGCGACGTCAGCGGATATTCTTCAGGACACCTATGAAACAAAGACTTGCCGTCCTCGCGCCGTTTGGTTGTCCAGACGGCATTAGGAATACCAGGCAACTCTGAGCTAACAGATTCTTCAACGTCAAGACCATGGCGAAGTGTCCTGAAAGAACTCCTTGTTCCACGTCCGCAAGCGGTGAAAATTTGAGGCGTATCTGAATTTGGTAATAGGTTCATCACCTTGGAATCTATGATGGGGTCCAGGGATTCTATTTCGTCTGCGAGAGCGAGATTATCCAGTGGTCGTGGCCGGAAATGTGCATGAGGTAAAGCAATGGTGGGATTTGCCATTCCGGTTCCCGGATACGATGTTGAGCTAAACTCAGGTTCGTTGTCATCATCACCCAATTTCTGGAACTGGTACAAATAACTAAAATCAATGTCAGAAACTTCTTGCAAGACGTTGAATTGAGAGACGCACTGATTCCCAAACTCGGATGCAACGAAAAGGAAACCAGATTTAAGAATACAAAGACTGGACGCCACAGGGACAGTGTCAAAATACTTGATTTTTAGTGCCCTAACTTCGTCCTCTTCATGGTCGATTGTGACCTTGAAAAGGTCACCATCCTCGCTTTGAAGGAGGAAGAAGAAAGCACCCTGCGAAAAAAATATTAATCTAGATGACAGCGACAAGCTGTAACAAACCAACCTTCATTTTGTGCATGACAGCTGTAACGATGATAATACCTCGCTGACGATCTTCCAGAGGATGTTGTCTTCGTGGGATGGGGACACGATGTTGTCGTCGGTCCATGTGTCGGTAGATTATGTGGTCTTCACAGCAAACCAGAACACCGGATGGTCCATCAAAACGATCTGTAGATGCGACTTGGCCGCCAGGGACTTGAACGAGTAAATTGGCACGTGGATCTGTGGGCTCGCTCCATTTTCGAACGACATGGTTAAGGCCCAAATCAAGTTCGTAATACGTCAGCATCTGGGAACTCATCAGTCACCGAATACCAAAAATAATAATAATCAACGAACACACCTTCTCTGCATTGTTGAACGCTTCCCCTGTAGGGTCTTGATCAGACTCAGAGTAGTCGACTTCGAGGGCAGCAAACAATGGGTTCTCAAATCCAACATCAAGGCCGACGATATGATGGATGATCGCATTATTTTTGTGCGCCTCGAGAGGCGACGAAATCGTAAGATTTGCTGCAGCATCTCGATTCAAGATGTACACAAGTTTTGCCTTCTCTACTGCTGAGATCATCACGCTACGGCCCTTGGGGTCGGTCGCAAGGTATTGTCCGGGCACAATACGTCGCGCTCCAGACTTGCCGAAGGTTTCTTGATGGAGCTTCACGAAACTGCTTGATTTCGGGTCATAGTCGAGAATGATGATGCGGCCAGAATCCGAGCCTACGATTGCGTAGTCTGAGAATAGAGTATAAATAAGATGAAAACGAAAGATGATACGTACGGGGGCTCACCCTTGGTACTGCCTGTCAAACGGAAAGCTGCTAGAGAGCGAATAGAACCAAAGACATCAGAGGCAATGACTGTTGATAGTTTACCGGTCTGAACATCTGGGCGCAAGAGCTCCAGTCGAGTGCCACGAGAGATGATAATTTCCTGGGTTCGTGCGCCAGAGAAATTGCCAACGATAGCTTGCGTAGCTGCCGTCGGGGGCTGAAGCGTCAAATTATACAAATGCATCCCCCAGTGGTCAAAGCCGACGACGACGCGGTCGAACTAAAATCGCGCAAACAAACTGTGGACAATATTTTTACCAGTTTGGTTTGTGGCTGAACAACGGTTGAGCTGACATAATTGCTTGATTTTGGCAACTCCTGTTGTTTGCGCAGTTACTAACTTCGCATTTATCGACTGCATGGAAGAAATTTCGAGCTCCTTGCTGCAATGTATAATATGCTGACCACTCTCTACTCGTCGCAGATTGTTGGCTCTCTGATCACTTCCAAAACCTGTCACTCCTTTACACCCAACAGACCTATGAGAGCGATATTAATTTGTACACGCTCTCGACATTTGCCCTTTCTTTGGTGGTCGACCTTCTTGTCCGCATAGTCTTCAAGAGTCCAAGCTCAATTGCTGCACTGGTGCGCAACTGGCCCAACTCTCTTGTCGCCACCGCACAGAATGTAAGGTTCTTGAAACTTGCGAGCAAACTTTTCCGAGTCGCTAAGGCTACAGATATTAGTCTACCATATGGAAAGCTTCAATGCCAGATCGACCAGCGGTTGCAACCGAGGGAGACATTGTCAGCGCAAGAGGTGTATCCTACGGCTCCATTGCAGAAACGACAATGATTCATTTCACCGAATTCTCTATGCCCGACCAGCTTCTCTTCAGGAGTAGCGGAGGCATGCGCAGGCTGGTACAGGTGCTCCACTTCCTTTTGCGACAGAGGCTACTACTGTACGATACCTCGGCGTCGATGTCTGATTCCCGTTTCCTCCCAGTATAGGTGATGAGGATACTGTTAGATTTTTTTCGTACGTCTTGTGGGGATCCACCGATAGCGAACAGGACAAAGGACAACCTTTATGATGGGGCATTTCCGAACGTGTTACTCCTGCCCAGCAACATCCGGGACAATGAGCGTATCGCAGGGCTTGCAGTCAAAACATTGACGGGCGACTTTTTAATGCACGTCCTCCGAGTCCGTCTGAAGAGAAGCGTTTTTTGCAACCTTACCCAAGAGAGCGTCGAGATCGGAGGAAGCAGTTGCCTGGTCATCACCCAACCTCCCATCTACAACATCATATCCAAATTACCGCTATCGCCTCGCCTGATCCAAAGCAAGATGCCAACTTCCGGTTGTGGTATGGTATAGCCATCGTACTCCCCAGGCTAGAATTCACGAATTTTACCCTGACAATGTGCCAGGCTACCTTGCATACCTATCATTCCTCACTCAAATCGTCGGTTCTCTCTACGGTATCGTGACAGTCTCGATCATTTGGGCAGATGATGCGCATCTCCAACAACAAGCTTGGCGGCCAACTGCAACAACAACTCGCCGCCCCCACTATCAACCGCGGGATGTGGTCCATTGCAGCTGCCAAGACAGGAATGTACGGGTTGATGATAGAGACAAGCGGTTTTGAGCAAAGCGCAGAAGGTGCCAGCCTTGTGAAATGTTCGACGAGGTAGCTATGGTGTAATATCACGGTTCTTAATTTATATAAATGTATTGTTTAACTTAGGATTAATTGGGATCTACGATCAAATGATGTTGAAAGACAGCTTGGGTAGGCGCATGTTTTTTATATGGAATATCTTACGCACTCAGATCAGCGAAGGTCGTGAATAAGCTATGAATCTCACCTGAACAACGGACTGGCATCGCCCATATCCCTAAATTCATGTTTCCTGCTGTCACTAAGACCTTCCGCCTTACACTGCGCTTCCTTCTTTTTATTAAGCCTCCTATAGTCCCACATAGCGAACAAGCTCAGCAAAATTCTAAAACAGAAACTGGTCATCAATAATACAGTTCCAAAAACGAGATGGCATACGAGAGAAAAAGAAATCCCATGATAGTACCATGCCCAATGTGGAAGTTCGGCGGATCAATGTAGACGAATGAAGAGCAGATACTAAGACAGGGTTGAGCGGACGACGTATATCTGCGATGACATGACGTACCCTCCCAGGTTTCCAAGGCCAATGACCATCGCTATCACAACTCCACGCTTTAAGTCGCCTCCTGCATTTGAGCCTGCCCAAGCAAGATCGACTGCGATTGTTGGATAGACACCGATAGCAGCTAGACAGGCTCCGGTATACGACGTGCCTGCTCGCCCATCACTATAAAGCAGGATATATCCTACAATAGCTACGAGGGCGCCACCAATGATAAATGGGCCGCGAATTTGGTACTTGTCGGAATAGATCCCAACTAAAATCGTAGCAATACATCCTGCAATGAATGGTGGGGCTGAGAGCAACTGAGAATGGGTAGTGGAATAGCCGAGCTCATTGATGATAGTCGGCGTAAAGAGAGCAATGGCATAAACAGGGACGAGCAACCTAATAAAGGACTCAGTTTCATCAATGAGAAATAATTAAGCACGAAGTACCCCATGTAGATAAAAGCTTGAACGTAAGTCTTGTAATCTTTCATGGCCTGCAAGACAAATCGAATATGGTAGTGTGTTGCGAGATTATTCGCATCCTGCTTGAGCATATCTATCACGTATGCCCTCTCAGTCTCGGTCAAAAACTTAGCCGTCTCGGGATACTAAGAGGTCTAAATGATCAGTGAAAGACATGACAGATGCGCGAACCCACATCGTGCATGAAGAAAAACGAGGAACATGCTACGAGAAGGGTGGCTAATCGAAAATGAACATCTGTATTGCCGCTTTGAGACCCAGCAGACTCACCAACACCCTCTAATAAGAACTAGGTGTATACGCGAAATGAGTGACAACTTGACCTGAAAACATGCAAACATACAATCCATTGCCAACCATGTAATCCTCCGATGCTAATCAACAAATCAATGATGGACTGTCAATGACAATATATTGCTTACCCTTCCAGATGCTCGATACCATACCTGTATGAAGGAGAAGGTCAAGCCTGGTAGCAGGTTAATCGAGAAATTTGAAGACTCACGCAAGGAGTCCACCAAAAGCACCTAACAACCAAAGAAAATGTAAATATACATGGAATCGACGCTTAACGAATTGTTACTTACCTGCGACTGTTGCTGCAGAAAAGAATATCGCGATGCGCTTGGACTGTTCAGATCGTGGGTACCAGAGAGAGATGTAGTAGGTCACTCCAGGGAATAAACCTGCTTCTGTCAAGCCTAGAAATAGTCGAGCTCTACCGTGGCATAGTTCAATGAACCTGTTTTCACCACGTGGATAAACTCTACGCACATGACAAGAGATCGAAATGAATCGACGAGACACATAAGGGTCATCACGAGACCCCAAGCCATCATGATAACCGGTACTTGACGAAATATTAGGCGGTGGGGAAAACAAGGTTGAGGTAAACGTACTCCAACGTGATGGTCTGAATAGCTTCAGCGCGATATTCCTACATAAACATTGAGAATGGACATGTTATTCTTGATGTTAAGACATACGAAGGAACCTCAGCAAAGCTATAAAGTGTCTAGAGGAGGCAAGTAAGTATTGAGTGGAGTGAGTATGGTGTACCACGCACAAAGAAGACGGCCGCAGCAATGTTGTACCTGAAGCCGATCAAATGCAAATCTTTAGACATGCCGGCGACTTTCGCGTTTCCTGCCAGTGGCGATGTTATGAATAGAAAGTATGATCTGTGTATCCCACTGCTTACCAACATTGGCCCGGTCCCTGGAGACAGCATAAAATATGAAGCAACACTAGACAAGGCAGGCGTTTGACAGACTCACAAGAATGACAACATGTATAATAGTGACACAAATGGTAACAAATGCCAATCGAGCTTACGCAGGATGCGTGCTCTTTCTTTTGGATTGAGCTCCTCGGTAATTTGTTTTTCCTCTAATTGAAGGTTCGTCTCGATGTCGCCCTTACGCAGCGAGTCTGTGCTACCCTGTGTTAAAGTAATTGAAAGGAATGACTGGTTAAATGAGTGGCTTGACATTTGGAAAGTCGAGATAAATCTCGTCCAAAAAACTTGAGTGAGCGGTCAGTATGGTGGTACTGGAGTTACCAGTGCAAGAAGAAAAGCTTAAGACAGAAACATAACGTTATCAATTCTGGACCGACCCTTGGCTATTCGGAGACTCGGATTCGACCAGACTATAATTCAGGATTCAGGGTAGCCAATGTCAAATATGCATTTCGGTCCGAAGCCTCTTCGGTTTGGCGGTTGGACTGAACCCCGGGTCCGCGAACTGGAAAACACCGCTTCATCATAGATGGTGAATAAAGTCAATACTGAGGGGCCATAACTCTGTGATAGTTATGGGACACCTACATCCACAAAATTCCGACCAGCTGAAATTCCGCAGGAGGGCTGCCAGCCTGCAGGGCGGCGACGTAAATTGTGCCACTGATGTGAGGACTAGTACTGCCATATTAGGTTCATTTCCAGCGAATTTGCAAACGGAATACACAAAAGATTTCCCGAACTTCCTTCCATTTTTGGCACTACGCCGTCTCAACCCTGCGGTACTTGCCACTTCGGATGCAACGGTGCGTTTTAACTTTTGAACCTTTTGCTAAATAACGAACTTTTCAGATGGGCTATACTTAGTAGTGCTCTGTGCGACATGTACATTGTACACCGTGCACACCTGCTAAAGTAGCGCTAGTACCTAAGCACGCTGCCACCAATCTAGCCCAATCCGTCACAGCATCTCCCTTCAACCAATGATCAATCCTACTCAATTTTTTCCTTGATATCCCTGGATTTACTACATAGTAGTGTCGGCGCACTCGTGATCCCTGCATTTTATGCCAGCGCACTCACGTACGTTCCACTGTTACCAAACCAGGGTCCTTTACATTCAAATCTCGATTTTACTGCAAACAATCCCACACCCTTAGGCTCCCACCGAAACGGTGTCAGTGCGGTGTTGTCGAGTTGCCTGCATCCCAGCAGTAGGGCTGTAGCTAGGACCCATCTGCATCGACAAGTGGATTGTCCATTAAGGACATTTATCGCCACCGAAAATGTTTTTGGGACTCCGAAATATTTCATTCTGAATTATTTGGCCTACGGAAAGTCATCCAACTTCCACCGGGAGTCTTATTGGCAAGATCCTGAATTTGCCTACCACGGCTCGGATCTATCGTCATGATGAGATCGATGGATTACATGAATTCGCCGATTTGCCAATGGAGGGCCAGTCATGCTTGCTACGGTACAGTGCTTAGTTTGGCAGCCACTCGGGCAAATTTTCACTTTCAGGCATCACTTCTGTCGAGATTCGAGGCATTTATATGTCTAATCAGTGAACATGGCACAAGGGACTGCTAGCGGAGAATACAGCTGGTGAAGTCATGTAGCACACGAAATAGGAGCGGAACTTACCGAAACAGATGACGGAACTCGCCTCCTCAGAGTGAATCTATCAGATTCTATCTCATTCTAACCAACTGGAAAGTATGAGAACTAATCCGAGCCGTTTCAAAGGTTGTGGGTCAAGATGTGCGGATGGGACGTATGGTGCTTATGCGAAGTATGAACGGTTTCAGCACACGATTGCGTTGATCATTGATGAAGCCATACTTAATCCTGATGGAGCTGTTGCGCTTTACACAAACTCCCCTTGCCGATCTTGCTCGTCTTATGGCCGGTACCCAGACTGGACCGACGCTGGACCGACCTCGGTCAATTGGGTATGTTTGTGATTTCTCTTCCCTCAAACCGAGGGTAAATAAACTACTGTTGTCCTTCCATTCTCAGATCGCTAATGTGCACATCCAGGAGACTGATATATAGCAGTTCATCATGTCCAAAAAATTCCAGCTTAATTGGGGTGAGGAAAATCATACCGAGATGTAAAGCAGGACAAGAAACGGCAAGACACTTGCACCTTTCAATGTCTTCCTGACTAAACGCCTGTTCGCTTAAGCTGTAGCGCACAAGCTACTAGTAGAATCTGCGACAAGACAATTCAACATGCCAAAGTGCGATCCCAACGATGCCCCGATGATGAGCAAGGGCCCGATCATTAACCACAGTGCCGGGAGTCCGAAGATGATCACCTTGGCGGAGATGAATGAAACCTCCATCTTCATTGCGATAATGCCTGTAGGAGATATGGATGAATGCAGAACTGACAAACAAAAAGGGCAATATCATACCGAATATTAGTGTCAGCGCCTCCGCGCTTGGAAGCAGCCACGAAAAAAACAACAAAGAAACGGAGGATACCAGGAAGTATGCTCATATGCCAGCCAATGAGGAATCCCCTGGTAGCGAAGAGGAATTCTAGTGCAACAGCAATAGCCGTCGTAAAGTAGAGAGCGTGAAGAGGTGCCCACGGGAAGAATGCGCCAAGAGCTGCAATGGACCACATCCCGCGGTTGATAGTGAGGGCGGCGAGTTGTTGTTGCAGTTGGACGCCATAAGCTTGTTGTTCGAGATGCGCATCATCTGCCCAAATGATCGAGACTGTCACGATACCGTAGAGAGAGCCGACGATTTGAATGAGGAATGATAGGTATGCAAGGTAGCCCGCATTGCAGACGGAGTGATAAAGATCAAAAAGCTGTGTGCTGAGCCCTGGATCCATCGACATTACGCCGACGGCCTTTTTAGGAGTTGCGGTGGAATGATCTGCAAGCCATGCAGCAAGTACTGTGCGCTTTGCTAGACCTGAATCCGATAGGGCACCATCGACTTGAACGCCTCGAACAGGAACTTCATGGATGCAACCACTTACCCGTATACCTTTGCTCTGCGACATAATTACAAGTGGACGTTTCCGACACACCTGGGTCTTCTCTGTGTTCATTATAATATCTCACGAAGGAACTCTGTAGTCGTGACTCTTCAATGGCTTCAACAATCTCGTTGGATTTTCCCATGGAAAGAAAAATAGAAGCGATAACCCAGGTTTGGAACCATCCAATTGCTGCAATGATGGGTGTCGATAGCCAGGAATAATTGAGGATGAACTCTCGAACACTGTTTAACCACATGCTGAGAGTCTCAAAGCTCAAAACCGTGCACCTGAGGTCTTGCAGATAGGCCTTGAGACTGGAGTGTCATTTAGCGCACAAGTATTGATCGCGCCATCATTCGGTTCAAAGGAAGCTCCTTGAGCGGCAAAAATAATCTTTGCTGTCTGAAATAGTCTGATGCAAAGGGCCTCCGTTTATGACGGAGTCAGACGGACTCATGATGTTTAATATGGGGAGGCGATAACAGTAGCTTCTGTAAACAGCAAATTTGTCACAAAATCCTACATCCTAGTAACGATATATTTGTTATGTCTGCAGCATGTTGCTCGTCGCTCAGTCATCTTTGTCACTGTCCGATGCCATTGCCTTGCAATCGCATACAAACTGACTCTGGGGATGGTCGATCAAAAACTGGTATGGCTCAGACTGTTTTCCTGTTGTATTGCGAGATCTTGTGCAAACCCACACATTGTCAGGGTAAAATTCGTGAATTCTAGCCGGGGGAGTACGAGGGCTACACCATCCCACAGCCAGAAGTTGGCATCTTGCTTTGGATCAGGCGAGGCGATAGCGGTAATTTGGATATGATACTGTAGATGGGAGGTTGGGTGATGACCAGCCGACTGCTTCCTCCGATCTCGACGCTCTCCTGGATAAGGTCGCAAAAAACGCTTCTCTTCAGATGGACTCAAAGAACGCGCGTTAAAAAGTCGCCCGTCACTGTTTGACTGCCAGCCCTGGGATACACTCATTGTCCCAGATGTTGTTGAGCAGGAGTGACACGTTCGGAAATGCCCCATCATAAAAATTATCCTTCGTCCTGTTCGCTATGGGTAGATCCCCACGAGACGTACGAAAAAAATTCCTCATTACCTATACTGGGAGGAAACGGGAATCAGACATCGACGCTGAGGTATCGAACAGTAGCCTCTGTTGCAAAAGGAAGCGGAGCGCCTGTACCAGCCTGCGCATGCCTCTGCTACTCCTTGTACAGGAAGACAAGCTGGCCGGGCATAGAGAATTCGGTAAAATGAATCATTGTCGTTTCTGCAATGGAATCGTAGGATACACCTCTTGCGCTGACGATGTCTCCCTCGGTTGCAACCGCTGGTCGATCTGGCATTGAAGCTTTCCATATGGTAGACTAATATCTTTAGCCTTGGTGACTCGGAAAAGTTCGCTCGCAAGTTCAACAAGAACAAGAAGGTCGACCACCAAAGAAAGGGCAAATGTCGAGAGCGTGTACAAATTAATATCACTCTCATAGGTCTGTTTGGTGTAAAGGGAGTGGCAGGTTTTGAAAGAGCCAACGATCTGCGACGAGCAGAGAGTGATTAGCGTATTAGACATTGCAGCAAAGAGCTCGAGTGCTCACCTCCTCGTTCGAAACAAAGAAATTTCTTCCATGCAGGTCGATAAATGCGAAGTTAGTAAATCGTGTGAATTTAGTAAGGAGCTCTCAGCTCATAATCCATCTTCAAAAAGTCACTTTGCGCCACTGCTATTACTAGTAGTATTAGCGTTCAACGTTGAACGTTGAACTCTTCACCACCCACCGTAATCACGAGAACATGAGTGCTGACACAAACAACAACTCCTCGGCTTCAAATACCGTCCATATCGAATATGTGATTCATCCAGAGAGGGACAATCATTTCCGCGCTCAGGTAGCAACTTCCAGTAAATTTCTCAAAGCAAACCAGAAGAAATTCGGCTTACAATGCACGCAATGTCAAACGAAATTGGAGAAACCTTTGAAATGCACAAAGGTGGTGGTCAAATTTCTGAATACTGTCGCAGCCGTTTATCCAGTGTCACAAACCGCTTTTTAGTGTAAGAGCGTCTGGTATTGCTCAAAAGAGGTGGGATCTCTCATTGGGATGAAACCGAAAACTGAATGGCTGACGTGTGTACAGTGTCAAAAGAAAAATTGGTGAGTGCTGCTCATGCTTGAAACACATTGAGCCCTCACTCGATGATAGGTCTACCCACAAACCGACATGCCGCGAGGTTGAACGCTCCTTGGGGGTACTCAAATTCATACAAATGTTCAGTGCAAACCCGTTGCTCATGACGTTCCTCAAATTTGGTATCGTCTTCGACTGGCTGTTCGACAATACCCGGATCGGATTCAATGTGCCATTCATCGCGCGTATTGACATTGCAATGGAACTCAGTAACATTCTTGACTTCGCTGGATTGTATTTCTACGACAAGGCTGTTGGAGAGAAGCTTCAAGGGATGTTGCAAGTCAATGCCATCACTCCGTGGCACCCCAAGCAAGGTCCCCTTACAGTTGCATTTGCGGACTGAGATGACAGGACAAGACAAGGAAGCCATTCGAGCCGCAGGTCGCGATGAGGATAGACTTCAGCTCGTATCCTCCAAGAGAAGATGAAACGTGAACACACTTACGCTAATGTCACGCAAAATACTAGTCGAATGTGAGTGTGAATTTTTTCAACTTTCGTTCTGTACTAAAACAAGGAAGGATCGTCGTACCTGTCTGATCGGAATATCTTGTACGACACCTGAGTTGTCATTGACATGTGCGGGCGATAATCGGTCGTCAGCACGATCTTATTCTCCATCCTTAGGTGCTAGTGGTCGCTACTGCATCTCCTGCAACAGCACGAACTCTGTTTTTACACACGCACAGACTTTTTGACTGTCCGACGAGATGGAGGAAACCGCCTCATCATCCAGGTGTTGACATTAACTTGATCCCTAGGTATATAATTCGTTGCGCTTACTTATCTTCGCGGCCAGGTCAATGCTGCTGTTTAAGTTAACCCTCGCGCGATTCTGCACTCGACTTTTGCATTTTTAGGTTGATCTCTACTATGCTATCGTTTTTGCCTGTGGCGGCTAATGTCGTAGTTGCTCCTGACAGACTTTCATGTTTGTAACTTCGCGCCACTCGTTGTACATTGCCTCGTTCCTGTAAGACGACTCATTAGTTGATCCTGTAATTTTACTGAAGCATTTCGTCTCAGTGCTGTTAGCATCCATTCTGGTGCGCGTTCAAGCGCTTTGTTGTGGTGGCCAATGTCATCTTTTGTGTCTTACCTTGGATCTCGCAGGGGCCTCTGATGATGGCGTACACTACTGAAGGTCAGAAGGGCATATTTCACATATATCAGTTGGGCAATCTTGGGTTTCGGATGGGTTGTGGGCCACCTCAGGCAGCACTTCTCAGGACTATTAAATGTCTCTCAGAACCCACTATTATGTTAGGGTTACATGGATCCAAGAGACCCAGCCTCGTGGATGATCTGATTATAGACCAAATATACCTTGCTTCCTCCGCAGCGCCTCCGGATCTTCGGCTCTCGCTGAATACTCCGCCCATAACTTTAACATATAATGGGGTCTGAGAGACTTTTAATAGCCCCAAGAAGTGCTGTCTGAGGTGGCATGTACTACATCTTACCTCCGGAATTCGGCATGCTTGCTGTTCATTTGAGCCCTTAGTAACCATATAAGTTGAAGGTAGCTATTCCTTCTGATATTGAACCATCGTAACCTCGTCTTCCAAATACTATGTCCGAGTTACACGTAGAGATCGACAAACTTGGCAGCACCAAGGAGTCTGTTCATCCACACGCCGAGCTCTTCGAGCAGCCGATGGGATGGAGGAGGTACTACTACCATCCCATCACCCAAGTGTCAATGTTGGGATTTGTGTGTTTCCTGGGCCCCGGCATCTTCATTGCGCTGACTGGTCTTGGTGGTGGAGGCCAAGTCAACAGTAAGGTCCAGGCTAATGCTAGCGCGATGTTGTATGCGACTTTTGCATTTTTTGGATTATTCTCCGGGTGAGTCAAGGTCGTCGATGAGGCCATGGTGACTGATGTCGTTGCAGTTCCATTAACAATGTCATTGGTCCTCGGTGGTCTCTAATACTTGGAACTTTGGGCTACTCGTTGTATATTTCCGCGTTCCTGTATGATGACTTGTACATCGATCCTGTAATGTCACTGAAACGTTGCACTACAGTGTTATCAACATCCGTCCTGACGCGGGTGCTTTTGTTCTCGCGGCCGGTGCCATCCTTGGTATCTGTGCAGCTTTGCTTTGGACCGCGCAAGGTTCTTTGATGATGGCATACCCCACGGAGGCTCAGAAGGGCATGTTCATCTCTATCTTTTGGACAATCTTCAATCTTGGAGGGATCATGGGTTCTGCTGTAGCATTTGGAACCAGTTTCAAGAGTACCGTGAGTGATACATATATTACATTTGTGAATGAGAAGCCGTTCTCATGGCCTCCACCATCAGACTAACAGCGGTAAGCATACTATGGCTACGAATCTGACGCTGAGCTGATTAATCTCGTTAATCTAAGTTGGTAATAGCACATATGTATGTCATTCGGTAATCTTGTCATCAGAGATTGATATTCAACTAGATTGGTTTCCTGATTTTGACCCTCGTCGGCGTTTTCCTCCCACTATTGATGGCAAACCCAAACAAAGTAATTCGTACAGACGGGACTCGCGTGAATCAGGTCCGCCACCCATCATGGAAGACGGAGTTGTCCCGCCTGTACGTGGCGTTGAAGACTGACCCTTGGATTATCCTCCTCTTCCCAATGTTCTTTGCCAGTAACTACTGCTATACCTGGGGTTCGTACTGTTCTTGGGATTAGTGTTGGTTGCTGATAGGTTGCACAGAATACAATAATTACAACGGCGCGATATTTACTATCCGTGCACGGGCCCTGAATAGCTTGATGTCCTATACGTCGCAGGTCTTTGGAGCTGTCTTCCTCGGTTACTTCATTCTTGACCAGAAAAGGGTCCGACGTAGAGTTCGTGCCTTCTACGGCTGGAGCCTCGTGTTCTTTATGGCTTTCGCCGCCCACCTCTGGGCATATTTCTACCAGAAGTAAGTCATCCTGCGGCATCACAGCCCTAAACTACAATGGAAGTGTTCATTAGGACATATACCCGCGCTGAAGCTACCAAAGATGCTTACAAGATCGACATCATAGACAAAACATATGTTGCTCATGTCTGGGTCATGCTAATTCATGGCTTCCTGGATTCAATGTTGCAGACATACGCATACTGGCTGATAGGCGCGATGTCGAACGACCCGGCCAAGCTGGCCGTGTTTACTGGCTTCTGCACGTATCCATAACCTTGTAGGTTCGAGTTCAATACTGATCAAACACCATACAGATAAGTCCCTGCAATCAGCGGGTGCGGCAAGCGCATGGAGCACTGATGCTGCTGGAATCCTGTGAGTTCCTCAATCCTCTTTGAGTAAACCACTGGACCACCACTTCAGATATATGAACATCTTCCTGTCGACTTGGTTCCTAATGGTCGCTAGCATGATCTTTGCCGCACCGATGGTATACCTTCGCGTTACCGATCGCACGGACGTAGAGGAAGAGACTCTATGAACACACTCCAGTGGTAGAGTAGCGCCGCATGTGACTTCATCAGCTATTGACCTTCGGACTTTGTCGTCGCGTAGTAGTGCTAACAAATGTGTATTTCAGATTGTGCATGGCTAGACTTGCGCCACGATAACTTCCCACTAAGCAGGTGCCACTAGAGAAAGAGTAGAGGACATACGGTACTCGATAGCAGCCTTGACAGTTTTGACTGCAACCCCTGTAGAACCTTTGGATATACGATGACAGTATGCGGAGCATCTGGAAGATTAACTTCAGTGGGGGAATGTGAAGCGCGGCTAATGGAAATCCTCACTTTCGTGGTAATCATTCTCTGAACATCCGTGAATATGGAGGTCCTCCGAATGAGTTGAGACAACACGATCTGAATCATCTGAATCCCGAATTTCTTCGATGGCCTGTTCAAAGTCCTTCGGAGTGCCATGCTTTGGTTTCATCTCCTCCAGAGCCTCGAAGGTCAGACTAGGCTTCCAAAACGCGCTGATAGGACATTAGACAAGCCTACTAGCGATAACGCCAATGGCAATTGAGGACCAGGAACGTGGACTCTTGAAGGGCATGCTCGAGCTGCAGCGAGGGGCAAAGGTCAGTGCCTAGGACGCAGAATTGACATCACAGCAGTGATTTTCTATCTTTGAATTTCGTCGTGTCCGCATACTGCGGCGATCGCACGATTCTAGACTTGCGGGTAAAGAAATATCGGCAGTGCTCGGAGGCAACGCTGAAGTGGTGACAAAAAAGGTGCGAGTGTACGATGTCACCTAAGTAGAATTCGAGACTGGGTTGCAGAGAGTGACTAAGGCGGAACCAACTAACATATTGCCCCACCTAGCAAAAGTTAGCCATGAACGAGCTACAGCGCGTTTCGTACAAAAGGCTGCAAGCGCTGATGCAATGATTCGCGGATGGAGAAAACGATGTAGACTTTAATTATGACAGAATAATGATGATGAAAGTAGGTCCCAGCAGGATCGTCTCCAGCCTTGACATTTACTTCGCCACATAGTTTGTACGAACCTTGTTGAATGATCACAGAGCTTTGAGATTGTAATGCAGGGATGACTTCGCCTCTAGCGATGGACGCACGCCGCATCAAGTACTTCAACGGATCTGACTAGTACAGTGTGCGATTCGTGGGTGTAGAAAAGATCGTGCCAGGGTGACGACGGAGAAAGCACCGAGGGTAGACATAAGTTTGAGAGTAAGATGAATCACTCAAGCTATTAAGCCTCAAGACCTGTCAGATCGACTTGCCAGTGATGGGGTCTTAAAGTGTACAGTAACTGACAAACCTAAAAGGGTACGAACGCTACATTCAAGTTGGTTTGCCATTTTGAGCGGTTCGAAAGCTATAGCACATTTGTCGCTTAGCCTCAGAAATCATCTGGAGCGCCAAACGTTCCTCCTTTGGTCTTGAAGGCCCCTCTCTTCCCACCTCTCTTCCCACCTCTCCCTCGGGAAGTGGTGCTCGACAAAGACTTCGAAGCTTTTGAAGTAGATTTTGTGCGCTTTGATGGCCCAGGTCCACCATTATCGGGACATTCTGTCATATCATAAATGAATGGGATGTCCATGTAGAGATACAGCACCATACCAGAAGTCCAATGCCCTGTCTGTCCACACTTGAAGCACGCATCACCAGACGCCGATCCTGCTGCTTTTGCAGGCCTCGAGCGGCTGGTCATGTCACCATTTGGACACGCTACATGTATTTAGCGACCCCCACAGCACATAATCTTATCATTACTCACCAGACGCCCAATGGCCCTCTTGATCACACTACATGCAGGTTTAGTGTCTTAAGGCTGTGTTTACGTGGGCACACGAACCTTGAAGCACTTTCCGCTACTGGAATTTGAGTCGTTTTGGGTTACTGATCGAGACGACATGGGACGTGGAGTAGCAGCACTCTTAGGTTTGGGTAATTCATCGTCCCACTCAAAGAAATCACACCCGGCGTCCTTTCCTTTGGAACATCCCCAGAATATTCGTCCCTTATTTGGCCCCTCTTTGGTGACAGTACGCCGTGCTGCGTCTTCACGACATTGACATTGTCGTCCAACGGTGTCCACCTGATTAAGATCACATAACTTTGTATGAGATAAGACGGAGTACAAAACGTGAACTCACCGAACGTTCGCTAGCCAATGCGCGCTTGGCTGGGACCAGCGGCATGGGATTTGCAGGCATACCAACCGGTCCGTCATCGCACCATTTGAAAAACCCACATCCTTCACCGACTCCGCACGCATAGAACTCCTTGCCTTCACGAGCTGACTTCTGTGTAACTGTTTTGCGCTGAGATGGAACACCGCATTCACATTCGGGCGTCATGCTTGAAGAAGGCAAGGGGTTAGGCCGGGGAGCAGCTGCTGAGGTGATTACCCTCAAGGATGTAGGTTTGCTTCCGGAAGAATTTGTCCGCAAGACAGCAGCACTGGGCTTTGATGGTCCATTGGATGCTCGTGAACGGCTACGAGGTGGTGAGGGGGGCGGGGGCATATCATCATTCGATTCTAGAGAACCACATCAATTCTTATCTTTCATAACGTAAATTAACATACCATCAATATCGTTGGAAGGTCGAGGTGGGGCGGTCTTAGCAGTTCCTCGTCCACGGCCTCTAGATGCTGGAGCTGCAGTGCCCCGTCCGCGTGGTCGCCCTCGACCGCGACCACGGCCGGCACCTCCCGGTGGGGGACCTCCATTGTCGTTATCATTATCATCATTGTTTCCACGACCGGCACCCCTTCCTGCACCTGCACCTCTACCCCTTCCGCCGCCGCCACCACCACCATTGCCACCGCCGCCACCCTGGTTTGCCCCTGCGTTACGTTCAATGTACCTGCGCACGCTCTAAAGTGCAAGGTGAACAAGACAACAGTGTATAAACAAAACCACATACAGATACAACCTTGTCGAACTCTCTTTTTGCGAGAACATACATCTCCCTATATTGTTCGATGCTCTCGGTGAGCATGTCTGCTTTGGTTTTCGTGCCTTCGCAAACTCGAACCATGCTGCGTTCTGTTTCGCGCCTGAGCTGCGGCTTTGATAAGCTTCTCTCAAAACCAATCTCATTATATCCTTCTACAAGCCCAATCCCAAGCGTTGAGGGCATGAGATGTTTTGTTGCACCATCCATGCGTTCGATGACATACTCCCGGTCGACAATCGTCTGAATGTGCTGGGCAATCGTAGCATCAGTGCCTGCAGAATCACAGATGGTCAGATTGGGGCGAATTACGTTGTGTGCAGATACCCACCGATGCCGTTCTTGTCCATGAGGGTAACCAAGTCCGCCTCAGTGAGGAGGGACGGCGAAGAAGTTTGGCCATCCTTGACTTCGCATACTGTAGGTACAAACTGTTCTCCTTCCTGAAAGTTCGGTATCTCTTTTGCCGACCACTTGTCATATGGGTATACTTCTAGGTAATTTTTCTGGAGGACAATCAATCCTACGAGGGCGTGAACATGAGCCATAGTCGCAGGAGAGGTACCAACCGGTTGCATTAAACTCTTCACCGCCATAATCCACTTGCACAATTGTCTCTTTGCCTTCCGCATCCTTGCTACAACTTGCAAGAAAGCGCCGGGTGATGAATTCGTATACCTTCTTCTCGTCACCAGCAAGGTTCCCTGCATGAGCAGTGGGGTGGATGGGTGGGTGAGCCTTGTCATTATTTTTACCCCGCCTTGGAGTATTAAAATTGCCCTCATGCAGGCTGAGCATGTAGGATAAGTCTGACGTTCACAAAAATCCTGGGAAGCATACCCAGTGGCGAATCCTCCCCAAGCAGGATCAACGGTTTGCTTCTCGATGAGTGTCATGAAATTGAACTGAGGATCATATTGGTCTGTTTCTGTGCGTGGATATGACAAAAAGCCTTGTTGGTAAAGTTTCTCCGCAATCTAAAAGAATATGTTCACAGTTAGCTGGAAAGAAAGAAACGCCTGGATCTCGGTTCAGCTCACATCGAGGACCTTCTTGGGAGCAAGCCTTAATAATCTGGATCCTGCTTTCTGTAGCTCTACGGTTGTTAATGGGAGTGGTTTGCTAGGATGTTCAGCCCGATCTAGTGCGGTTCAAACAACTAAGAAAACTCACTATTTTTTGACATCTTTCTGTGTCACCTTCACCACTCTAGCACTGGGACTCTGCAAAATCTCCTCGTATATTTCAGCAACGATATCGGGTTCGAATAAGTGCCCCCTTTTCCAGTTAAAGTCGACCTTCTTGTCATCACGATCCACAGAAAAGTTGATGTACCAGAAGTCTTCAGGAACGAAGGACTTGACTTGATTGTATCTTTGAACGACAAACCCGAGCGTCGGAAATTGACAAGGACCTGCTCGGAAATGTGTCATGGAAAGACAAGTGACTGGGTGAGGAACGAACCATATGAGACAACTTCTCTCTTTTCACGAAACTGGGCAAGCCGTGTCTGCAGTGTAAGAGTTTGCATACGTGTGAATGCGGCACCTATTCTCAGGTCAAGGAAGATGCGCGCCTCGACAGCATGGGCTTGAGCCACATCAAGATCGACAGGGGTGCTGAGCAGCACGATGGATTTGCCTGGGGTCACAAACACCTGTTAGCAAAAAAACTGGCTGAGAACCAGATACTCACTGAGGAATGATGGCACTAAATCTAGCTCTCTTCACAACGATTTGTGGACGTGATTTCCGGCATACCTTAGCAATCTCGCTCCCAATGTTCTCTCCTTCGCGATCACAATCTGTCCAAATCATAAGGGTGTCTGCTCTGCGCGCTTCAGTCAAGAGATTACGTTCGATACTCTTGTTGTCTGCGGGTACTGAGGACAGAATGGGTGCATCGAACAGCGTAATAGGGTCACAAGAATTCCACTGTCTGTACTCCTCTGGAAAGTCGTGGGCTAGCAAATGACCAGAGACGGCAGTTACTGTAAATTGTGAGTTGGTTTGCGGGTAATCGAAATCAAAGTTCTTGATAAATCTATTAGACGTTGGACGCTGGAAGCAAGAGGTATAAATTCGAGAATGGTGGTACGCAAAAAGCTCAAACTTACTGTTTCCAGACGCCCGCCAGAGAGAATTGAGCTGATTGAACGAGCTATGGAAGGTTTCTCTGCCACACAAAGAACTCGCATGCCGTAGTTGGAGAGTGATTCTGTGTGAAGAGCGTGGAAAAGCCTGGTCCTTAATTTGTCGAACTGGGTCGTCTAGCTTTTAACGGGACGAAATTTCCGGGGTAAATGCAGGTTTTGATTGGCAGACGTGCTCACGAGAAACGGTAGTGCATTCCGAGCCCCACTTTGAGCGGACAAAACGCGACACGGTCAGCACGCGTCGCGAATTGGAACTCCGCGAAGCACGTGCTAACGCCAATCAAAACTTCTAGCATCAGCACAGCATCGTCGAGATCAAGGCATTGAAGCATTAGATGTCTCAATCATCCAAACGCATTTTGAGCACCGCTAAGTCAAATATTGCTGTGACTGATATATAGAGGTCGTATGGATGAGGTGCAGCTGACTTGATGGCAATGCAGGGAAAATGCCTGGATCAGTTTCATCCACTGGATCACGAGCCGTGAAGTCGATGGAAAGAAGCACCGTGAAAAAGATGCATCCCCTGTCAAGAAGACATGGTCAGATACGGATTGTTCTCGCCATGTGGCCATTGAAAATTTGCGATACTTTCAACAGGCGCTCAAGATTACTTTTTGATCTTCGCAATGTCCCATGTCACGGACCAGGATGCGGCCAACCGTGACCCCATCACCAGCCAGTGGAGTATGTTTGGTCCTACTGCATCGATAAAGTCAGTAGTACCGCTACTAGTACTGAACTCGACGAATCAATCTAATCGATCTTGAAGTTTGCTCGAAGTGGTACCAAAATGCGTACGTTTGCAACGTGAATTGGTTATGCATCTTGCCGATACAGCCGCAGTTTCTGCGCCAGGATGAATAATCCAAAACTTGCAAGCCCATCAAGGAATAATTACATCCAGGGCAAATATTTATGGTGCCACTTTGATCGATCAAACCCTACAAGGTTCATCCAGGTTATCTTGCGCATTGATAATAACTTCTTGCAATACCCACACCGCTGCCTCGCTTCCTGATTACTATGCTGGGTACTCTGATATTCACGTACGCAGGCTCCAAAAGGCCCTATGGTTGCGCCAGGGACAGCCAATCATCACACTGAAATCGTATGACACGATGTTCAGTCAAATTCATATGAAACACTTGCATAGAACCCTATCATGGTGAGGACTGTATCACTTCCGGTCCCTGATTTCAGTGACCATTCTAGAGTTAAGATGATGATAATGGCACGGTCTACGAGTCCTGCTCGTTTTTTGACATACATAACGCTCACAATTTGCAATCACTGCCTTATAAACCAATTTGTTCAGTGGATGAAGCTCACCAACACAGTAATGGTAATGGCCGGGCCGTATTGTCTTGTTGGACTATTCTATCACTCCCCTCTCGTTGAAATTGTCTGGTTGTAGCATGTTTTTGCATAGATCATCAGTGATCACTCATCACTGCATTTTATATGCATCGGCTCAGACGTAGCGCACTGTTTTGATCCACTCGACCCATCCCAAATTAAGTGTATGGTGGTACGACGATTGTTGGCCTACAGTGTATCATCTCCATCCTTATTAACTGTACATTCAGTTTATTATTCCTACATGTTAGCCGTACAAATAGTAACGAAGTGGAGTTCATCATAATATATGTATATACCGCGCATAGATCAGATACAATCCAACGCGTCGTAGTCACATGATTGATCATGTGATCGTGTTTTTTTTTCAGTCTCGGACCTCCTGGGACGAGGAGTGTCCACTTTCAAAATTACAGCACCATGGACCTCGGCGAGAATGTCAACACCCCCACGACTCGTCTCCTGACACTACTAAATGTATCTGCTTTGAAAAGCAGAAAGAGAACACGGGATGAGGATTCTCCAGCTCCCGAGAAGTTGAACAAGCGGAAGACAGTTAAGATTGCAGAAGATATTACCTTGGACCCAGGCCCCTCAATATTACACGACAGGACTAACAATGGCATAGATGACGAAGTCATTGGGGGTAATGAAGAAAATGACGAAGTAAATTCACGAGGTACATTACCAATGTGGCTTAGAGAAATGTACTGAAAGGTACTCCGTCAGATGTCACTTCGTTATACGAACAGCATTATGGACCAAATACCGAGCTTGTATCAGATGCATCAAGAGAATCTGTGGATCAACGACGCTGGACGTCTTCAAGGGAGAAAGTTGGAGAATTACCAACTGTGTTTAATTTACGAAACGAAGATATCACCCCTCCATTGAAAAAACTGGCCAAAAAAACAGCAGTATGTTGTACCCTGTAGTATATCGTGTTGTTGAGATATTTATGGAATTATTACCAGATATCAGAGCGTTTGAGGGGCCCATTTCAGGCGCGACAAGCGAAGCAGTCATCAGGTATGCTCAGTGGTGTACCACACGTCATGATATTGATCTCTGTATAATCCAGATCAGAGGCAGATACAAGATGATCTACTCTCGATCTTGTCTGCCCATCTTGATCTATATAATCCTGCGCTTTCTCTGGAGGATCACAGAAGTGTACGAGATGTAGTTGCATTACACGTGCTGGACCATATCACAAAGTTTGTTGCTCTCCACCTCTACACTTGGCCGTGTTAATAGCAAAACCAGAAAGCGAAGACGAGTTTTGAAAAACAATGAACGTCTTGCACATGCGAAAGCAGCTTCAGTCTCACCTCCAGAGGACGTTCAAGATCAAGGTTTTACTCGACCCTCCGTACTCGTTCTTCTCCCGTTTCGTTCGTCGGCATTCGCTTGGCTTGAATCATTAACCACACATACGCCCTCTCCTGCATATCAAATTGAAAACCACTCCCGTTTCCTATCTGAGTATGCTCTTCCACCCGACGCGGTCGATAAACTGGCAGTTGCAGAACCTGGGGCATATCCTCGAGATCATATTGAGACGTTCAAGGGCAATGTCGACGATAATTTCAGAATTGGGATTAAACTAACAAGGAAAAGCGTCAAATTATTCGCCGATTTTTATGGTTGTGATATCATATTTGCAAGTCCACTCGGTTTGAGGATGTCAATCGAGAAAGAAAAGTACGTTTATTGTGCAAAACCAATGCAACGGTCAATTGTAACATCTCTTCAGAAGCGCAGATTTTCTATCATCAATCGAGATATTGGTGATAGACCAAATGAACGCACTTGCAATGCAAAATTGGGAGCATGTCCAGGTGTGTCCATGTCATGTTTTATATTAATCTCCTGTTTGATTATGTGCATGTCAGTATGTCCTTTCAAACATGAACAACCTGCCAAAAGATTCCCATGACGCGGACTTCTCGCGTATCAAGCCATGGTGTTTGGACGGCCAGTGGGTTTCTTCTTGACGATTCATTAGGCATGATGGCTTAGTCTCCGCGAGTTCTGCATACCTTCGACAGTCCATCCTCTTGTCACCTTTTGAGATGCCAGAATTGAGGGCGCTGTTCAACACCACGCTCAAAAATACTGCAGGGAAGGTCAGAGTCGAAAAAATATGGCCTGCCATACAGGTTCCACAATCTATCGACCAAGTGAGTGCTTTCTTAATTGCCTCATGAATTCAGCCTTGACGATGTAAAGATGTTTGTTCCTGTCGACTGTGCGAACCCTAGGGACGAACCCGAAAAGAGATTTATTTATTTCACCACTCAGGTATGTTTTGCGACTCCGATCTAGATTTATCTCGTCTTACATCATGTGAAGCTATTACCAAGGGTACTCAAATCCGCAGTACAAAGTGCCAACACAGTGATCTTCATACCTTCATCATTTGATTTCATACGCGTGCACAACTACTTCCGGAAGCAGTCTTCCCTGAGCTTCGCTGTACTATCTGAGTAAGCTCCGCATAAAAAACAAATTCCAAGGACGTCAACTGACTACACGTAGATACTCCACCAACCAGGAAATTTCTCGAGCACGAGAAAGTTTTTTCTCCGGTAAAAAGGCATTTTTACTCGTTAGCGAGCGGTTCCATTTCTACCGCAGGTACGTCGCCCAAAGATTTGTGAAATTATGCTTTACACATCGAATCCTGTATATGCAGATACAAGATCAGAGGCATTCGCAATATCATTTTCTACGGCCCTCCAGAACACCCTCAGTTCTTCTCCGAATTCCTGTCTTTCCCATTCCTCGATGATGGGGTGGAGGCCTCTGATATAATGTCAAGAGTGATGTATTCCAAGTATGATAAGTTCAGGTTGGAGAGGATTGTTGGGACAAAAGGTGTAAAAAGTCTTTTGGAAGGTCTTCTGTAATTTCAGAGCGCTACCGCCTTACTGCGCCACCCTGAAGTGTAAGATACACCGAAGCGTTCATTCTTTTCGTGTCTCTCTTACTTGCAATTGATATCAATCGGCTCACATTATTAGCCATTTTCTTTTCGATACAGTCTAAAAGTGTTGCAGTTAGTCTACTGAGGATCCTGCTTACAAACAAAACTTCTATTAATTTTCATGTCGAATGTGAACCTACTAAACAGCCTACCATCTTCTCGTACACTCCGAGTCGCCTCATGATCAACAAATACTTTCGCCATCTGTTGAAACAGATGCTCGGATATGGACTACTGCAGGCTTCGAAACCAGGCTTTGCCCCTCATCTTTCGACCCTTCCATTTCTTTTAATACTTGAACTCGAACATCTCGGTTCTTGAACTTCTGCAGCGAGTCTCCGTGTAATTGCGTAGCTCTGGCTGCGAGACTAATTGTATTCTGATACAAAATTATTATTCATGCGCAGCCGTTCAGATGGTGCTCACCAAACCACCATGATCCTGGACATCTCCTCTTGAGGCCAACCGAGTCTCTCGAAAGAGTAACCGCCGATTCAACCTGTGTGTCATGTTGGTAAGTCTGTCGCGTTATCATTTATCAGATCTATTTGGCGACTGACGAGGCTAATAAGGAGTTCCCTACGACTGTACAATATGTGGGTCAATATTTTTAATTTGAAGTATTCTATATCATTACCATTAGGCCACAGCAACCACACTCCAAACCACACAACTGCGTCGTTTCAGTCGTGGCCAGACGCATTATAAATGCACTCACAGTTTTGTCGGTTAAATATAAACTTGAAGCTAGTTAGAAATTTTTTATTTGGGGAAGACATGGGCGGCAAAATCCTTACCAAGGCTGTTATGGCAGCGGACATCAAGCTGAGATGTCATTGAAGGAAACATCTGATGAGCAAGGTAAATACCTAGTGACTAGAGCAGTCTCTGCATAGAAGTAACATTAGAAGGCATCCACTCAAGTAAAACGCTTCCTATCCTACCAAGTGTCCAATAAATCAACCGGTCGATCGTCGTCACCGTGCTACAACAAATGTAATCAGGAGTGGTAAGCAATATCGGACACATAGTCATACTTACTCTCTAAAATCAGAGGCTCGTCCTTTTTTCAAACCCAAGGTGATGCCGGCGGTGGTGATGATGTCACAGAACGCGCGTGAAATCCAAGAAATCGCAATCAGCACAATGTGGCTGTCTATAAAAGTCGTGATGTTCTTCATAGAAATCGATTTTGCTGCGAGAATGAACATGGATATTTGTGCGACCATAGAGAGCATTTCGCAAAAAACAGGAAAAAGAATGCTTCTAGTCAACTTCCAAAGTCGAAATGCGTAAAATGACTGATACCACCCGTAAGCACTAAATAATTAATATCAATTCGAAATCACTTACATGTACGATGAATACCGTAGAGCCGCTCAACATAAAGACTATGTCTGTTGGTAGAGGAAAGACATCGAGTTGAGATGGGTCCCCATAGGTGCTGACAGTCATTGCCCACAAGGTTGATATGATGCATACAAATTGGCCTAACTGCATCAAACTACAGAACGGGTATCAATCGAAGGAACCAAGTTAAAAATGAAGCGTACATGATTGCAGATACCTAACCGTGCGAGATGATCAATAAGAATACATTGCACAGTTGACCGACTTACAATTGTTTTCAGGGCAAAGCCATCACTCGCGAATCTTGCAAAATACAAGTAGGACTGACAAGCAAGGCAACCGAATAATGCAGCGCTCAAAAGACCACCGACTAGGGTCGGACCGATGATGGCCTGCAGTTGTGCATTGTTCGCCGAGCCCTCTACGCTGCTACTCATCGTGCCTAATACTAAGTTATGGAAGGTGATAGGAAACAGTCTGATCATTGTGTCTGACTTACCAAAGCGTTTACCGATACCAGTTGGTGATGCGAGGAGCCTGAAGAAATGCACGATAAGATCAAGTGCAGTGAATGCAAAGCTGCGCGGGAACTACGGAGCCGACCGCTCGATTTCCGATATTTATATGATGGAGCTTGATGTTGAAACTCGAAATATCCCCGCATATCTGGATAGATGATATCACTGGTCAGAAGATGCCCACAGCATGTTCATTTCTGAGGTTCACTGCCTCGGCGACGCGACTGGCACGAGGTGCACCACTAATGCTTGTCGTGCTTACTTCTGTACGTTCCGTAGCCTCACTTGTGTAGCTTTGGGGTGAAGTCCCTCGGCGCACATTGGCTCTTCAGATCGTGTGATGGTTTGAATCCGAATAGTCGTCTGTGCAACAGCTAACCATAATGGCTAGTTAGCAACTTACCGTCATTGTATTAATAACGCGAAGGCCGTGGTGTGCGGGACAGCCCCTTGCAGTGCATCGGAATAAGGATCTGCAGAACCGATGTGACATAGCTCTCACGACTCACTGGCAGAGTGCTGCGGTGGAGTCTGATACAGCCTCTGACCCCAGATTTTTCTATACATTCACATATATTTTTTTTTCATGAATGGTCTTTTGGTGTCAAAGGCTGCGCTTCGAAGAATTACTTTGAACCTGACACCCGAGGCCTGGGCCACAACACTAGTTGATCAGGTTTCGAAACGGTTGTTAGAAATGACAGTTGCACTGCTATGCTTTGGTGAGAAATTTTAGAACCCTGTTGATAAATGTTTGTTGAGTTATAGACCACATCGGTCTGATGGCGTAGTTGGTTATCGCATCTGTCTAACACACAGAAGGTCCCCAGTTCGAGCCTGGGTCAGATCATCTTTTATCCTCTTCCTTGTAGTTCACCTATTTTTATCGAACAGTCACAACTCAGCACAACTCTTAGTTAGCTTGCTTGTTTCTCCTGGCCGATGAATGCAAAATGAGTACCTATCTTTATGAGCTCCCAACTACCGGCGCCATCTCCTTTGGAGACTTTTGTATTGACACCACGGCGTCCAATGCATATGCAAGTCACATCGCTGAAGCTACCCAGGCCCGAGCGAACCTGCGCGGTGTTCTGAAAGTGTCCAAACGCACTGACACAGACGACAAGGATTATCTACGCTTGATCAAGGTGCGCATCACCGTTACAATCCAGGGCTCGCACAGTATATATCCCTCAGGTTCTCGATGACTACCTCCCATATTTGCATGGCATCATGACCTGTGTCATATCAGGGGACATTCAACTGAAATCCGAACCCCGTGAGTCTTATGCTGATACTCGATCCTCTGTGTGATTGACTGACCAGCCTGAGATTCAAAGAATTCAGCTGGCGCACGACACTATCTGCGCATCTATTTCACAAGTCCCCAAGAATCGCTCTTACATCGCTGCACGCGGACCTTGCATTCTCACTCCTCACTTATGCCTTTGCGCTGTCGAATTTTGCGCGTGTGACGGTTGCAAGTCTTGGTTCTTATGAGCATGATCGAGCGATTTCAGAAATCGAGAGAAAAGCGAAGGATGAGAAGCTCAATTTTGCAGTAACAATGCTATGCAGAGCAAGCGGGATCTTTACCTACGTGAGCGAGAAGGTGTTGTCGGATTGGGACAAGGCTGGGGAGGGTGCGTCGGGTAGGCCTCCCGATCTGAGGAAGGAGGTTAATGCTGCCCTCGCAAAGTAAGCGTGCTCTCTCATTTCATCTCATCTCATGTTGGGTGCCATGTTTTAGGATGGCACTCGCTGACGCGCAAACTCTGGCAATTCGCAAGTTTCTCTCCAAATCTGCATACGATAACACCATATCTCCTGGACCTCCGCTTCCTAGATCACACCCCTCCATCCCGCTGATCTATAAATTCCACCTTGAATGCATGTCTCTTTACTCCTCTGCGCGTACGCTTGCTATGACGCCAGGCTCCTCGTCCTCTAATCCAGAGTCCAATGCAGAAGTCTGCGTCGAGTTGCGCCGCTACCTTGCTGATGCCTCGGCATTTCATGCAGCGCTTGCACATAAGTGGCTTGGCGTTGATGCAGGAGAGAGTGGAATGCAGGAAAAGGGCGGGGAGGCAGTGGCATGGTTAATGTGGGCAAAGAAGGAGCTTGAAGATTTGAAGGAGGGCGGGCTTGGTATCGCAGTAGGACGGGACCGCGAGAAGCGAGGACGCAAAGGACGTGCCGCGGATGAGTTGGAGAGCGTGTGCGTATTTCTGAAACACTATAAGAAAATCAATGATTCGGTAAGTCGGAGGTGTTTCGATTGCTTGAGATACCGCACTGATTGTTATTCGTGTATGATGGGTAGTTGACATTTCAGCCTGTGCCTAAGCAGCAGGAATTGCAAGCGCGGATACCTACAGGTGTTTTGGCTGTGCATGCGAGGCTTTACACACTTCCTTCCCCAGCATTCGGACCTGGTTCTGTCCAATATTCACGTCTGCAGACGGAAGCACTAGTTCTAGAAGAGGATAATTCGTCTGGCGATGAGGGACTTGCTAGCAGTGCCAGTCCACGCACGTATGCTGGAGCTGGTTCGTACTTCTAACCCATGTACAATCAAGGTAAATTTCTATGCACATTGCATGTTCTGGTAGGTACAGTAAGGTCATACCATATCCACTTCTAAGTTAGGTTTCAACTGAATAACGTTCCCTTCTGTCATTTTGAGGCGGGAAGCCGCGCTCCTCTGACTTGAAATGCTCGAAGAATGTAGGCATCTCATATATGCGCTGGCATTTGCAATTTTCGTCAGGTGCCCTGAGGGTTGAGGAGAACGGCAAAGTTAGCAATAGCCCACCCCTGGAGTGAAACAAACGCCTCGTTTTTAGGGCACTGTTTACGGTGCTCAGGAGCCAGAATGTCAGGGGACGGCAGATGGTGGCTTGGCATGAGGACACGCCGCTGGCTGATTTGTGGCAGACGTGGAATTTGCTCGTGCAATATAACTGTACTAGCTTGTCGAGAAATCGAAATGCATCATGACTCTTTGCTTTCAAGTGTTTTCCATGGGCATGTCCAACACGCTGTTGTTTGGACTTGATCTAGAGTGAGAAGACATGACCGCGATCGATCATAACCTGCTACGGCATACACCGTCAAACTTTCTCGGCCCAGACCTGACGGTGTGCCAATCTAGTTTGTGACTGGGGTTTGATCACAACTGCCACTCTGTTACCTTAGGTTTTCATTAGCACCGTAAAGTGTGATTCTGCCACCTGCCGACGGTCAGTGGTGACCTGCCAGTTGCCATGCATCTTCTTAAGTTCATCGTCGACCTATTATCCAGTCAACAGCCTGTTCGGCACTTACGTAGGGACAGGGATGGTTCACAAAACGATGGACCCTTCAGGAGTCACTCGTATCCATTGTATTGACATTTCAATTTCAGGGTCAAACGAATCTGTAGCAGACAGTCCCGTTCTGATTTCAGCCATAATAATAATCCCAGCTGTCACTTACCCTTCCATCACTCCCTCAGGCGTGTCAAACGCGGCCGTCACTACTGTCAATGCGTCTCAGATTAGCAATTACTGCGACCGTAAAGGAAGCCACAAGCATCGTATGGCGTAGGGTAATTTACGCCAATGGGGTGCCCGAGATCGGAGAAAATGTGATTGCGATGGGATGAGGAAAGGTAGTTACAGAGGATGATTTTTAATCGGGAATCTTTGGACTATTTGGTCCAATGCACCAACGAAGAGCCTTTATGTATATCAGCGCCCTTTACGAGCTCTAGAGTTTTTGATATCCATTTGTAAATCAGATTGAAATGGAAATGACGTGCCCACCCATACACCTTGGGGATATGATTCTTCCGGTGACGGCTGACGCCGGAAAGCTAATGATCCGTAGCGCCATTCAGGCATCGTAAGGTGGAAGGCCCCACTTCTCCGGCTTGAAATGCTCGATGGAGGTAAGCGTCTCATCTGGAACGTATGGGTGGGCACTAGCAACGTCCACAAGGCGTTCATCGGGTACCCAGATGACTGAGGAGAACGTTAGGCTCTAAATCACGACTATGAAATAACAGCATACCTGACATTCCGGCTCTCTTTCCTGCTTGGACACCATAAACGGCGTCTTCAAAAACGAGCCCTTTGCTTCTTTCCACAGCCTCAGCCTCGGTACACTGCTCCATGTCACCTACTGCCTTGCCTAGAACACCTGCAGCATGCAGGAAAATGTACGGTTCAGGCTTCCCCGTAGTCTTGCCTGCCACATCATCAGCGCAGACGATGTTGCCTTGGAAATAGTCAAAGAATTCTTTGAGATTCTCAGACTTGCGGACAAAGTTCCGTCGTGAAGAAGCAGTGGCGACTACGATTGGAACGTTGTGTTTCACCAGGTGCTGGATCAACATCTGTACTCCCGGAAGGAGCTGCACGGTCGACCACTTCGCATCTAGCTTTTCTTGCGACTCTGTGAGGTACTGGTCGATCGTGATGTCGATTCCTGGAAACAAAGAGAGCAGGTGCGTCGCAGATGCAATTCGTGCTGCGATATGGTTTGCGTTGAACGAGTTCAGAGAGATCGGGGAACGTACGTTTTCCCATGAGCTGTGCTTTGATGTCCCATGTCATGGTCTTGCCGTAGCGACCGAGGATATCATCTTGGAGGCCGTGTGAGCTGTATGGAGAAGCGCAGTGACATGAGCATACTGGTGACTTCGGTATATACCCTCTCCGTGTCGATGAGAAGGCCTGTCAAAGATGCGTCTTGCCTCGAGTACCCGAAGAAGTTAGAAGGTCCACGCACCATCCATGTCAAAGACCACGTAATCTATCCTTCTTTCCATGATATCTATGGGTGATCTAACCTGGATGAAATCGAACACAGTCGATGAGATGGAGACCTGAGTCCATGGTGGTCACGTGGAAAGGTTCGGGACTCAGCGCGACCGAGCAGCGATGATGATCCTTATGCGCCGGCATTGACAGCATATGTAGGCGAGTGGCCTCGAGTTCGATTACACGCCATTACGCAGACACATGGAGTCGGAGTTGTACGTGTACTAGACTCAGTCAGGCTAGATCAAGCAGCCTCATTGCAGAAAATGATGCACGACATGATATGATATGATTCAGAAGGGCTTGTATCACGAGATACTTGCAGGGAGACTGTTACGGTAAAGGCTGTCCTGCGTAAGTATCACGGTGGACTCGTCAAGACTTGAGCTCGACACTCATGCTGGAGAATTGCCTGTTTGGGCAACATCCGACTCGACTTGAGTTATTATTATACTACTTATTCCTACTATTAGACCATGGTCTCTGGCCTCAGGCCTTATAATAATGGTACATTAATAAGCCAGGCCTTATAAAATTACCTTGCGACAGCTGGACGTCGGCTAAAAGAAGGTTGTAAGTACTGCCGCAGACGGTCCCGAATATTCAGTTCTCACAAGTCGACACTGCATGGCACTGAACAGATCCAGTGACTTTGAAATTTTCACGTCACAAGCCCGTCCATGGCTGTTCTCCACGGATAAGTATATAGTCTGAACACCGGTACGACCTGCTGCTGTTATCCCGCGCTCATTGTGTTTCAATTCCAATCCAGTCTCGGTCCGACGATCTTGTTCATCACAGCCTGAGCCTGAGAACGGGCCGCCCTATTCTTTCAAATTCATTCCTTCCCTGCGAGCGTGCCTGCAGGTGACAAGTGACCGCATCACCAGGTTTGCATTTGAATTCATTGTGTCTGAAGTCGATCTACACCTCCGCAGACGACACAATGGCCAGCGACTCGACTTCACGGCGCTCCACATGCTCATTCTACCGTCGTCGTCGCATCCTCCTCATTCCCGTATTCTTAATCATCTTTTCCCTGTTCTTTAGTACGCCATGGTCGCTACCTTCTCTCAACCTCTCGGGAATACATTCGTCGCTTTCACGTGCCAGTATTGCTTCGCTAGTCAAAGGACCACCAGTGGAGGAGATATATGGCTTGCTGCACTTTGTGACGAGCGATGACGATCGCATGCTGTCCCACTCGATAAACCCTGCCGCGCCGATCGATCTGAGCGTGTATCTCGGTGGTGACCAGCCGGATTGGAAATCACATATGAGAAAGCTGAGAGAAGAGTATCCATTGATCGTATTCTCGAAGGTATGTCATGGGGTTCGATTTACCAGATTCTGTGTGCGGTTCTGATGCTGTGTCTGCATCAGTCATATTGCCCGTGCGTTCTCTTCCTTTGCAATGTATGGTAGCCTCATGACTATGTAGATTCTCAAGGAAGGCTAAGAAGTTATTGGAGATGTATAATCTTTCTCCTCCCCCTAAAATCGTCGAAGTCGATCTTCGAGGTATGTCGTGGCTATGCTTACCTTCATGATACATACGCTGATTGTTCTCACAGATGACTGGGACTTCATAAAGATCATCCTTACTCGTCTTACTGATCATTCCACGTTCCCCAATATCATCTTGAATGGAGAGGGGCTTGGGGGAAGTGACGACCTGCACACGTTGCGTGCGCAAGGCAAGTTGAAGAAGATGTTTGAGAATGCGGGAATGATTGTAAGGGAGGATAACGTGAAGGAACAAGAGACGCAATAGAGTTTGGGATGTTCACGTCATTGCGTGCGATGGGACATGCTTGAGCTTGAACGTTTGAACGTTGTATTGTTAAGCATCTACTTATGTGTACTGCTATCTTGTTCATCCGAGTAGGAGTTTGCGGTGAATCTATTTCTGGATTCTGTAATATAATTGCCAATTTACCGGTGATGCATGTGTGTCCAGCGGGTATGTCAACAAGCGAGAATAGCCGCGACAGTGCGCGCGAGCGCTTATAGTCCGGTGCCCTCGGGAACAGATGGATCATACGGTCAGCATTATGGATTATGCGGGCCTTTGACAGGTGCTGCTGATCGTATCGATAAGCTTGAAGGACGTCAGTACCTTTCAGGGAAGTGTATGGGGAATAGGATTAACACACCTTCCGCCACATTTGGACCTGTTTGGATGAGAAGATGCAATCTAGGACCACATAGCACGATAAGCGTGTGGTCAAGTAGGAGTATCTTTATTCTCACGTGGATTCGGTGGCCACGTCGTCACCGTAATAAAACGTTTGTTCCACATCAAGAGATAATAAACTCGTTAAAGATCGGCTGTTTTACGGAGCGACATACCAAATTAGGTATGAGCGGAATTCCCGTGTGACAAAAAAGGATCGAGCCGATGAGAAGATCAATTAGGCTCGATTCAATTCCTTTTGCTTTCATTGTTTCGGGTTGCACAATCCAACTTCTCGGCCTCGCTCCAAATTAACCGACCAAAACTTTCATTCACTTACTGTTCATTTATCTAGGGACTTTTTAGTCTTCAACACTCTTTTACCTTCCCCATTTCGTCGGTCACGATGTCGACTCTCCCCGTCACATCCATCCTGCACTCACTGCAGCATCAACGAAAGTCGCTCAACCACAGAGCGACATCTCTGGCGCTCATCAGCCTTATCGTTGTGTCATTTTACATCTTTTTCGTAGCAAGGCCTTCATTAGACCTTGCTCCAATAGCACTTCGGACCGACGCACTCGGTCACGCAGGTACACATGGTTCACATCAACAAGACAGAGACGATCCCCCACCATCCTCTAGACTATTCCGTCTCCCTTCAAATAGTCAAAGAAAGACCGTCGTCAGCAATCTCAACCGTCCCCAAATCAAACTGGACGAGTCTCAAGAATTGGCAGCAGTAGCCGCTTTCTTAGCTGCCCTACCACAGAACATGATTCCACGTTCAATAGATCCAAGTAAACCTATCGATCCTCAACTTGTACTCGACTTCGACACTCGCAGTCCACGCGCTGCAGACGAACTAAATCAGATTGTCCAAGATGTGTGGTCTCGCTATCCCGTCATGTTGTTCACCAAGGTCAGTCGCTTCCTTTACATTCTTAGCCTCATGCTGATGCTGATGCTCGTCGCTCCTCCCAGGTCCACAATGCACATTCTAGGGAAATAAGACGTATCATTGCAGTTATGGACTTGCAGCCGCCTCCCGTGAGTTTTGAAGTTGATCAACGAGGTAAGCGAATTCCCCCCAAGTTATCAATTACAAGTCGCTCATCATTTTACGTGTTCTTAGAGGACTCAGACGTTTTGATTCCTTTGTTACATCGTCTCACGTCTTCAAACGATCTTCCTCTCATGCTTATTGGGGGAAAACCCGTTGGCTCTATGGCTGCCATCCGCGAGCTTCATGAGTCCGGGGAACTCCAGAGGTTGATTACCAATGCCGGTGCGGTCATTGACGGCAATAAGAAGAAGAAAGTACACTGAAGGATAATATTTTCCAATGGACTTTTCCCATCACATTTCAAAACGACCTAACGACCGGCATGACCACTCAGCGATCGTATGATCCAAAACTTTCATGCAAATGTACATACCACATCGGATAATCCCAGGTGGATGGATATTCAATCGCTATCGCATGCCATAAATCACCAACTTTTGTCCCTCGTTTATTTCTCGTGGTGTTATAGCCGGATTATTATAGCTCGCTTTGATTCTTGCTTTCTTCTGCATAATAATGGACGCCATCAACAGAATTACCCGCAACCATAGAGACCTTTGATGGATTTTTTTCAAGTAATATTTTTTTCTTGTGTTTGCCGCGTGTATACGAGTACTTAGTAACTGTTCTAGTTTACATGTACATACATAACGCCCTGGGGGATAGAGTTCTCCTTTTTCGTCGCAGTTTGAGAAGGCCTAGACTTTTCTAGCATGGGAGTGTTTGACAATTGGAACTTCGTCAGGGCGTGGGGCATCATAGAAGTCCTTCTAGAAGATCTATACTTGGGTGCGTACGGCGAAGCTTGAGGTCGTCCTCCGGGGCACCTCAGGCCCCGGACGACATGACGTAAACTTAAATTCACAAAACAATATTTTAAACTCAAAATTGTACGATGAATTGGGACAGAGTCCTCGTGTAACTTGAGTCGGCGTTAAGAATCCATATCGTGAAAACATGCCCTTTGACAAGCGCTGATCATGCGTACGGCGACCCAAAATCACAGTCGGACGCGAGAAGCCCCTGCTTCGGGAATCATGCACTTTTAGAAAGCAGTCCTGTTATGGAGCTTTGCTGGATAAGATGTCTTGGTCACCAAAGACAGTCAGAAGCACGAGATAGCATTGAGCGGGCAACGTGGGTCAACATGATTGAAAGGCACGACGACTCTTCGTACGTACTGCCAATGTCCCTACATACTTTCCATGGACGCGAGCAGTGACTGGCAGAGTTGTGCACATGACCGCTGCTTGCCCGAGGGTTCAATGTTGCGAAGATATGAAACGCTCAATCAGTATGTATGACAACCGATAGGTACTATTTGTTCTCCTTGAACTTCATGTTGTCAATGAAACTTTGTTGATAATAAAGCACCGCGACGTAATGCAAGGCCAGGGTTTTAACTCCTTCATGGTAAACAAGGGCGTTTCACTTGGCAGATTCGAATATAACGTCATGATCGAACTGGGATTAGCTTCGTCAAGAATTGTCACACCGCGCTTGAAGTCCCGCCCCAGTGGATGGAACTTTACTACCTCGTGCAGAGGATGATAACGTTCTGCCGGCATCGCGGATTCTGTACGCTGCGACAAGTACGTGTCGTAGAGGCATATCAGGCGCAGGAGCCATAATTCTGATAGCAAAGATGCTAAGGCTTCCGGGAGATAGAGAAATGGCTTCGTCGAAATCATAGAGTTGGACCAAATAAAAAAAATGCAAACAGTGAGAACCATGTTATTTGCAGAAATCAGTATCCCTCGGAGGAAAGACTTCGACGACGTCGCATACAACAAATAAAAAGTTGACACAGTCGTTGGTGTCGGCATCAGGGTTACTCTGCTGTGGAGAACAGAGTTCCCAAGCTTGTCTGTTAGGGCGTAAATACCTGCGGGCGTAATGGTGGGTCAGAAATGAAGTGCATTTGGTCGAATGCACACGCGTCCATCTGACCCTCTCTTGAAAAGTTGCCATGACCTTGCCTATATAGGTACACGAAAGGTTCAAAAGAAACCTGCAAGACAAGACAGGGTGACAACGATTTGCCGCATGCTTCCGTCGCAAGTCTGGGATATCAACGGCATGGGACGCTGGAGCCTGGCCTGGAAGTAACGCCTAAGCGAGGTCACCTAACGTGTGCCGCATCAGGGTATCCCGGCGTGGGTGGACGGCAAGAGGCGGCTCAATCGAACACATTTCAAGTCAAAATCAACCAGATAAGCTTCAAATTAAACATACAACCGAAACCTGAGCGATCAGGGTAAACATGAGCGCATTTAATGCTCCTGTATAGTGGAGGTGGTGTTATTCGGATAATTGCAATCCACATTGAGTACATTGTGCGACCCGAGTAACTGTGCGCCAGAGGTAGCTTGTAATCGGATACGAGCAATCATGTAGAAGTCGAGAAATCTCATCTGCGTCGCACCGGTCCGCCGCAGAAGCCGCCCCCAACGTCATAGACGGGCACGATTGAGCGGGAGAAGATGATATCTACAGTGCATGTGATAGAACTTCATAGAAGACTCACCAAAGTTCATTTGCTGGACCGAGTAGCTCGTCCCATTTGATTCCGGCATTGCAAATGACTCCTAGTGCTGTGCTCCAGAAGTTTTCACAGTGAACGGGCTCGGCGAGGCCCTTCAGGAGACACTTCTATCACCGTGGTGGCGTATAGGCTTCTGTTCGAATGCGATCGTCATGGGAGGTGCCTTGGAAATCAGTATTTGAAACCCGCGAGTTCGCTGGGATCGCTGTTCTGAATGATAAGACTCTTGTGACTCGGAGTCCGGAGGAGATATGATATCATGAGGCCGTATAGTAACCTTGGTTCGATGTACATAAGGCGTGCGAGATCCGTTGGATTCGTATATTACTTGCGAGCGGGTTGTCCCGGAGAAAGCACGATAAAGTACTCGGGAATGCACTACTGCTATGGATTTGAAATTCGAATTGGAACAGATTGTGGCTGTGCAATCATACCATTTTCATTTTGACCGTCGCTATAGCGCTTTACGACCGCCCAATGAAAATGTTGGCGTCAAAGCGCTAAGCGCTAAGCACGTGGGTATAGGACGCCGCCATGGCACGCGAGGCTCAAGCAAGGTACTTTCACACCTTTTACGTGACGATGAACAGTAGAAGTGTTCGAATGGCTCTAGTCTAGATGCGGCCAGACTTCGGATACCCGTCGCCTGACGGAAGATGAACGCGAGCAAGGGCCGCCCGCTCCGACCTCGATGTGCGTCACAGTCTAGCTAGGTGGCTAGCCTCTTAGTAAAGACTCGTGAGTATTGAAGTATTACATGCCATCATTAGCCTTGCTTCTAAACTGACGACGTCGCGGACGGGCTTGTTTAATATCAGATCTCAGACTCGGAGCTCTCCATCCAGCCCCATCTCTAAAGTGTACGATGCAATCTTGCGTGACGACTCTCGTGCTATGGCGTCATGGCACCCGGGCGGCTACAGCATAGCTCTCATATGCATCAATTGGTTTCTTCTCAGGCCACATCGAAATTCCTTGCTAGGGTACGTTATTTTTCAAGAGCTGTTCAAAATACCTGCTAATAACATTGCTGAAAAGTCGGTCGTGTGGCTTATGCATGTCTCAAGGCGTGAATAAAAATCCAGGGTATGTGGGAACATTTTGAATGAACTTCGAAAAAGTACTTACAAGCAGACACTGTCAACCTTATTTTGACGTCCTACTATGACATTCCCTGCACCTGAAGATTGAACGGTGGTACAAGGTGTGCATGACTCGGTAATCTAAGTATGCGCTACTAGCAAACAAGATCACGAGAGGAATACTGACATGAAGTTCTTGGACATCAACAGAGACCTTCGCGCTGTTACCATAAGATTCAAGCCAGCTACTGAAGAGGTGGCAGTGCTATTGGTTGATCGAAATCTCTATAGTACCCGTCGTTGGCTCGCGGAATGTTTGGGTGTGCCGACGGTCAACTGGATATCATAATTTTTCACATTTTTCACGCCGAAAACATTATTCGCTTGCAAGTACTGTTGATATCTAGTCGAAAATTATTTAAAACGCCTAGTGTTGATAGATACTCTAACCTGTCAACCTACGCTACATCGCAGGTACTGTGACAAAAGAATTTTAGATCTATATATTTTTCCAGCCTGGAAATCAGGATACAGGCTTTCGACCATATCCAAGTCTCCGGGAGGCCGTCCTCCTGACTCCTTTAAGCCGGCTTTCAAGTTAATACCGAGGTTGCCAAACGCTAATTCGAGACTGATCTCACATGTACATTTATCCCACCACTTGACCTCAACTTGAAGTCGCAACAGTTTCCAGTGACGCCAACTACGATCTTGAAGCGGTGGTTCACGAGATAATCATCACGGAACTACGATGCAAGGACTTGGGCTCGGGTCTCATTTCAATGCAGTGCCGTCAAGTGTTTTCCTCGATTCTGCCTCACACCTGCCAGCAGAATTAACTGCTTCAAAATAGTCTTGCCCAAGCAAGGTCATACACTGGCCGTGGGAGAGGATGCTTCGAGCTGAGTGCGATCCGACTTTCCCCCGCAGGTTAGATATACAATCCTAAGCCGACTGCAAAGTAATTGAAGTGCGCTGCAATGAGTGCTCAGTTTGATCAGTCACGCCTCATTTGGACACCTGCTTACCCGTCTCATGCCATCTGCGAAAAGTTCAGGCGTGAAATTAACCTTAAACACAACCTGAAACTCAGTGCGTTGACGAGTCTCTCATAGAACGAGAGCCTTACTGAAGTTTGTGCTGTAGAGGACTACCATGACCTTCATGCATACTCGGTGTCCAACTACACCTTCTGGCTCGACCTCTGGCAATTCATGGGTATTCTGTCTTCATGTCCCTCCAGATCCCACAAAGGTGTGTCAATTCATATCGGCGTTCTTTTCCTTATCATATTGAGCATCACTAGTAGATAATCCAAAAGGGCAAATACGAAGAAGTACCCGAATGGTTTCCCGGAGCACGCCTAAACTATGCCGAGAACCTACTCTACCGCAACGACGATAGTATCGCATGCACAGCAGGCAATGAACTCGGAGCCGTGACGCATTATACATTCCGCCAGCTAAGAGAGATGGTGCGCAAAATGGCAGCCGCAATGCGCTCGAATGGATTAAAGGTTGGAGACAGAGTTGCGGGTGAGCGAAGGTGTTGCTTGTGAAGTTTGCCATAGATTGTTAACCTTGAATGGTCGCAGCTATCATCTCCAACTCCATCACCGCAGTGGTAGTCGCTCTTGCGGCTTCCAGTGTAGGGGCAATATTCTCTAGTACCGCAACTGACATGGGTACCCAGGTCAGCCTTGTCGTATCTCTTATAGACTCGCATGACGTTCTCCCTTGGATAGGGTATACTCGATAGATACAGGCAGATCAAACCAAAGTTCATTTTCACAGAAACGGAGATTGTTTATGCCGGGAAGACAATCAGCCTAGTACAGAAGGCTTTGGAAGTAGAGCAGGACCTCCGCACATTTGGCGTACAGCGCATCATTACTTTACCGAGTGTGAAGACCGGAAAGACCGTCCCAGAGTCTCTGAACATACCCAATAGGTTCGTTTGCGACTCTTTACTGCGCGCTATCACTTAATCTTTATTTAGTGTTACATTGGATTCTTTCCTTGCATCAGATGATGGTCGACCACTGGAATTTGAGCAGCTGCCTTTCAGTCATCCACTGTATATCCTATACTCATCGGGGACAAGTGGTCCGCCGAAATGCATAGTCCACTGCGGTGGGGTACGCCTCCTGCTATCCTGCCATATTCTACTATTTATCTCCCTCTGCAGGGCGCCCTAATGAACAGCAAGAAGGACTGCATGGTCGGCTTCGGCATCCTTCCGACTGATGTCTATTTTCAATACACTACAGTAAGCAACCCCATATATGTGTACTGTACGTGGAATGATCAACTCATACTCATACAAGACGGGTTGGATGATGTGGCCATTCATGCTCTCAGGTCTTGCATGTGGCGCACGTATTGTCCTCTACGATGGGTCACCATTCCACCCTGACGTCAGGGGTTATCTCAAGTTCATCAATGATCAGGGGTACGAAGACACTAGCGAACGCAGATAACCAGTGACTAAACTCTTTTAGTGTCACGGTGCTCGGCACAAGTCCACGTTTCCTGACTGAAGTCCAGATGAGGGGTATTAAACCGCGTATGATTGAATCATGGCCTTGAGAGTTAATGCTCATCACTTTTGTAGTTGAAATCGCGTCCTTTGAAGCTCTTCGCGAGATGACAGTCACAGGAGCTGTAACAACTGCACCTTTGATGGAGTGGGCGCACGAAGCATTTGGTAAGAAGCTGCATATAGGTTCGTCTTCTGGGGGGACAGACGTGTTCTGTGCATGTAAGTTTTAGTTGGGTCGCCCCTTACCTATGTTCCTAAACTGGCCTTCTTCAGTTGTCACTTCTGTGTTGAGTTTCCCACTATATGCTGGAGGTTGTATCCGAGGTACCATCTTCCTAACTTGGACTAACTGTGCGTTCTATAACAGAACTTCAAGGCAAATGTCTCGGCATGGCCGTTGAATTATTCAATCCTGCGGGAAAGAACATTGAGAACACGGGTCAGCCTGGCGAGCTTGTCATCACACGTCCGCATCCCTCGATACCTGTTTGTTTCTGGGGCGATGAGTCTGGCACAAAGTTTCGACAGGCTTATTATGACATGTATCCAGGTAAGTTCTCCTGAACTTCTCCGGATATCGACGTGCGTATTCACATCGATGCGGAGCACAGGAGTCTGGCGTCAAGGTGATTTTGTGGTAAAAAATCCGAAGACGACAGGGTTCATCTTTCTAGGGCGGAGGTATTGGCTATCAGTGTTGTCACATACAAGCTGACCTAACTATTTCCACAGTGATGGCGTACTCAACCCATCTGGTGTCCGTTTTGGCTCAACGGAGATTTACAGTGTCATAGAGTCTTTCTCTGACGATGTCGATGATTCATTGTGTGTGGGCCAACGGAGAACACAAGACCCTGACGAGCGTGTCCTGCTCTTTCTGAAGATGCGCTCAGGGCGCAAGCTCACACCTACCCTCATTGACCGCATAAAGAACGCGATCAGGACCAGCCTCAGCCCGAGACACGTTCCAGCCTACGTGTTCGAAACTCCAGATATCCCGGTACGTATGCTGCCTGTGGGGTGAACATGACGATTCTGATGCTTATACAGTACACTGTTAACGGCAAGAAAATCGAGATTGCGGTCAAACAGATTGTTTCGGGGTCCGATCTAAAGCCGAGTGGGACTGTGGCAAACCCCGAGTCACTTAATTTGTACTATAAGTACAGGGATATCGAAGGTTTGGTGGGCCTGAAGACGATGGCGAAGCTCTAGTTGTAGACATTGATATCAGAAGGTTGGACCTTTCAACTGAATATTAACTTGCAAGCCCACCCATTTGGCGCACATGTCGGAATTAAGGCTGGGGAAGCATCTGCAATGCGGGGACAGCATGTGACAAACTCATTGCTCCGTCATGCGGTGAGCCGTTTCGTGAGTCTTCCATTGCTGGTGCTTTGTGATTCGCTTCTTCCCGTTCTCTCGTGACCCTGCGGTGTGGTCATCCGTATCCTTACTGAACCATTTTGAACGTTAGTCTATATTCAGGACCAAGAAAGTCCGGACACGCGGCAGCAGTTGTCCGGTTCATGCAGTTAAAGCGTCCATCGCAGCCACTTGATTCGGGCCTGTCCAGGGGGTACTGTGTACAGCAAGTACGTAGGGAAAAATGCACTGATAATGATTATTCGGCCCGCAACACGGTATCTCGCTGACATAGACCATACCATGGAAGTACTTCATGACATCCTTATCTTGCATAATCTGGAATTCTATCCGGATCATAAAGTCGTGTATGCAAACACTTCAACGGGACTACATTGTATAGTAAGCGGGTTATCGTCCACTCATCAGAAAACTCAGAGTTGACAGTAAACGGGTACGTCCATGCGGCAGGCCGCGGTCACTTTTTATGAAGGTTCCTGAGTTTGTCCTATGGCAGGTTGTTTGTCAGTTGACCGAGTGATGGTCAGGGGCAACACTGGTTCAATGGTGGGCCCGATGAAAGCACATGCCTTCGACAAAACATACCTGATGCCCGCTCCTCCATTATGCTCGGAGCAGTTCCTTACTTCCCATGTGGGGTCACTCTATTTCCCCTTTCAAATAGCACGGTGCCTTGATAACGACGAAAATATAACTCCGAGTTCAAGTTTCCCATTTCTCCGACCGTCACTGCTCATTGGAAAGTTGGCCATGTTTTGCTATGTCGTTGACCTGGATCTCTCAGTTTGAGAACGCACCACATATCTTCGCTAACGAATGTATGCTCCTCGAGTTCTGGCCCGGATGTCACCTGGGCACGCATGACTGGACTCTCCCGTGCAGCCATCAAGGCACCCATGATATGCACTTCCGGAGCCTGATATGATAAACCGCCGCATGATAACAGGAACTTGACCAAGCCCTCGTTATGGCTCAAATCGAGGAGATCTTACTATTTAAACCCGCCATTTGAATTCTAAAGAGGTGGAAAGTTATATTGCAGGAGATCTCCGCTGTACCTTGCATTTACCCCACATCCTCATTTTCGCAGAGAACCAATTCAAAATTGTATGGTACAGAGTGATTTGTCTGGGGATTTGAACATGCTAAGGGTGGTATGGTTGAGTAGAAAAATAAAAACTATGAGACTCTTCCCCACTTTGTCACATCAGCTTAAATCTACTATCTTTGGTGCCGCTCAAAGTTGCAAATCACAATAGTGGGACTCACAGTAGCTTTTGGGAAACTCGCTAAAGGTCGCTAAACTCGGGTCGAGTTTGCAGGAAACAGCGGCTGAAAGCTACAATACTCGGCGCGCATCGGCACAATAACGGAGTTAGAAACGACACTTAGGCATTTTCAAACGGTGTGATACACAAAACGAGTAAATTAGATAGAGTAGGCAATCAATATGTACTTTTGAGGACTAGTGATAAAGTAGATCCCCCCAAGGCACTTTGTATTTGAACTGACAGATATCAATAAATTTGTGAAAATACACGAAGTCCACTGAGATTAGGGTGCATGCTGTAGGTGGGGAGCACCAGAGGGAGCTGAATAAGGCTCGCTGCCAGAGGGAGCAGGCTGAGGTTGCATGCTGGGGGGAAGAAGCTGAGGCTGAGTGCTGTATGAAGGAGGATGACGAGTGCTGGATGACTCACCTCCAGTGTGGTCTTCCCTGTAAGGATCTTCATGAAGATCTGCATGCCTCTGCGGAGACACAAGATCGGATAAAGGGTGGACTCCCTCTGGATGTTGTAATCTGAGAGTGTGTGACCATCTTTGAGCTGCTTGCTGGGGAAAATGAGACATTGTTGGTAAGAGGTTGAGGAGGAGAGTTGCACAACTCACCTCCAGTGTGATGGTCTTCTGTGTGAGGGTCTTCACAAAGATCAGCATACTGCCATGAAGATGGTGAACAAGGTGGAGCAAGGAGGACAATAGTAAAGTCTTTGTGCTGGAGATTGAAAATGAAAGCCTGGATAAGAACATGTGTGGATGGTGAAAGTAGAGCACATTTGTTTGGCAGATCGTTGATGGATAGCACAGATCTGTGAAGCTGGTGCACCCGTGGTCATCGTTGATGTGGTGGAGGTCGGTCATAAGGTGCACCTAGGCTTGACCTATGCTGTGAGCTGGACTTGACCGGAACTTCCTGAATTTTAAACTCCGCCATAACCAACATCATATCAGCCAGTACAAAAATAGGGGAATTGATCCCTTGAACCTCACTATGCCTCATCCAAGCAACTGGGCACAGATATTGCATGACCTTGACATGGTTGTATTTGTGGTAGCCAGGGCCACTTATGAGCATGTAGTGCAAGATACCCATTCTAGTACGGACTCTCTCTCAAGCCCCTCTTCTGATTCAGAACTTGGCGATTTCATGAGCATCATGGCGATCACACCTCCTTCACCTATTTCATCATTCCTTTCTGACTTTTCTGTATCAGACTTTGACTCATCCAGCGATGAAGCTGATCGTATTATGGCTCGTTATAACCGCCTTCAAGACCAGATTGCTGCTCTCCGGGATGAGGTGGAAAAGGCACATGTACTCCACTGCCCTGATAAGCCTATGCCACGAGCCAGTCAGCTGCACCTTCTTGTGCATTTTGGGGAACATCGTTCCCACCTATTTTGGCAGAAGCTACATGTTGAGCCTGAAATCTTCGATGACATCATGGATTTAATCTCTGACCATCCCATCTTTCACAACAACTCACACAATCCCCAACTTCCTGTCTCTATCCAGCTTGCTATTTTTCTCAGCCATGCAGGCCACTACAGTGATGCCATAATGGTGGAGGATGTGGCCCAGTGGGCAGGTATTAGTGTTGGATCAGTTGTGAATTGTACCAACCATGTTATGGTTGCACTACTTGATCAGCATGATGCATTCATGAGTTTCCCTCCTCCTGATTCAGAGGATTTCCAGCACGCCCAGGAGTATGCAGCCAAAACTGTTTGCCCTGAGTGGCAGAATGAAATTCTAGCTGTGGATGGCTCCACAATTAATGTGTATCAGAAGCCTGGTTTTCATGGTGAAGTTTTTTTTTGATAGGAAGTCAAGATATTCCCTTGGCTGTCAGGTGTGTTTCCTTTCTGTCTGTCTCCTGTTTGTAATTAAATTAAATTATAGGCCATCATTATGCCCCATAATCTTCTTATAGTTGACTAAACTCTTGGTCACCCTGGGAGTGTCCATGATGCCTATGCTTTCAGGGCCACTCGCCTTTATCGAGAACACGCCACACTTCTTCCAGATGACCACTGGGTCTGGGCAGATAGTGCATACCCACTGGAGCCCTGGTGCATCCCCCCTTTTAAGAAACCCCGCAATGGCAGGCTCACAAACAATCAGAGGACATTTAATTATCACCTTTCTTCAGTTTGTATTTTTTCTGTTGCAGTTAATTTCTGATTCAAAATTTATTTAGATCTGAGTTTGTGTAGAACATGCCTTTGCAGCTCTCAAGGGATGCTTTCAATCTCTTAGGGACCTTCAATGGAATATCCATTCAGAAAATGACCTTCATACTGCTGTTCATTGGATTCAATGCTGCCTAATACTCCATAACATGATCATACAGCTAGAAGAAGCTCAGGGATGGAATGAGGACACTGGTACAGTAGCATGGGCCCATCAGCAGGGCAGAGGCATGATAGATGAGGAGCTTGAGGCCCCTGATGGTAATCAGGTGGTTGGTGACAGATTGTATGATGGCACCCCAGGTCAGGCTTCCTGTGCGATGTTGATGGACCTACTACTTGACAGCCCCGCATCGAGAGCACAGCGCTGAGAAGGATAGAGAACTCACACAACCAATCACACAGCACATAAAGTTCAACACATAGTATTAACAAGACTTACATACATGACATGAGGGAAGGGGGCAACATACTATGATGATAGGTAGAACAGTAGCTATAGGAATGTTAAACAACAGACCTAGAAACACAAAGCATGACGCGACACACAAATATAACTAAAATTGGAATGATGACATACATTGTGACAGTGCGCGAACCTTCAAGATCCACCTTTTTTTTTTTTTTTTTTGTATCCTTGTTTATTGTCTGGTGGGGCGATGCCCTATAGTAGACAATACCTACAGTATGTACCTGTTTCTAATTGCACTATGTATTTGGATGACTTTGCTAATGGTCCCAGCGGTTAGGCAAGGACTGGGATGCCAACTGAAGGCGAGTGATGATGGGTGGGTCAAGCGATGTTCTGCTTGATGCTGGTTCTGTCTTTGTTCATGTTGTGTTCTTGGGTGGGGTTACGTCTCCGAAAACTTGTTCCAGCCTTCTAGTTCGTGCGATGTAATGGAACAATGGTTTAATGAAGTTGCGGTTGTTGAGGAGCATGTGAAGTTGACTTATGTTGGTGCCTGCTTCTTGGCATAGCACTGCTTGTTGACGTGCATAGCTTGGACATGTGAGTAGGAAGTGTTTGACAGTTTCTTCATGTTCATTGCACTGCAGGCATCGTGCAGTAGGAGATTTGGATATTTGGTGGAGGTATTTGTTGAGGGGGGCATGACCTGTGTGGAGTTGAAACAGGAGGGAGCAGAGACGTCGAGGAAAGTCTTCAATAAGGTTGGCGAAATGATCTGATGGCATGGAGGGGTCAATTGTGCATATTCTGTCATAATGCGGTGAGTCTCACATTGTTGCTTTTGCTTCGTCTTTGATGAAGTCTTTGAATTTCTGTTTTGTGACGGCCTTGCTGTGGGGTAGAATGGCTGGCATGCATGTTCAGGCCTTCCCTTTCAATGATCTTGGGAGATGGGCTGTCTCTGAGGCTTCACCTCTCGCTGCGCGCTTGGCCTGTACATCTGCTGCTTCGTTTCCTGCTATGCCCTTGTGACCAGGGGTCCACTGAATTGTGAGCTTTCGTCCGTCCTCGTTGGGTAGGAGGGATCTGAGGTTGTCTAGGAACTTGTTGACGAGATAGTGACCTGGTTGGGATTGGAATGCGCTCGTTGATCTGATTGCGGCCTGGTTGTCCACTCCTAGTGCCATGGTGCCTTTTCCTCCTGCCTCTCTCAACAACTCGACTGCTAGGATCATCCCCACTATTTCTGCTTTGTACACTGTGTGATCCTCTTCCTTTCCCAGGTAGAATCGTCTCTCGCTGAGCATAACTCCCCCTCTCATCAATACTGCTGCGCCTCCCACTCCCCCATCTATTGCCAACCCGTCCGAGTACACCCTAAGATCTTCGCTTGCTTCCTCCTCCTCTCTTGCTGCGTCTTTCTCCTTGCTTGCAATGCTGATAGTTACATCTGGCTCCCATTTGGTGGAGTGTCTTACTGGTAGGATCTTTTCCATTGTTGCTGGGTCTGTCTTGAATTCATTGAAGAGTCTGTGCAGTGGGGAAGGGTGTCTCTTGTGGCCCTCGTAGTTCCTTTTCTTGCAGAAATTGGACGCTGCCGTTATGTGCTTTGACAGCGGGTGGGATTCTGGAAGGGTGGACATTCTGAGAGTGGCTCTGTAGCACATATAGCATAGGACCTGTTGGAAAGGGAGAATATTAGTGTGGCTGTCTAACATGTCAGATGCAGATGAACGAAGGCCCCCTGTTATGTTTAGCGTTGCCATTCTCTGGACACGAGCCATCTGGGAGGCAAAACCCCTTGCACCTCTTCCTCCTTTCTTGCCTCTTCCCTTCGATACCAAGTTTGCACACCATATGTCTGCTGCATATAACATCTTAGGGAGGACTACACATTTGTATAGTCGGTTCATGAGTCTTCCATGGATGCCTTTAGTTGGTTTGATCATGTGGTTGCATGCCATGACATATTTGGTGCCTTTTTCCATGGCGTGAGCAGCATGTTCCTTGAAGTTGAGGTCTTGATCTATGATTACTCCTAGGACCTTGTGGGACTTTGACGGGTGGATGGTGTGTCCTTGGATGACTATGGGCGGGGGAGACAGTCTTGCGGAGGTCGTTTTCATCTGGTATGTGTTGCTTGGTCAGGCAGATGAGTGCAGTTTTATCTAGCTCAAACTCAGCGTGGTGTGTTCTGCTCCATTTGAGAGCGCTGTTTTCCTTTTCCATCATGTGGGTGAGCTTGCCATGTGCTTCGTCGTACATTTTTCCATTTGCTGCCAGAGTGACATCGTCAAGGAAACCTAAGCTGAGCTCTCTGCTGCGGGTCTGTGTGTTAGCTACTCTTAGTACATCTGAGTTGTAGAATATGAAGCCTAGCGGTGATAGTGGGCATCCCTGGTCGACACCTCCTCAAACATTGAATGGGTCAGATTGAAAGTCATCAAAGATGAGGCGTGTGTTGTGGCCGTTAAGTCGTCTGTCGTACCATTCTGTGTATTCCTTTGGGATGCCCGCTGTCTGTAGGTTGTGGAGTAGTCTGCTCATGACCACACTCGGGAATGCGGCCTTGATGTCTAGGAAGAGCAGGGAGACAAATTTGTTCTTGGAGGCCCAGGAGTCTGTAATGAACTTGGTGAGCAGGTGTAGTGAGTCTGAGGTGGATCGGCCTGGTCTGCCTCCAAAATGGGTGGAAGGGAGTAGGTTGTGTTGTTCTGAAATGAATGTCAGATTATTGGCTACACAAGATGAAAGGATCTTAGCCATGGTGTCGAGTAGCGTTATTGGTCAGTACGCTTTTGGAGCACTGTAGTCTGGCTGGCCAGGTTTCCTCAGAACGATTGTTGTAGATTGCTTCCATCTGTCTGGGTAGATGCCTAGTGAAAAGGTTGCTTGGAAGATTGGTGCCATGTACAGTACTAATAGGTGCATGTTCTTTGTGAAAACTACATTACTTATGCCATTCGGTCCTGGGGCCTTGTATGGGGAGAGGCACTTGATCGCTCTGTGGACTTGCTGGTTTGTGATCGGGGAGAACTTGCACACTGGAGGGGGGTATTCATAGTCTGGGTCTAGATAATTGTTAGCTGGTGGGGGGCAGAAAAATACCTCATAGAGCAATTCGCTCTTCCTTGCATTATCTTGCATCGTGTTTCCTGGGTTGGCTGTTGGATCCTGAAGTGTCTTGATGCGGGTGTGTATTTGGTCTGTTGAGTTGCTTGCTGCGTATCTGTGAAAGGACCACATGTCTGTTAGTGTTAGCGATTCAAGCCATTCTGTCCAGTGTTCCTCCTTTGCTTTTCTGATACTTTCCGAGAATTTGTTCCTAGCTACTCTGTATTCCTCATGTATTGGGTCCTGTCGTCTTGCAAGTTTGGCGTGAGATTTGCATGCCAATTTGTGTACAGCTTTGTGTTCCTTGTCTAAGGTTTTGGACCACCAGTGCTTTGAGTATAAGGATGGTTGTTGTTTCGGTACACATTTTGTGGCCGTTTCTTCTATGGCATTGGTGAGGTCGGTGAAAGCTTTGTTAAATTGGTCGGCAGTGGTGATCTCCGTTGGGGGTGGGTTGCGACTGAGGCATGCGGCTAGTTCATCTTCAAATTCTTCCCAGTCTACTTGACAGTAGTTGTATCTGGGGATAGGCGGCGAGCGTTCTGGTCGGAGGTCAAATATACTAACTGCTGGGAAGTGGTCTGTTACGACTGGTCGGAGGTGATATTCTACCTTGCAGCTTATGATGTTGTTCGCGAGTCCTGGGGTGCAGAAGACATTGTCCGGTCAGGTGAGGTTTTTGGTGTTCAAGGCTTCTAGGGTGGCTATCGCTGGCGGGAGTATCTGTACAAGGTTATATATAGATATTAGATTTATTAACAGGCCCACCGCATCTAGGTTGGCTGCGGTGAATAAGTGGCTGTTATGAGGCATCTCCCACATGGGGTGGTGGCGATTGAAGTCACCTAACCATATTATATGTTCTGTCGCGTATTGTTGTCCGCCTTGAGCGGTTCTGCACTGTAGCGATGGTCGCGGCGTTGGGCTCAAAACCACATATTTCCATACTCACGTCAACACCCGAAACATATGCGCACATGTCCGACGCACTTTCACACATGTCCGAGCCACTCCGTATGGGATCCGGCGCATCGGACCTTCGGACATCGCATCGGCTGATCACACTTTGCGCGCACTTGTCCATCCCGTGTCCTGTCCATCCGAACTAGCCTCACTAGGTGCATAGTCATTCCCGTGCATGTTTTCTGACATTCGGACCGCATTATTACATGTCCGCAGCACCTCATGTCTTATTACATAGGACATCGGACCCAAAATATATCGCTACTATCTTCGCCTGTAGTTTTCCAAATTTCTATGTACTTACTTAAATACTCTGTAGTGACCCGTAGCAATCATGATCCAGTAGTTAGGAGCTGTTTCCCGACTCTGCGGATCACCCAGAATATTCTTGTAGTTCTTAGTTGCATTGCGAAATATTACCATTCGTTCACTGTCATACTCCGTCACTTGTTATACTCGCGCATACCGCTCGCAATCCGACACTCGTTATAAAGTTTCCGACCTATTATCATGAAGTCTGAAAGTCCGAAATCTCGGACATTGCACTTTGGCTTCGGACATTGGATAAGTACCTTTGGACATCATTGGATTACCTTTGGACATCGTTTCACACCATCGGACATTTTGTTATTTGCATTACTGACACATTTTTACTACTAATACCAATTAGCAATCCCTTTAGGATTGAATGCACTTGCTCTGCAAGTATAGCAGCATAGGTCGTGCTAAGATCTACCTAAATATTTGTTGTCTAGGTAGTACAATTTCTGCTGAGCCCAGTGGAGATCAGCTTTCTACACCGGCCTTTTCCTCTATGTCCGCTGTAACGATGGTCACAGCGCTGGGCTCAGAACCAGCTATTTTGATACTGATGTCAAACAGTATTTGTCCGACAAACTTCCGACTACCCTGACCCGAGTCCGACAGTCCGATCCTGACCCGCTGCACTTTCCGACAGTCCGACGCATGTCCGATCCCGACCCGACATTCCCGTGCATCGGACCAGTCCTCCCTATGTCCTGTCCAGTCACATCTATCCCCACTAGGTGCGCATTTACTCCTTTTGACTTGCTAAGCATTGTATACAGTGTTATTACATGTTTTCTCATGGTCCGCAGTACCACATGTCCTATTACATAGGATTTCGGACCCAAAATATCGCTACTCTTGCCTATAGCAGTCTGAATTTCTACATAGTCACTATTTAATATCTAATACTTCCTACCTATTGCATTACTTACTTTTTCCTACTCAGTAGTAGGATGGAAGTCATTGGATATTAGTAGTACTTTATTGTATTGCGAAATATCTATCTGCTCTTTTTCTCCGAAACATTCTGACACATCCAACATTCATTTGACCGACAATCCGACACACTTCCGACACATTCCTTTATCATCCGACGCATTCCCGACAGTCCAATGCATAGTCCAATGCCCGACCTGACTCCAATATTTTCGGACCCGACAGTTTCCCTTCATACAAGTAGTTCTTAGCTTCGGATTATCTTCCTACTATTGATAACTAACTATCAAAACTAATACCAAACAGCTACCCCTATAGGATCGAACGCACTTGCTCTGCAAGTATAGCAGACTAGGTCGTGCTAAAGATCTACCTAAATATTTGTTGTCTAGGTAGTACGATTTCTGCTGAGCCCAGCAGAGATCAGCTTTCTACACCGCTAAAGCTGCTGGGTTGTTGGGGACGAATGAGATTGGTACATTTTCCATTAGAACATGGAAGAATCTGTCTTTGATTGTTACGTTAGTACCGTAGAATTCTAGAAAGTTGCTCTTGTTGGCGGGGGTGTTGAACCATTCAGCTGACTCCTTGGTGTTGAGTTCATAGAGAATTCCTCCATGTGGGAGCCTTCTTGCTGAAATGAAGGAGAGGTCTTGCGGGTATTCGATGTTCTGTTGAGTCATTAGTTCTAGGGCCATGGACGCCTTTGTGACCAGCTGGGACTCCGTTAGGTCTCTGAGAGAATTGGGGGACAGGAGGGATCTTCTGTCGATGAGTATTTGACGTGTTTGAGCTTCATTGCGGGCAAGAATTTTGGTCAGTTGAGCAGGAGTTCCTGCTTTGATCGCATCTGCATAAGTTCTAGGTCCTTCAGACCCTCTGAGCTCTGTTTGCAGCCTTGATTGTTGGTTAGTCTTTTGGATCGCTGATTCTAGTGCTTTCTCTATTCCTTCTGGGGACATATTCATTTGATTGTGTACCTCTTTTACCGTTTCTTCCATGGTTGTCTTCTGCATTTCTACAAGTTGTGTTAGTGCCTTGACATTGTTTTCTAGTTTTTCAATTGGGTTTTTGATTAGTGAGTCGACTTTGGTTAGTATGTTGTTTATGTCATAGGTTTGGCTGGCCTCGTGGAGGATGAATGCAAAGGACCGTAGTATTTCTGTGAGGGTGGCTCCTGTGTTAGGGGTCAAGCTCAGTTCAAATAGGGCTGCCGTGATCTCTTTGAGTGCATTTCCTGCTACCGGGATGGTGAGGCCGTGGGTGGTGAGGAGTTTTCTTGCTGTTGCAGTGCTGTTGATGTCAGTTAGAGTCCCGGTGCCTATAGTGTGGTCTTCCGGGCTCTTACTGAATGACAGCAAAGGTTTACTGGCTGTTGTTTTCTGGCTTGTTCTGGTTGTGATGCCTGTGGGAGCCATTGGAGTTGGGCTGGGGGCACTGCTTGGGGCCATTGGTGCTGCTTGGCTGGTGGTGGGCGCTGATAATCTAGGTGATATTAGTTAGTGGGTAATGGTAGAGGATAGCTGAAGGTTTGGTGGCACCTTGAGGCATCGAGTGTGCTGTGAGGCGCAGTGTTGGAATTTGAGTTCTGGGGTGCTTGCCGGGGTGCCACTTGGTACGGGTCCAAGAAGCGATTTTCAAGATCCACCTGTAAGCTGGTGGTACTGGATCTTGAGGTGCAACAATGCTGCCTCCTCCGCATGCACTTTTGCCAATGACTCATGCATCCTCGCCTCTGCGATGCAGAGGCGGATCTCAGTATCCTTCGCCTCTTGTGAACATTGATGAACGGTGGCGGCATCCATGCACTCGTCCTGGCGCTCAGCTTGGAGGAACCAATGTTCATTTTCCTGTCGGGTGAGATTGAGCTTGGCCATGTAACAATTGTTTTTGAGTTCCTCGTGAGAGACCTTGGACAACTTCTTTGAGTGGATACTGCCGATCTTGTTGGTGATTGCACCAACTTGGTTCAATATGTCTGAGCGTGCCTTCTTCGACGGCCTACCCATATTCTTCTCAGAGCTTGCAGATTGCGATGTCAGAGTTGTCAACATTGTGACTGATGATGTTGATGTCGGTGTGGACCACAAATGCGAAGACCTGAGACCTGACAGAGGCTTGAGCAACCCCTCGCTTATGCGTCTTGTAGGGTCAGGTGTGCCAAAGGCAGCATGGCTATTGTGCTGCATTGTCTGTGGCTTCTTGGGAAGCTTGAATTCAGTATGAGGAGGGGAAGTGATAGAAGCAACAGAGTGGATGGGGGTTGGCATTTGTGGGTGGATTGGCGCCTGGGGAGGCTGTTGAGGTCTGTGACATTCTTGCTGTAATCAGCCATCACATGGGAGCCAGTTATGCACACATTGTCGTTGTCGTAGTCCATCCCCCCATCCTTGTGATTAAGGGGGAGATTGTGCTGGCCTTGGCCAGGATGAGAGTAGGGGACAAGTGTATGGGGGGTGGGCGCTGAAGGGTGGGTGCTAGGTGCATAATGAGGCTGGGCACTAGGGCCAGGGTAATGGGCATAGCTGCTATAATTAGTGCCAGAAGGGACATTGGACTCCCTGTAGACAGCAGGGGGGGGCAGGCTGAGCACTGAGAGGAGGGGGCTGAGCACTAGGAGGAGGGGGCTGTGCGCTAGGCACATAGCCCCCATACTGAGTGCTTGAAAAAGATTGCGCACTACCAGTAGTGCCTGCCTGCAAGAGTGAAAAGTACTTGGATGCATGGTCCATCCCTGGGACTGATGAGATTGTCTTGAGGGACACTGCTGGGTTCCCCTCCAGGATAGCAGCAAGGTCGTCATACCAGGAGAACTCCTCCAGAATTTGCATGATGAACATAGTCAGTAGTAAAATTAAATTAAACAAAACATGTACTGTGCAAATTTGCTGCAGTCATTTCGTCAAGCAGTGTGACGCCAGCACCCATCAAGTGCAGTTTATCATGGAATTCACAATACTTTTTCCTCAGGCTATAAAGGAGATATGTTTACATACAAAAATACATAGGAAGGCACTCACCCAAAAATATGGCTGTTTGTGGAGTCACAGAATCTTTCAGGATCATCAGGATAGTAGTTCGCATATTCAGGATCATTCTTGAAGACAGACTTTGCAATGATTTGGCAAATTAATACCTTGTCTTTGGCCGAGGGGCGATCACCGTCAGCATGCAACTTATTGTTAGAGTAGAATAGGATGCAACAGTCAGCAGAATGTGTACAAAGATGTTCCATTATTTTTTCAGTGTGCCTAGGGTCAGCTTGCCACTGAACACTAAATTTTGGAGTGCGTGCTTGGTCTTGACTGCTAGTAATTATACTAGCGGTCAAATGGTTTCACGATCCTCAAGTTTTCCCTTTCCCACAGGTGGTATATGGCTGGGTGGGTTCCATGGTGGTTAGGACCTTTCGTGAGTGAGTGTGCAAAAATTTGAGTCGCACAACCTGCCTGCCAGTCCAGGAACACAATGACCCGCCACTGTTCTTCCTTCAGCAAATTGACCTCCTCGCATCGCATCGTGCGCACACGTGCCTTGCACCATTCAATATGAAGTGCTCACCAGAAGCATGTCAATGCAAGCAAATTCAAAACTATTAGGCCTTACCATTGTGCAGGCCAACATTGGCATCCTCCGCCACCCCCAGTGTTTTCCAGATCCATGAAAGATGTCTTGTCCCCTCTGTCTCCTTTTCCTACATGTCCTTCAATGATTTCAGGTCCCTGTTGCGATTCAGAGGCCTGAATATATCTTTCCAGGCTGGACCTTCATCAAGAATTTGCGCCAGAGTAGTGAGAGCCGCCCTCGCAACTTCATAATGCTCAGCAGCCATGCTGACTTTGATGTCCATCTTATTGATGGTACTTCTTGCACAGGTATTAACTGCTTGGCCGATGATGTTGTTATCCTTGAATTTGTATAGGTGTGAGCGGAGAAGTAGAAGGTTTCGAATATCTTTTAATGCATCATTTGCTTGGGTGTAGCATAACATCCATTCAAAATGATGAAGTTGAGTAGAACATTGAGTGTCTGGGCCAACTCCAGATGGTAGCCATAGATCGATAGCTTCGACAGCAGGTGTTACATCCATAGAGGAGCATGTTACGACTTGGATGGTATCTGTTGGCGACGCTCAAACAGAGCGTGTGTCATCAACGGTCGAGGACGTCCTTGGGCTAGCCCAAGGTTAGGGGTCTTACTTGGCGAGGCTTCAGCAAGTAAGATTTGACGCCTATGTCCAAATCAGGTAGCTTACATCAAGCGGGTGCTAGATGATGAGCTGTATCTGCCAAGACTTACGACACCCGAAGGTTAATCGTAAGATCGTTGTTAATTAGAAGGACGGAAGTCCGACTAGTTAACAGGGGCTTTTCTTGTCGACAAAGTCGATAAGCAAAGGTCGAGACTATAGGCTTATCTGCGAAGAGCAGATAAGAAGATAGAATATAGGCTGCTGGCTAGGCAGAAGGGATCACTCTGGTGAGAGTAGGAGGTCAAGAACCAAGTAGATTCAAGTTAAGGAATATGTTACATGGTAGCGAGTTTATATAGAGGACAGGAAGTGTATTAGTGGATGATAACTCGTACTACCAAGAGAAGTAAATGGTAAAGGGTATGACCATAAAAGGAAAGCACGTTCGAGGTGAGACACGGGTGAGCTCTGAACGTGCGGATAAGAAAATGAGTCAAGGATCGGAATAAGAAGTGAAACACGCAGGGGCATGATCGTGCAGCTGCAGAGCTAAGTATAAGTCGCATGTGCGACTGCGCATCGAGTCAGAGATCAAGAAAGGAAACAGGGCAAAGGGGATGCGTCGTGCATCATATCATAGGTTACTGTCCAGACGGTAAGGGCAAGGGGACTGTCCACAGGATCAGTCAGGTGGTGGAACGGAGCATGAGTATGCTTCGTCAGCGAAAGGATCCGGCCAGATGTACTGGCTCTGCTGAAGCGACAGGTAGAGAGCGAAAGGGAATGCGAGAATGACAAGGATGACCAGGGTAAGGTCGGGGTAAGGGTATGATGCAAGGGCTGATACGAGGAGGATCAGGAGAAAAATGGTAGGGGCCCAAGCGTCTAGATGTTCTTGTAACAGAGCATGGGCATTCTTCATTGGCACATAGGCGAGACACAAATAGCATATATAGTAATTGAATATCCTGCCAAACATCTATTTTCCTGTGTAACACGTTGGCATGTTGCTGGACCTTAGCAAGTTGGTGGTTGGTTGCATGAGCGCCGAGTGCCACAATCTCATAAGATAAACATCATCTGTATACTCATTAGTTCATTATTTGTGAATGCATGAGCTGGTGTACTCACTGTTGTTCTTCCAAATCAATTCCGGAACTGATTAAGATTGAGGGGGGAACATCCGCATGAAGAGAGATATTTGTACCAGACTCTAGTTCTGCAGCTTCAATATGCACAAGTTCTAGCCAAACAGTAGCCTGCGTCTCAGCTACATTAAAGTCAACAGAGAAAACTTAAAATGAACAAAAAAACACATGTGCTACTCAAACCTTGAATGGATTTGGCTGCATGTGATCCTGTTTCCAAGCCTCTACATCAGTTCTCCATTCTGAAATATCTCGTGCTAGCAGGCGGCTTTCAAGTTCCAAAAGCTCGTGCTGATGATTAGCTTTTTGCTTGATAGCATCTGCTAACTTTCGAGCAGTGAGTCGTGCTGAATAATTACATCATGATTAGTAGAAAGAACTGAATATCGACAATGCTTACCAAGCTGTGCAAAATGCTTCCAATTCCAATCACCAAAATGGTCATCGAGTGTATCACACCAAGATCCTGGGCCCATCTCCTTGGTGCTTGATGCAATGGGGTTAATATTAGCCCACCCACGTTCCAGAGCTTCACCATCAGTATGGCCAACATGCCGAGAGAAATTAAGAAAAGTTGATCTGGCACGGCTCAATATGGGCTGGTAGATGAAATTTTGGAATGAGAAAGTTGACACTTTTGTTGTTGTAATCCAGATGAAACATGGAAGGAAGTTTTGACATCCACAAACACAGATGTTTGGACCATTGACATGCGATATTGTATGATACATTGAGAACAACAACATTTTGGTGTTTCATTGCTGAGAAAAATAAATAATCCATATTAACATACCTGAGAAGTGTTGTTAGGTGGTAGTATTATGAAATAAATGGTGAACAATACATACTTCTCACCCTTCTGTAGGTCACCAACTGCATTCTGAAGTTTCATATTGTGCCTGGCACAATCCATTGTCCCAACACCTGTAGCGGCGAGGCCTTTGGACTTCTTTGTATTGGCCATGTTCATGGCGTTATGACTGGTGCATGTACTGCACTATCAGTGGCTAAGTGAGTTATTTGCAAGAATACTTAACCAAAAAGGAGACTTACCTCCTGGTTTTGGTTTTTATTATCTGCTAGATATGATTTGTATGCCTTCTCCTCTACAAAATACAACCATCCCTTACTGATTCCAGGATCAACAATATCACTCGAAACCAACTTCTGCTTCAGACGGAAGTTGGCATCAATGCCAACAAATAAAGCATACAGCCATCTGTGTTTGGATTAGAAGGTAAAGGACTTTGGACTGACATGAAACTTACCACTTATCAGGCAATGCATTCTTCCAGTCCTCTGGAAGGTTTTTCCCAGGGTGCAGACATGCAGGGCAAAATACTGCACACTGTCCAGGCTCTGTTGTCACAACCCCATCTGGACAGTGTCCCTGGGCAAAACATTTGAGTAAATTGAGGATTCGCCATTCGTAAACTACTCGCAAGAAGGTTGCATAACAGTCCTATAGTTCCTGTCATCATAGTTCTTTGCAATAAAAGGAAATTTAGTAAACAAAATACCTTTGGCAGATCAATGCCCATATTGTCGGATAAATGTGCAAGGCCTTGATAGAACTTGAATGCAGATGCTTTAGACTCAAAAGATAGTAGGTGATACTGTTTGAGGACACCAAAGTAGCTGCAGTTTTGGGATCAGTAGTAGTTGCCAGAAAAAGTCGTGATCATAGCAGTTGCTTGGCATGGGTTTGCATGGTCTCACAGGCACAGAAATCCAATGCCACTTCATGTATTCCAGTTGTATTGATTATCACAAAGTTGTTGTTGAATGCACAGTAAGGGTTGCAGCATGTATATCCAATACAATGGCCTAGCTAAATGTGTAACCCCAACGACTTGAGGGTGATTTGATCAAAGTAAATACTGAATGTCAACCTATCCTATAAGTATAAATCTCAGGCATTACATTACCTGAAGATGATGTAATGGCAGATTTTGGTGCCTTTCTACAATACACAAAGGGCAGTAGAGTTCCGGTAATAAGCAATCCTTGCATTGGATGGTCAGAGCATGTTCTTGGAAGTATCTACAGAGAGAATCCTCGGTATAGTCTCCGTGGCCTTTAAGGCAGATCATTTCATCTAAAAATGTGGAGCATTCCAGCTCCCATACTGCAAGGGAGTGATCATAGTAGGTACAGAATAAGTAAAACATCAAGAGTGTTGAAAAAACTTACCCTGGCTGTGTGTTTTCTCTTGGAAGTCTTGGTCTCGACATTAAACTTGTCAAGAATTAGCATGTGGTCAAAGAAAGAGCCAGTGTCGTAGATTTGCCATGAGTTGCAGGCCAACAGTGGATCTTGCATTGTAGGGGGAAGAGTTGCAGGGGCAAGATGGGCACCTGCCAGAGACTCCGTGTGCACTAATGGCTTGCCAGATTGGAATGTGTAAATGGAGGCTGTGTGGATGTCAGTTGAAGGTGTATCTGGAAGTTGCTTAGTGGTATGACATCAACTTCTGTTTTTTCTTGCCCATTAATCCATACAGATGGCAGAAAAAAAGTGTCCTCATCCAAGCTGGTGAATTCAAGACCTGCCTTATCAATTACTTCAATCGACATCCGCCAGTGGTGAATCAAAGAAGTGTTTGTTTGTACTTGTTGAATCCAGATACTTAGCTTTTGCAATGCTTGCCATCCATCCCTAAGTCCTTCTTGATACACTATTACATTGCAGGCCATCCATTCTTCCCGAGACTCGCATACAATATTATGTTGCAGGCAATGAATCTATCACCTTCCTCTTCCACTCGGAACCAGTCACAAACCTCCAGGGTACCATAAATAAGCCACCAGACGGTAAGTGTCTTTCTCCCATCATTTTACTTTACAATCAATTTTACTTTACTAGATGACATCAGACAACTCGAGCTCGGTATCTTCTAGTCATGCAGTTGGTAAGTTTATGATTTTTTTCATTTTAAATGTGCATTGACTCTCTACAGATGCTTTCATGACAGCACTTATGAATCTCAACATGAGTTCTGTCACTGCCAATGCACTCATTATTGTTATCCAAGCAATAGCAGATGGTGATCAGAACCTTCCATCAGCACCAGTTCACCCTGGACAAAAAGATTGCATAGCTGATCTTAAGGTTGAAGACAATGCTGATGATGGAACCAAGGCTACTCCAGTGCCCTCTTCCACCACTCCGGCACCTGTTGTTAGCAGCATGGCTGCAGGCATCGTCAAACCCTCACTCTCCACTAATGCAGACTCAGTTGGGCTTTCACCCAGCTTGGTTTTATATCAAGGCTTCCCATACGAGATTCCCTATCTTTCTGACAAAGGACCCTTCTACTATATAATTAAAAGCAAACATGTTGGGGTTTTGTTCACTTGGTAGGCCTTTTTTCTTTTGCTCTATTTTACATGCTAATGACAAACCAACAGGGAAGACACTTCCCCCCAAGTCACAGGGGTCAGTGGTGCTATCCATAGCCACTGTCCATCAGTTGAAGTAGGTGTGGCACACATTCATGCAGCCATTGAATGCAAGAATTGTCAGTACTTGAGAGCATGATAAGCTTTGTGTACATTACTAATTATTCATAATGTGTATCATCTGAGTCACAGCAATGTTAAATTGTTTATTTTAATGAAACATACATTGGATCGATTGAATAAACCATGTTACACATATCAACTTGTGAAGTCTATGCAAATACGCTCAATGATATCTATAGTGATGCAAGTAGTTGAACATGGTATTGATAAATAATTCTCCTAAGAAAGTGCTCTTCAGGAAAAACATACAACACATTTATTACCATGGAACATTGTCCTTGTCCTGCATTGGACTTTGTATATTTCATCAACACCTTTGTTATCTTGGTATCTTGCATGAAAAAATGTTGCTGAGCATGTGTTCTTGAGTCTTGTTAGCATATACAGTGAACAGGCTTTCAAACTCGAATTAGGTAACTTAGTGACTCAAACATCACACATCATTCATATTACTAGGACTCTTTCTTTTGTTTAGTCCCAACATTCCACATCTCTTCAACACTCCTACCATGGGTTGGCAAAAACTGCACAAGTCAGAAAAAGAATGCCAAGAAGCTGCCAAGAAGTACCAAAATGTGTATTATGAGAAGTACATTTGTTTTCTTCCTAGTCATACTAGTAAGTCTTCATTTCATCCTCTAACAGAAACAAAGTCGTCATCTTGCAAAAGATGTAATTAAAATACAATAAAATGAAGCATCCAAAGTATCTGCACACAACCCTTTGGAACTCCAAGTCAAACAACAGGAAAGACAGTGACCTTACTAGATTGTATGTACTCATAGAGTTGTCACACGTTGTATCATTTCAAACTCACTCTGACACAAACCTCTAGATCTGATCCAGATATAAAATTTCGCAAGCTTGTCAATGGGTCCACTCATAGGTTCATGGATGACCTGGCACTGCAGTATATGGGTAGCACTCATTCTGAAGACTCATGGCAGCCTATTCTGGATGCACTCAATATTGCTCAGGAGGCCGAGGAAGCAATTATAAGAAGTGGAGGTGATGGTATGCAATGCCGGCAAGTCATACTATTTCTTGAAGATGTTCTCTTGCATACTTTTGAGGACGAGGATATCATATCTGCACATAGCTGAGGGATTCTCAGGTATCAGTTGTTAGCTGATTTCATTATTGTGTAGTGTACGTTCATAGTCATACTTAAATTCTATTTGGAGGACAATGAAATTTACAAGTGGGGTTAATTACAATAGAAAAGTACCAATTTAGAATGCTCTATGAGTCTAGAACGATTATGGTAGAAAAAGTAATGACACACAATGGAGATGAATTGCGTGAATTGGGATGACTCTATCTAGAATGAATCTTATGGTAGAAGAAGTACTGATACACGATGGAGATGAATTGCATGAATTGTGATGACTCTATGAGTCTCGAGCATGCCATGTGTTCATGCCATTTGGGAATTGCCTTGTGGCTTGATGGAGCTGTATTGATGGAGCTATAAATTTTTAATTTGATATTTTTGCATCAGGTGTCAAAATGTTAAATCCCCATAACAAAATTCAAAGACAGTGAAAGGTGCACCAATCGATATTTCACACAATTGACAATGACATATCTCACTTGACATACAGATGGTTGCTAGTGAATGGACTTCTAAGGAGCAAAAGGAGTGGTTAACTACACAGCTTCCCGATGTAGAAAGCTGATCTCTGCTGGGCTCAGCAGAAATCGTACTACCTAGACAACAAATATTTAGGTAGATCTTTAGCATGACCTAGTCTGCTATACTTGCAGAGCAAGTGCGTTCGATCCTATAGGGGTAGCTGTTTGGTATTAGTTTTGATAGTTATCAATAGTAGGAAGATAATCCAAAGCTAAGAACTACTTGTCCGAAGGGAAACTGTTGGGTCCGAAAATATCGGAGTCAGATCGGGCATTGGACTATGCATTGGACTGTCGGGAATGCATCGGATGATAAAGGAATGTGTCGGAAGTGTGTCGGATTGTCGGTCAAATGATGTTGGATGTGTCAGAATGTTTCGGAGAAAAAGAGCAGATAGATATTTCGCAATACAATAAAGTACTACTAATATCCAATGACTTCCATCCTACTACTGAGTAGGGAAAAGTAAGTAATGCAATAGGTAGGAAGTATTAGATATTAAATAGTGACTATGTAGAAATTCAGACTGCTATAGGCGAGAGTAGCAATATTTTGGGTCCGAAATCCTATGTAATAGGACATGTGGTACTGCGGACTATGAGAAAACATGTAATAACACTGTATACAATGCTTAGCAAGTCAAAAGGAGTAAATGCGCACCTAGTGGGGATAGATGTGACTGGACAGGACATAGGGAGGACTGGTCCGATGCACGGGAATGTCGGGTCGGGATCGGACATGCGTCGGACTGTCGGAAAGTGCATCGGGTCAGGATCGGACTGTCGGACTCGGGTCGGGGTAGTCGGAAGTTTGTCGGACAAATACTGTTTGACATCAGTATCAAAATAGCTGGTTCTGAGCCCAGCGCTGTGACCATCGTTACACTGATTATAAAAAGTGTTCTACTAAATCTAGCTATGCGAAGTTCTGGCCCCCCATCTATGAGCAATGGGAGCAGCAATGGTGCATATATAGAGAGCTCTGGCCACAACTTCCTAATGAGGATGGTCTGAATGCCGTATAATTGGCAACAAAGGGGAAGGCAGTTGAGAGGCGTCAGAAGGTGAGATGCTGTATATTAATTGTGAGCTTAAGATATTAACCAAAAATTAAATACAGCAACTATGCACCTGGATGTCTTGGCATTTGGGGAATTCCGCTTCTTGCAAAGGCAGAGTGGCGCAATCTTCTGCTAGGGCAACTTGTCTACTTAAGGACCTTCTCCAGCCTCGGTGTGCAAGGGCCCTAAGTGAGGCCGAAATGTACTCCCGACTCTACTATAAAACCAACATTCGTCCAACTGTCAAAGCTGCTGTTAGTGAACTTGGGTCAACAACAAGAGGTGAAAGGCTTAAGATTGTATGAGAGGTCACATGTCAATGTTGGGAGTGAGAAACCAATGAGACCATTGTAAAGAGTAAATCTAGGCTGGACTCTACAGAATGTGAGTCCCAAGTCCTGAGAGATGCGAGTGTGCTTTGTCCCAAGAGACAACCTAAAAACTACCTTGATAAAAATGCAAGGGAAGTCTTATACAGTCAGAGAGTAGACAAGATATAGGGAAGTAAACCTCTAATATTCGTCCAAAGTTCTGAGACTACGTCCAAAGTACCAAGATACTGGTCCAATGTGACCAAAGGTCGTCCAAAGCTGTGAAAGTGATGTCCAATGTAAAGAGTAAATCTCTGCTAGGCTCAGCAGAAATTGTGCTACCTAGTCAACAATATTTAGGTAGATCTTTGCATAACCTAGTCTGCTATACTTGCAGAGCAAGTGTGTTTGATCCTAGGGGGATTGCTAATTGGTATTAGTAGTATAAATGTGTCAGTAATGCAAATAACAAAATGTCTGAAGCTGCAAAACAATGTCCGAAGGTAATCCGATGATGTCCAAGGGTACTTATCCGATGTCTGAAGCCAAAGTGTGATGTCCGAGATTTTGGACTTTCAGACTTCACAAATATAGGTTGGAAACTATGTAACGAGTGTCGTGTTGTGAGCAGTATCACAAGTATAATGAATGGCGGGTTTGTGATGGTGAATGAACGGTAATATTTCGCAATATCAACTAAGAACTACAAGAATATTCTGGGAGATCCACAGAGTCGGGAAATGGCTCCTAACTACTGGATGATAATTGCTACGGGTCACTACAGAGTATTTAAGTAAGTACATAGAAATCTGGAATAATACAGATGAAGATAGTAGCGATATATTTCGGGTCCAATGTCCTATCTAATAAGACACGAGGTGCTGCGGACATGTAATAACACAGTCCGAATGTCAGAAAATGTGCACAGGAATAACTACGCACCTAGTGAGGCTAGTTCAAATGGACAGGACACGAGATGGACAAGTGTGTGCAAAGTGCGATTGGCCGATGCAATATCCGAAGGTCCGATGTGGAGTGGCTCGGACATGTGCACATATGTTTTGGGTGTTCATGTGAGTATGAAAAACTGTGGTTCCGAGCCCAGCACTGCTACCATCATTACACCAGAGTAGCGTGATGCCTTTTGAGGTTTGTGAGAGCTGTCCAAAGGTCAGAGTGTGTTGGTATGTCGATGTGTCGGTATGTCGGTGTGTTGAATAGTATAAGACTTTGCGAAACATCTGAAGTTCGGAACGATGCTAATCTACTGGAACTCAAGAATAAACGAGGTGCAGAATTGGCAGCAGTCTAGCCAAACAATTGTTCCGAATGAACAAAAGATTGATTGCACAGTTATGAATATACTGAGGTGACTTTACTAACTATGACTTGAAGTACGGGAAGTGAAGTGAAGTACCAGTAGTAAGCAAGCGAGATTATATCCTACTTCTGTGAGAGACTGGAATGCATAGGCAAAACTGTAGCGAGATAAACAAATACGAACCTATGTAATAAGCCGTAAGATGTACCGTTTATATCTATATCAAGTTTCCTGACAGGGTGCTGATGGAGTTTATCTGTAGTAGCACTAAGACATAATCAACATATAGATAGAATAAGGGAAAACACACCAGCGAAGTCAAAAGAACAAGGATAGGACATGGTTAATCTGCGAGGTTTGGACAGGCCTCAGAATGCAAGGACTGCCTGCGGAAGGTTCGGACAAGTGCACGCGGCCTTTGGAAGGTCAAGGGAGGTTGAGGAATGGTATGGGATGTAAGTGTTAGATTGACTGGTTCCGAGCCCAGCACTGTGGCCATCGTTACAGCGATATCATACCCTAAGACCAGTAAGTAATTACACCATTACCTTGTTGCATTGTAGTTTACACCCTTATCATTCCAAGAGACAATTATGGAAAGCCTGTGTCAGACGACAATAAGGAAAATACTAACTTGATGATTTAACTAATGTGCAACATCATTTAAATTCACCTGGATTTCCCATTGGGATTCTTTTTCACACTTTCAGTTCTGCAAACTGAGCATCTTCAGAAACTTCTTGCCATCCTGCAGGACAATGCCAGCACACTATGCAAGAGAATAATTGCTTACCATGATTTTGCATGGTTGCTGGTTGATACTGATACAGTCTAGTACATGACTGATTCATGGGCATTGCATGCAAATGGAAATTTTGCTGAACCAACCTGATTTATCCTAGATCTCACAAAATTCAAGTACCTTTGCAATACAACTTCCCTCCTAGAAACCCTCTTGGACAAACACAAAGATTCTGATTCTGTGCATACTGATAATTATAAGTGAGTTTTGCCTTGTGGATCATTGTCTTTCTGCATATGGATCTTAACCTTGCACCTCAAGCTGAGTTACTTGAATCCATCACCAAGTGTTACATCTCAGCCCTTCAACAACTTTCAACTTCATCTATGAGATGCAGCAGTTTGTGCTATTTCTTGCCTTTAATCAAAAGAAGGAACCAAATATTTACATCAATCCCAATATTAGATGCATTACCATTGACACCCAAACCATACACATGAACAAGTTTTGGGAGAACATACAAAAACTGCTAAGTGACTTCCAAGAGCAATATACTTTCCTCATAAGCAAAAAAAATCTTATTAAAATGTATGTCCAATCAAATCAAGATCAATTACACAAATACAACAAGAAGTTACTCCTTTCTGTCCAAAGAGCCTTTTTATCAGAAAAGACACTCGATGTTCTTCTTATTGGTGAAATTATATAATCTTGTCATAGTCAACAACCAAGGTCACATATATTGGAACATTCCAGGAATAAAGGAACCACTAAAATGCACCATGTGTGTCTGGGAGCCTCTTTATTACTTGCTGTATATCATGACTCATATTTCTTGTCATGGAATGCAATTCATTAATCACTAATTATATAATGTCAACAAACATCACAACTTTTTTATAGGAGGTAATGGAATATTCATCCTGACCAGTTACAGTAAGATGACTGATATGACAGATAGAGATTCATGCACACCCAGGTCTATGTCAAAGAAAGTTACCTTCTGGGTCCTCAAACTGCTAGGAGGTGGATTATAAATAGCTAAAGCCATCTTAGCTTGTATTATATACAGTAAGGAAGTAGAACAACTCTATAGAACATGAGTGATGTTCATCATATTTAGCTCTCTGAGTTGTTTTAATAGTTCTTGCTTATATCTCAGCTATCTCTGCATCAGAGAAGGAGTAAAAATTATAGCTGCAAAGTTCTTCAAAAGCCTCAAACAATGAATTCAAGACTATTTTGGCTGCAGGTGGAGATTGTGAGATTTTCATCAGGAAGCCATCACCATGAGACGCAAGTTCATCATTCCAGACAACTCTTATGACAAAGCTAACAGCATCCTGGCTAAGTCTGTAGATCACTCTACCAGTATCAACCATAGCCACTACACTGTAGTTTAAGAAAATGTCCTTCAATTTTCAAATAATACAATGTGCAAGCATAGATAGCTGGGAGATTAGTAGCATAGTTGCTTGGTCTTGGTCCTTTTTCCTCCAGAAGCAATTTGAATTAGTAAAGGAAAAAAGAAAAACAGGAGGACCTTTCAGTCCATGTCTAAAGAGCTGAGGAAGACCATGCAAGTGTATCTTGACTCATTTTTTGGTATGGAGCTCAGAGAAATACTCAATAATTCAATCTCTACCACCTTTCAACAATGTTGCCAACAAATGGACACAGACCATGGTTCCACAGTGACATTGCCATCTTTCAGAGAAACTGTGCATGTCTTGGATTTAGATAGTAAGCTAGAAGATATGTTTTCAAAAGGTCAGTGACTGCAACTGTCTTCAAAACATTATTTTTTATTTGTTTTTATCTTGTAGGTTTACTATCTTGTGAGATTTCATCAAAAGGCAAGAGAGAGCTTATGAATAATATCAGTAAGTAAAATGTATAAGTTCTTATTTAAGTTATCATACTATGTTATTATTGCAGATGTTACATCTACTGAGGGTTGTTCGCCAGCTATAAGTGATTATATAGATATTGGAACTATACTGTTAAGCTTCCCACTTCTAGTATCATCTTATTAATTATTTTTTTTTGAAATATTTAGTAAATATGTACCTACCACTGACTTCAAAGGCAAGAGTAAGGCATATGAACCTGACCAATCTTATCTGTCCACTTCAAAGGCTGGTCCATTCAGAAAAAGACTCAGAACTGATAGCATTGACCAACTTATGTTGTCCAGTATATCTCCTATTGTAGATTAAAAAGGGAAAGACAGAGTATATGAACCAGGAATGTATAGGAATATATGAAAGCCTACATAGCTAATAGAGTGAGTGAGTTTAGCATGTATGGATCATTTTTCTTCACTTTGGAGGAAAAAAAAATCAAGCTTCTCATAAAGAATAGATAGATAGATCGTTTCTTAGGACTAGAAGAGGCTCTGCATCATAATCTTTCTGACCTCAACTGGCCATATATAATAGATTGTAGGCATGATAAGCTTCTGATAGATATAAGTATTTCATTTATGCCCCACTTCCCAGAAGTTTTAGTGGTTGGTATATGGAGACCGGATATACTTAAAATATCATTTTTTGAGGCAGGAGTATACAAAAGGAGTGAAATGCATTACCACAATACACTATCTTGATATGGTGCACTGCAGGCTAAGATGCAATAGGAATGATCCCAGTAGACACACATCACATTCAGAAGCACCTAAAACATATATTATGAGTCAATCTGAACCAACAACAACCAGGTGAACTTTGCTTCAGATAGTAATGTCTTTAAGACTACTCTATCCTACATGACTAAATGCTGTGAGATCATGAAGGTTGTCAATAACTATAAGAAGAAGACATATGATGTTAGAGATGAGTATAGGGTGAGTGGCCATGCAGCCAGAATAATGCTAGATAATATAGAGGACAAGGTCAGTGTTACATATATAATTCACTATTGTCATTTAGCCTAATTATGCTATCATAATACAGACTATAGAGTATCTGCATTCTGATCCAATACTCTGGATCTCCTTGAAAATCTCATTTGAGCTTATCAGGTGACATATATGGAAAATTCACTACTGGAATAATAATGAGACCATAAACATGGTCAACCAGGTTGTCCTCTATAAAACTTTCAGTTGGACAATTGATAGTTATGTTCACAACACACATATGACTCATACTCACAGACAAGGCTTCAAATATATCAGACCCTACTTAAGATTACTTCAGAAGGCAATAAAGTGCTGGACAATTATAAGTATTGATGACACCCTTACTTCTATCACTTTTGAAGCATGCAATACTGGGCTGCATAATTATACAGGTATCACTCCAGGTTGCTGTAGATATTTGCACTATTGTAGGCTTGCAACACCTTATACTTCAGTTCATATCACCCGAGTTCGCAGTATTAACTCACAGTATGATTTCATAGCCTTTCCCCAGCTATTACCATATCAGGTGACACTTTTCTGCATCACATGACCCTTACACGACTTTTCTATGCCTCGAGATGCCTTTACATCACTTACTTTTTCATACTTTCATTGCCCTATCATCCAGGAGCATTCATTCACTGTCCAGCAAGTCTCACTGGTATGTATTTTCATATTTTATTTAAAATGACATCATATTAGAGTATGGACCTTGGCATACCTTATTACATACATTATCTTCTACTTGGCTTGGCTCAGTCTCACTTAGCGAGATACATATATAGGTCCACATTTTCATTCTTTAATACATAACAGCTTACCTTAGTTGAGTTCTCCAATCATATCTATAGCTAGAGTCAGAATCTATTAGTAATATTTTTATTGTCATTCATTGAGCCCTTGTCTATTACTTGTTTCATTTTGCATTTTTATACTTTTGTATTTCATATTCCTGTGCATTCGCACTAATTGTGTGCAACTTTCCCACACTTCGTGCTTACATCACTCACCTTGCACAGCCACTGCATGACTATGGATTTATTTTCTTGCTTTCCCTTGGATCAAATATACTTACCTTAGCAAGTATAGCAGCCTAGGCATTGCACTAGATCACTATATTAGCTTCTTGTGTCCCTTCCCTCTATTCATCATTTGATCTGGAGCTGAGTTAATTGTTTTTCAATGCATCAAGCTTTTCTCTAATTTGGCAAAGGATGCCAAGGAGCAAGGTCAGAAGAAGAAGTAGGGTGGTAGTTCGAGAGATATTGTCTACTTACAGGATGCATATGCAGTATTTTCGAATGATAAGGATTTGGAGGTTCAATGACTCTTCAAAAAGGACCCTAAGGCCTTTATCAAACCAGTTTCAACTCATTTTGGCATATAAACATTCATTTCCTGTGTCATTCATCTTCTACTAGAATCACTGATAAGATGCATTACCTCAGTTTAGCCATCCTCCCTCTTCATCATGCAAATGCCCTGACAGCAGTATTCTTGACCAGACCACACAAAGGATGTCCCAAATAGCAGAATCTTCAATGATATACCTCAATAGCAAATGTAAGAGTCATACCAAGCATAAACACTATAAGTATATGAAACTTGAGAGCAAAGTCTGGGCTCATGATGAGTGAGAGTATGCAATGTGTCTTGCTGAACAAGACCACCTCCACCAACAGGAGAGGATGATTCAGCAAATGGAATTTGCAAGAATTGAACTTGAGCTATCTCATGTACATCAAGAAGAGGAGGAGGCTCAGATTCATTGTATTGCTGTGGAGCGTGGTCTTGATCAAAACTGAAATACTAGGTCCACACTATGACATTATACAACTGATTGTTTAGCAATGCAAATGGTTCTTTCTTAAAAAAATATGAAGTATGAGTACACATAACAAATGCTACAGGTTGGGTTGTTGGTAGAAGTAGACATTTGAGTCTCCATGGTTTAATTTTTTCTCAATTTTAATAATTAAATTGTACCAAATGGAGCACAAATAGATCTACATTTTTGTATATTCGAGGTCCTTCTGACTTTGGATTGAGATGCGAAGCTCCTGCAGTGATTAAAACTGGCCCTTAATAGAATCAAAAAATACTCAGAATGAACACAGACATAGACATTTGGTAAGGACTATGAATATGTATTGTGATCCATACTCATTATTGACAGGCTACAATTGAATGTCTTTTGGTCCTCTGTCAAACTCCCTCCCAGTGGCCATTTATATGGTGGCACACACCAAGTTCATGCAGCATATGCCAAGTCCACCCACAATCACTCTCCTACATTAAAAACTGACTCAGGATGCCAGGAAACTCTCATTTCTGTGAATATGTTTGAGTCATGCAGAAACCCAGGTACACCAATGATATAGTTTACAATATGAAGGTTATGAGGAAATATAACAACCTTTTTAACTGTAAGTTACTGTATTACACACTAAACCAATACTTACCTGGGCTGTTAGAAAATAGTCCAAATTCTTGTTGAAGAAACCTTCCCTATGCCAATCAGGTTTCTCATGTAGAGGGGACAGAGTTCCATCTACACAAAAAAAACCTCCCCTCCATTTACAACATATCTTACTTTCCACATAAACTTTCATTTACTTTTACTCAATTTAATCCTCATGGTCAAGCAGATCAAAATAAATTATCCAGTCATGAAGTTACAAGATTACAATCATCACCTGTTTGTAGCAGTTGTAGATAGTCCCAACAGACACTCCAGCTTAGTTTGATATGTCTTCAGTGGTTGTAGTATTGTCATAATGGCCAATACCATTTAGAAAAATGGTAAGCTGGACTGCGACAGGAAGTTGGAGATTATTCAAGTGGTTGTAGAAAATAGGGTATTCTTGAATTAACCTCGTGAGTTCATCAAACACATTTGCCTCAACACACACCACTTTAGCAAGGTGGCTAGATATCAAATGAGGAGGCATGAAGCGGGCATGAGTGTCTATGCTGATGGACATAGCAAATGTATCTACTAGGGAATAGAGAGGACCCAGCTGACTGCCATCAGCTTGAGTAGTGAATATGGCTAGGACCATCTGATGATATGCCTACAGAAGAGATTTCTGAGATAATTAAGGGTCTGACCTTTGAAAGTAGTCTCTCAACGTTTTGGCAAATTGAATAAGAGTGGGATGCAGAACTATCAGATAATTGGACCTAAGGCCAACATCCTCTACTGCCGTAGAAGTTAAGGGTGACACTGGTTCATCATCTCTAGATGAGGCATTCCCTGGCCACCTTTGATCATCACCACTGTTGTTAGCATTTTCTCTATCCTTGCCTTTGTGATCTTTATCTAGATCAAAACCCTCATCCCAGTCACCATACACATCAGATTCCTCATCCTCAAAGTCTTCAACCTAGTCCTCCTGAGCCTTCTTATCCTCATCCTCCTCGTCCTCATTTTTCTCATCCATAAAATTGCTATCCTGACCAGTTTGCTGAAGCATATGAGCACATAGTACTATCAGTACAAGTCTATCACAATAGTGGCTATATGTGGCAACAGAATCTGTTTCCTGCAATATCTGAAATGGCCGGCTTCTACCAGTATAAGTAAAGTGTAAGATATGAAACACCTATGAATATATACAAGTAAGTCCACTAAGATGTCAAAGCTTCCAGGACCCTGGGATCCACTCCAGATACAAAACAAATGGATGAAAAATATTTTTTTCCTAGTCCTTCCATCTGAGAAAACCAAATAGAGTCACCCTCCTGAGCACTGGCCATAGCATCAGCCCATCCAGTATTGACCAGAAATGGTGGCAGGTCATCAGGACCAGAACCATTGGTTGTCTGAACATCTACAAATGTGCCATTCATATATTGAGCTGAGAGCGATGAATAGAATGCTACAAATATATTATTTGGGCTAGCATTTTGCAGAATTGGATGTATCACGAAGTAATATTTTCCCTGGAAGAGGCACTGCACTGGAACAGAAGGTTCATCCTTGGGAATATAGGGCACTTTGCCAGGGTATAACTGATGGCTATGAGTTGAAATACTGCCCATAGATTTTGCTGTGTAAGAGCAATATTGACATTAAAAGCCTGATTCATGGTCACGCTGTAGAGACTCATGCCTCTCATGGTGCAATATTGCACTTTACACCTGCACAGCACATAGCACGAACTTGCAGCATCACTTCCTAAGTTATCCTCAGCCATTCCCATATGAGGTGCCGCTTTCCTGTTGTAGTGATGGTCGCGGCGTTGGGCTCAAAACCACGTATTTCCATACTCACGTCAACACCTGAAACATATGCGCACATGTCCAAGCCACTCCGTATCGGATCCGGTGCATCGGACCTTCGGACATCGCATCGGCCAATCGCACTTCGCGCGCACTTGTCCATCTCGTGTCCTGTCCATCCGAACTAGCCTCACTAGGTGCGTAGTCATTCCCGTGCATGTTTTCTGACATTTGGACCACATTATTACATGTCCGCAGCACCTCGTGTCTTATTACATAGGACATCGGACCCAAAAATATATTGCTACTATCTTCGCCTGTAGTTTTCCGAATTTCTATGTACTTACTTAAATACTCTGTAGTGACCCGTAGCAATCATCATCCAGTAGTTAGGAGCCATTTCCCGACTCTGCGGATCACCCAGAATATTCTCATAGTTCTTAGTTGCATTGCAAAATATTACCATTCGTTCACTGTCATACTCCGTCACTTGTTATAAAGTTTCTGACCTATTATTGTGAAGTCTGAAAGTCCGAAATCTCGGACATTGCACTTTGGCTTCGGACATTGGATAAGTACCTTTGGACATCGTTTTGCACCATCAGACATTTTGTTATTTGCATTACTGACACATTCTTACTACTAATACCAATTAGCAATCCCTTTAGGATTGAATGCACTTGCTCTGCAAGTATAGCAGCATAGGTCGTGCTAAGATCTACCTAAATATTTGTTGTCTAGGTAGTACAATTTCTGCTGAGCCCAGCGGAGATCAGCTTTCTACACCGTGCATCACATGATGTGTGTGCACCTTTCCTGCGCCACGTGTTGCATGCGCGCATGTGCTTTCCTGCGCTTAAGCAGCCTATAGCGCCAGCCATCCAGATGCATCCATCCACTGTCTACCAAGTTCCCTAGTGCACATATTTCCATTCTGAACTTATTTACATATTATACCACCTTTATTTTGTCATGGACCCTTACTTACATATAGCTTTACATACTTAGCTTGGTAGTGCTTCAGCTCGGCTTCGCTGACAGCGCTTAGGCACATACTTAAGTGCCAGCAGTAGATATCTTTAGGAAGTTTTCGCTTTCCCAAGTTTTCTTTCCCAGTAGTTGCAGTAGGAATTCATTTTCTGAGCATTGGAATAGAAACTCCCAATAAGCCTACATCACAGTAGCTATTGGCACTCTATCTCTCATATTACATTCTCTATCGCTTTGCTCTACACTTACTTCCATTGCCTCATATCTCTATCATTGCTTAAACCACTGGCACATCGAGTGTGCTTCGCTTTCCCATGCACATGCGCTGCTTTCCCAGTGTGTGCCTCTAACACATTTCCATGCCTCCAATGCATTCCCATGCACATGCACACGTTCCCACACTTCGCATCAGTTGCACCTTCCACATGCATTTCTAGACCTTTGCTGCACTTGCTTCCCCTTTAGGATCAAACACACTTGTCTCACCAAGTATAGCAGACTAGGCAGTGCACGACCTACAACATTTATATATCAACCTGGAGCTTAGTTAGCACCTCGCTGAGTTGTACTTTCTACAATGCAACCAAGGTAGGGGTGGTAAAAATTGGGCAGGTAAAGCTGATAGCTGGTCACAGGATGCCACAGCCTAAACCCTCTTGCTGGCTTTCATTACAGCTTCCTCAAGCTGCGACTTCTGGAATGAGCATGGGAGAAGTTTTTTGTGATTCTTTTAGACATGTCCAGCAATGTGGTCTGAAAAAAACAGCACACCGACAATGGCTGCATACCATAAGCTTGAGGTTAGGTTGAAACATAATCATGAGCTGCAAAGTATCAAATTCTGGGATGTTGATAACACAATAGAAATCATCACTGCTATCTGTTAAACCTTCTGCATCCAGTATGTCAGGTTCTACATGCATTCATTCTGCAGCTGGTACCTGTAGGAGTGAGGCTTTTGGGTCTCTGCTATATTGGGGTGGCAGCACACATGAATGGGAGGCAGGCAGGCCACCTGTCATGTCATGTGGGAGTTGTGAGAGTGGGTGTAAGTGTGCTAGGCACATAGATTGCTCATCCTTAGCAACTGTATGGGAACCTTCTGTACCATTGGGCAGGTGGTGTAAGTGCACTAGGCACTGTCTTGTTACTTAAAGGTCTTATATAGATGTTGTGTATAATAACAATACTATTATACACAGTGAAGACTTCTTGCCAGGCCTTAAGTGCACGGTTTGCTATATACTGGCCCATCACACCATCAGAAGGACTGCTAGATGGTGCAGCCTCAATGATAGTCTGCGAAGCAAGACATCTATCATAAACACATATAGCACAAATAGAACTAAGAAAATATGCACTGATGACTGATTGGAAGCTTGAAGCCCTGGGGCAGTCAAAAATTTATTGCTAATATATTGTCCCAAGTCAGGAGGTGAGAGGAAGAGGGCATCTTTATAGATGCTGTTAGGTGTCGCTCCTTCCTCAGGTCCACAACATTTAGCAGAGTGACAATATTCACGAACATGGTCTATAGATCCTGAATAGCAACAATTTCTGTAGAGAAAAGCGCAGCAGTGCACACCATTAAGAACTGGAATTGGCCAATCACTATTGGAATGTTTCTTTGATGACAACAGACACAGCTTCCTGTGAGTGTTTCTGAGATGCTTCGACTCTTTGTATGCTATGTCAGTATTGCAATAGGTACAGGTCCATGTCAGCATGATGACTGTTGCTTGGGTCTAGCACAAACCTGCGACAAAGGAGGATCACAATACATATTATAAATGCAATGCAAATCTATGCACCTCATGGCAGAATTGACAAGCTTTAACACATCATCAATGACACTCAGGTGGCTCATCCACAGCTTGATCATAGGCAGACCAACACCATACATGGTGTAAAGAGTAATCCTGGGCTGGGCTCTACAGAATGTGAGTCCCTAGTCCTGAGAGATGCAAGTATGCTTCGTCCCAAGAGACAACCTAAAGAACTACCTTGATAATGCAAGGGAAGTCTTATACAGTCAGAGAGTAGACAAGATATTGGAAGTAAACCTTTCTAATGTTCATCTGAAGTTTCAAGACTACGTCCGAAGTACTGAGATACTTGTCCAATGTGACCGAAGGTCGTCTGAAGCTGCAAAAGTGTTGTCCAAAGTAGCACAATGCCTTCTGAGATGTCGGTGTGTCAATGTGTTGAATAATATAAGACTTTGTGAAACGTCCGAAGTCCAGAACAACGCTAATCTATCGGAACTCAAGAATAAATGAGGTGCAGGATTGGCAGCGGTCTAGCCAAACAATCGTTCTGAATGAACAAAGATCGATTGCGCAGTTACGAATATACTGAGGTGACTCTACTAATTACAACTCAAAGTATGGGAAGTGAAGTGAAGTATCAGTAGCCAGCAAGCGAGATTATATCCTACTTTTGTGAGAGACCGGAATCCATAGGCGAAACTAGTAGCGAGATAAGCAAGTCCGAACCTATGTAATAAGCTATGATGTGTACTGTTTATATGTATTCCAAGGCTCCCGATAGGATGCCAGTGGGATTTATCCATGTAGCACTAAGACATAGTCAACATATAGATAGAATAAAGGAAAATGCACCAGCGAAGTCAAAAGGACGAGGATAGAACATGGTATGGTAACTCGTGAGGTTTGGATGGGCCTTGGAATATAAGAACTGCCTGTGGAAGGTTCGGACAAGTGTGCATGGACTTTGGAAGGTCAAGGGAGGTCGAGGAATGGTATGGGACGTAAGTGTTAGATTGACTGGTTCTGAGCCCAGCGCCGCGACCATCGTTACAATGGCAAGACTATGCACTCTATACAAGAGCACTGCTTGCAGAATTGTCTAGAGCCTACATCAGAACCATTCCGAGCAGGCACAAAAAATGAAAGAGATAGCTCACAATCATAACAATAGCCCCTCCAACCGCTCTCATGGGTCCTTCTCCAACTCTCTCAACCTGTTCCATGAATGGAATAAGGTGCCCAATCTCTGCCACTCTGTACCTGAAGAAATCTCGGATGACATTGTGTGAAGCGAAGAGATGTAAAAGAAGGGTGGCAGCTGTGAATGTGTGACTGGCATCAGTGACGTAGGTGTGAGAGACCCCAGCACTGTTTGGATGTAGTCAGGGGGGTAAACAAAGGAAGGGTTGGATTGAGCGCGCACTCTAAATGCTCATGTCCTCATGTTCAATAATGCATCCATGCACCTGAAACAAGCAGACAGGGCACTATCCACACATTACATGCCAAAGGTAATTCAGGAGTGGGGAGTGGAAACAACATTGTTGGGCAAGAATGGTAACCCTGTGCATGGGCGAGATGGGAGAGTCCTCAAAACAAGGGTGCAGATGAAAGATGGCCAATTTGCTGATGGAAGAACACAACTGCTTAATGATAAATCTAAGGAAGGGACATAAGAAGCTGATATAGTGATCTAGTGTGATGCCTAGGCTGCTATACTTGCAGGGACAAGCATGTTCGATCCAGGGGGAAGCAAGGAAAACAAATCCACAGTTGTGCAGCAGCTGTGTGAAGTGAGCAACATAAGCACCAAGCATGGGAACACAAAATGCGAAATAGCAAAAATGTGAAATGCAACAAGCAAGGGCTCAATGAATGACAACTAAAAGACTGCTAATAGCTTCTAACTTTAGCTATGGACATGATGGAGAAACTCCACTAGTGTAAGGTGTGGTGTAATGTGGTAAAAAGTGAAAAATGCGGACCTATATATGTATCTTGTTAAGTGGGGCTGAGCTGAGCTGAGTATGAGATAATGTATGTAATAGGGTATGTAAGTCAGGGTCTATGCTCTAATATGGTGCCATATTAACTAAAATGCGAAAATAGATACCAGTGAGACTTGCTGGACAGTGGATGGATGCTCCTGGATGATAGGGCAATAAAAGTGCAGGAAAGTGAGTGATGCGAGGCGCGGGAAGGTTGCGCTGTCTTAATAACCGAGGGTCCTATATAAATTCATGTAAGAATGTAATGACACCACAATTACACTTGGATAAGACTTGTCCATGTATGATTCCCACATCATGCAGGACAGCACGAGGGTCACACATCGTGGTAAAGTGTCACCCGATATGGAAATAGCTGGGAAAAGGCTAGGGAATGATGCTATGAGTTGGTGCTGCGAACCCGGGTAGTATGAACTAGAGTATAATATGTTGTAAGTCTGTAATAGTGCGAATCTCTACAACACTTACCATATCAGCTTAGGTCCAGGGTTTTCAACATTCTATTTGCTATCCAAATCAAGATTTATTGATTTTATGATACTTTCTAGAAATTAACAAGTGTAATGGGGATATGTATGGGTAGATTGATATATCCATTTGCAGAGGTCGAATAGCAGTAGTTCAATGAGCCTTCTACACTACAGGCTCCAATAGAGTGACAGCTCTCATACTTTTCCCATAAGACTCTCTCATTCAATGGAAGGGAAGACATGAACTAGGAGAACACGACAAACTTGAAACACAACCTACTAGGATGCAACATACTTATAATATTTACTATTCAGAATACATTTTACACCACAATAACAAGAAGAGGACAACAAACTAAACTCTCCCAAGAACTCATTATATTACCTCCTATGAAACTTTATTTTATTAGTCAGAGATCGTGCATTTAAGGACTGGCAAGAAGTCTTCATCATATATGATAGTGTTGTGATTATACACAACATTCATATAAGACCCTTAATTAACAAGACAACACTACCAAGTGTTCACAAGGGTGCCCAAACAGTTAATCAAGAATTTAGGACGTACATCATGGCTACTCTCAGCAGCAACTGAACAAATATCCTTCGATTTTGACAGGTGAGAGTTGTGTATCTTCTCAAGTTATATCTCTCATCATTGACCACCAGGTTTGCTAGTTTTCTGAGACAGTTTTGCCAACTATATTTGTCATTGCAATGGACTACCTACCTATATAGGCCTTCATTGTTTCATGTGAATGGGTCTTCTCTTTAAGTGGTGAAACTGACACTAAGAAACAGAATCATATCTCCACAATGCTGATGGAGGCCCTGCAGATTGTCGAGTTCCTCCTAAAAAAGGAGCAACTTAACTTTACTCAAGGATGGGTAGCATCCCAAAAGAAGATGAAATTTCAGATATTATTGGATGATTCTGATGGTGACAATGAATGTCTGCTACCTGATACTGGCAGCATTACTGACAGTCATACTAATGATGCTCTTCACAGAGCTATTGCAAAATATGAGTGTGATGATATTGATGACACTGCTACCATTTATTCTCCATGATGTTCATTCACTCTTTGTACTTGATTTTCATTGATTCTTAATTCTTACTTGATTCAATAGTTGTATTTATTGTAGACTGTTTATTGACTGTGCCACTACTGACATCATCATCTGAGTCCAATGAGATGACAGTCTTTCTCTTTAGTGAAGGATGCTTTGTGAAAAAACAAAAACACAAGGATGCAGAAAGTTAAATGGAAATGTGTTGTTTATTATTCACCTTGAAGTTTCAGCAGAAAGTGTGAGAAGCATAGGGTCAATTTGTCACTCATTGATGACAACATTTCAGCTGGCAAGAAAAGCAAGGTCAATGCCCTCACTTGTTTCTAACAGGCCTTCAGATAGTCTAACTGATTATCCACTACTGACTAAAATCAGAAGCTGTATGATTGATTGTGAGCACATTGTGCTCCTCATTATTGCAAATTGTCTCTGAGCAACTACCATTGCTCATCACTGGTAGGGACTGCTCACAGCTAATATTAAAAGTCAAATGGCTAACATATGGAGTAAAGCTTTGTTCTTTTCCTTTGTGTTCACAGGGTGAACATCATTGTAACGATGGTCACGGAGTTGGGCTCAAAACCACATATTTACATACTCACGTCAACATCCAAAACATATGCGTACATGTCTGATGCACTTTCGCACATGTCCGAGCCACTCCATATCGGATCCGGCACATCGGACCTTTGGACATCGCATCGGCTGATCGCACTTCGTGCGCACTTGTCCATCCTGTGTCCTGTCCATCCAAACTAGCCTCACTAGGTGCGTAGTTATTCCCATGCATGTTTTCTGACATTCGGACTGTGTTATTACATGTCCGCAGCACCTCATGTCTTATTACATAGGATATTGGACCCGAAATATATTGCTACTATCTTTGCCTGTAGTATTCCAAATTTCTATGTACTTATTCAAATACTCTGTAGTGACCTGTAGCAATCATCATCCAGTAGTTAGGAGCTATTTTCCGACTCTGCAGATCACCCAGAATATTCTCGTAGTTCTTAGTTGCATTGCGAAATATTACCATTCATTCACCGTCATACTCCGTCACTCATCATACTCGCGCATACCACTCGCAATCCGACACTCGTTATAAAGTTTCCGACCTATTATCATGAAGTCTGAAAGTCCGAAATCTCGGACATTGCACTTTGGCTTCGGACATTGGATAAGTACCTTCGGACATCATCGGATTACCTTCAAACAATGTTTCGCACCATCAGACATTCTGTTCTTTGCATTACTGACACATTTTTACTACTAATACCAATTAGCAATCCCTTTAGGATCAAACGCACTTGCTCTGCAAGTATAGCAGCATAGGTCATACTAAGATCTACCTAAACATTGTTGACTATGTAGTACAATTTCTGCTGAGCCCAGCAGAGATTTACTCTTTACATTGTCCAAGTCCTTCTTCCTCAGTTTTGAACAAGTCTTCATCAAGGAATCAATGGGGGGTGTCTCTAAACCATCTATTTGACTGTCCGTTTTCCACTGTAAATAACTTGTCGAGAACCTGTTATGGCATACATCAATGGAAGGTAGAATGGATTATGCAGGAAAAACTTACTGTCTTATCAACAGGCCAATCCCCTATCTCTCACTTCATCTAGTCCATAATCTAAGGTTTAAATTTGGACTCCTCTAGCCTTGAATTTGTTTTCTGAGATGGCAATTGCATGGTATAAAATTTTTAAAAGGTGTCAATGAAGGTAAGAGAATGTAAGAAGAATGAGATACAGAAAGGGTCAAGTATTTTAGGATGTGGTAAATTCCTCAGGTAAACCCTTGGTAGCATTTTCCTCCCATTCCTATAGTTTAAGGTAGCCTCTGAGACCTACTGTCTAATGTGACTACAAGACCTCTGAATGTAGCAGTACCTCTCTCATGTCTTCCTGTAGTCTACCCTTGGCAGCACTTTGAAGATGTTCCCATGTACTGTCAGACTCTATTTTTATGTAGCAAAAATATAGTCTGAGAGACCCCCCCCCCTCCCCCTGCTCCTTCAGCTGGAGGCTTCTCCCAGCCTTTTAAGATGCTTACTGCCTGCCTTCCTGTGTCAATATCTCCATATGTTCCTCATAATGTTGGTGCTGAGTGTGATAGCAGATGTGGTCTGGAGCCTCCCCCATCTAAATGTTTTTTCATACTTCCATATTCCACTTTGAATATTTAATTTTAATTTTATTCTCTCTTATTCTTATTACACAAATAAGTCAGATACAACGACATCCATTGACTGGTACAATGAAAAGAACACAGTTATCAATGACAAGAAAGTTAGATATGGAGGCTTAAAATTTAGGTATGCAGTGATATACAATATATATGTGACAGAGAAAGTAGATACAGATACAACCAAACATATTGGTTACAAATGAGGCTATGAGCTCAAGAGATAATGAAGTGTGAATTGAAAATGTATGCTAGGAAAGCAGCTCAAAAGATGATATCATATACATTTTGAGAATAAGATATTGCTGTGGTATTATTAGTGTGGAGAAAGCAGCTCAAAAAAGACAACATAACACACTCTCTAAAAGTGGGACATGACTGTGGTATTATTAGTGGGGGGGGGGAAGTAGCTCAAAGGACAACACTATTTATTTTCTGAGAGTGGGACATAGCCTGAATCTGTGTGGCTCTGCAGAATATTGTTGGGTCTTGCTCTGCCTGCTACTGCTTGAGACAAGCATATTTGACCCTAAAGGGTTTCTGAACTAGGTCTGGACTAGTGATGTGCAAAGCCTGGCCTCAAGCCCTGGGCCGGGCCTGACTGGGCTTATTTAGGCCGAGCCCAGCCGGGCCTTGAGGGTGGCCTCATAAGGCTCAAGGCTCGGCCTCCAGTATTTCAAGCCAAGGCCGTGGCTTTGATCTTTGTACGGAAAACACCGGATAACTACATAGTTTATTTCTACCCGGGTCTTCATCGCCTAAAAAATCAATTTGAGCCCACTTAACTCCAGAATCTGCAGATGGCGGCCCCACATGTCTATTCCGATCATGACGAAGCACCTGCCAGTGCGCAATGTCCTAAACGGGTTGTGATGCCATCAGCCAAGGTAATCAGCGCAGATAACACTG